TGTAGATCTTTTTTAATAATGTAAATTGTCATTTAATTATTCATTTTGTAAAAGAAATAGACTTGATTGCTGAACTTTGATTGATATGTTTTTGTAGATAGATGATTTTTAATGATTGGAAGTTTAAATTAGTAACTGACATTTCAAGTAGCTGCACCTTCAAATGGGATTAAAGTATTGTAAAATTATTGTCCTCCTGAAAGGCTACGTAAGTGATTTGTTAATCTACATTATCAGGTGGAAAGCAGTTCTCTCCAGAGAGGTGCCTTCAAAAGAAACGAGACAAGAACAGCAAAGATGTAAACAACCAACTTCATGCTGCTTGCTGCAAGGGGGACATGTGGCCAGGAGAGGAACATCTTGATAGAAGGAGAAGTGGACATAAACAGTAGAACGGGACAGTACAACAGGACACCAGTGATGGTGGCAGCGCACGAAGGACATGGGCATGTCCTTTACTTTCTTGTGAGTAAAGGTTGTGATTTGTTACATGTAGACACTGAGGGTAATAACATTCTGCACATGGCATGTAATGGTGGAGACATAGCGACAGTGAGGTACATCCTATCACAGGATCCCCATGATCCCTAGTATGGTGATCTACCTTCAGTTGTTGGCGATCTATAGCCCGTTTTTATATTGTGCTGTTTTGAAATGATTTAACATTTTACACTGAACTCAAACTAGTTTTAATTCAATTGTGATATTCTAGTCGTTATACTGTCCTTCGCTGGCAGGTTTTTAAATCAGCATACATATGTTTATTCTTATTACATAACTTTTTGTCGTCACAATATGGCTGAAGTATTGCCGATGTGACGTTAAATATTAACTCACTCACTCACTCACTCACCTATCACAGGACAACGTGGACGTCAACACAAGAAGACTTGACAAGTGGACTCCTTTGATGAACGCTGCATACTTTGGACATAAAATTGTGTTTCAGTTACTCGTGGAGAGAGGAGGTAATGTTTCTCTAGGAGATGCTTATGGTGACAACATCCTTCATTTAGCCTGTTCTGGAGGACATTTTGAAATGGTAAAGTATGTCCTCTCTCATACCAAATTGGACATCAACAGCGGAGGACATTACAGAAGGACACCTTTGATGGCGGCAGCACACTTTGGACATTTTATCTATTCCACCTTATGTGTTATACACCCCTGGCGCTAGCAGTAACTTATGATGTGATGTATGATTATGAATTATGATGTGGCAGGACGGTGCTGTTAGTAATTGTTTGAAACTGTAATGAAAGATATCGTATATTTTTGTAGATGAAAGCAGATTGTGGTACGAGATATAGTCCGACTGACACATCACACTACAATTTGCGGATATGAGAGCGGCGTAAAACGAAACTCGCTCACAACAGTTTCGAAAAGGACCCATCGGTTAGTCAGGTGGACGTATTTGTCCTTAAAGGAGAATACGAGTGAATTGCAATAATTTGATGGGTGAAAGATAGAGTCATCAGAAACATATTCCCAAATTTTCAGTTAAAAATTATGTATAATTATGTTTTAATCGCGAAAACAGTTTCTGTAAATCTCAGCTTCGGTCATTATGCATATTTCGCTGGAACCCACGTGACCTTTCCGTTCGTGACGTCAAATGTGCCTGGAGTCCGCCATATTGCCAAAGACCAAGCGCTACAGTAGTACAAATTTTGTTGTTTCTATCGTTTTTTTAAATGGTACGATGGTGTATATTCTGTTGCCTGGGGATGCACGGCATCATCGAAGATTGGAAAGAGCCACCATTTCTTCCGTTTTCCAAGTGAAATGACAGATTTAGGCAAGAGAAATGCGCCGATCATTCCGAGTCGGACGCATATGAAAGTGAGTGAGTAAGTGAGTTAATATTTAACGTCACATCGGCAATATTTCAGCCATATCGTGACGAGAACATTTGTTATTGAAATGAAATATATGTATATTATAAAAAACCTGCCGACGAAGGACACTAAAACAACTAGAATATCACAGATATGTATGTCAAACTAGTAATTCAATCTAAAACGTTTTAACTATAGGAGAAAAACAATACAGTATAAAAATGGGCTATTAATCGCCAATAATTGAAGGTAGATCACCATACCAGGGATCATGGGGACTTACATTACTTTTGCTACCTGCAGGGACCCTAGTTGGATTTACACCATCCCTTCAGCCATTGGCGACAGAAGAGAAATCTAGCCATAAATTAAAAGAACACATATTCTACGATTAAAAAACCTGGCAAGCCTAAATTTACTCTAAATGTGTTGGGACTTGCGTACCCTCTCAGGAGGACAATAATTTTACAATACTTCAACCCCCTTTGAGGGTACAGCCACTAACAATCGAAGTTGATAATCTAAACTACCAATTATAAAACCTTATCAATTACAAAACATATATCAAAATCCATTTAACAAATCTATCTCTTTTAAAAAATCAATGATTAAATGATAATTAACATTACTAAAAAGGTCCTTTACTGTTTTGACATTAAAATATCTATCCCTTATGATGGAGAAATCAACACAGTCACGCATATGAAAGAGACATGCACGCATGGGGTATCGAAATCCCAAAGCTAGGCTGAAGAAGGAAATAGTACCCACGAGATTCATTTATACTCCATCATTCCCTGTAACAACTTACTGTCAGTGGTATTTTAACATAAATTAAGTTAAGTCCGATTGCCAGTCGAACTGCCCCCGCTACAAAATGACCGAGCAAATTTGGTCAAATTGCCCCAGTGGGGTAGTCAAAAAGCCCCAATTTATTTAAAATGAATAAATATAGGCCATAAATGCATAGTTTTGTCAGCTTTGGTATTATGTTCTTCATATATAAGTATATACATAGTTATGGGTTTACTAATGAAACATTTATCAGAAATATCACTTCATAATAATATCATAATAAGTTGACAAAAACTATGCATTTACGGCATATATTCAATTATTATAAATAAATTTGAACAAAAGAGAGTGAATGACCAAATTTGCTGGGGCATTTTGTAGCTGGGGCAGTTCGACTGATACAGATGAGGTATATATTATCAAAATCAGTAAGAGATTTCACATGAGCTTGAAAATGTTTCGCTATAACGTTCTTTTCGGTTTGGAGCCCTACATGATGCAGTCAACTCGAAACATTGCCGAATACAACGGCAAATCATGAAGTACTTGTTGCTTTCATTGTTTTCCATTTTGTCCAATTACGCACGTCGGCATCAGACTCGCTATTTGTCAGTAGTATGGGCCGTGAAAGTTGTTCTGTATTCACACTGGCTGACAGGATGCCATTCTAAGGCTATGACCGAGTACCATAACTATTTCCATAACCAAACAATGGGGAAACATACGTTGTCCTGACTGGTATTTTATAATTCACCGGTTTTCGGGGAATAACTTATCTGCGTTGCGAATATTATCTCTGCTCGACCAGGCTGGGATCTTGTATCGAGACTTGATACGTTATTAATGAGAACTAGGATCTAATTTTTGCAACAAAATAATTCCAGTGTAATTTTTGAAGACGATAATTTTTATTTTCCTTCGTCTGAAGCATAATTATTTTGTTTTAAATCCAAGACACCCTACAGTCACCCATTTGACTCAAAATAAACTGTAATCACATTTTTTTTTAAATAATTATTTGTGACTGTCACATATTTATAGGGGTGACTTTGCTGGCTGGAACTGTATGACATTTTGCTGACAAATAGTAATCTTGTTAAATGATATGGTCTATTTTTAAATATATTTTTGACCTCAAGCGGTGCCTCCGTTTCGCTTGATTCTTCTTCTTCATCTTCAGTGGAAGATTGTCTTGCAAGATGTAAAATCGGATCGTATTGATACGGTCTAACATCCATTTCAGAAATGACATCAGGAACATCTTTTACTGCTTCAGAATCCACGGAAACTGTTAAGTTGTGAGGTAAAATCAAAGAGGAAGCCATCAGCAACAGGCACTTATGACGTCATGTCACGTGATACCCCCTCTTCTCATTAATTGTCAGGTGTTTCCGTAATAGGCGGAAATACGAGTACGTTTTTGTGTTTTTATTGCTATTTTACAAACTTTTGGTTCAATTTTAATCACGGAATGTGACTTTTAGAATATCCTTTACAATATATTAAAAGTTTTGTTTTCGTTCGTATTCTTCTTTGAGCAATCTCTCAAACTCATCAAAAATCATAATTTCGTCCTCTGATTGCATCAGACCTTTGCACCAGACATACACCGCGTCCTTGGGAAAACTTCATTTTTTTTAGTATCAGACTACTTTTTAAAATTACCCAAATGAATGAAACGGTCAAATCATTCAGCAGCATGGGGCGTGTTTCTGTCTGTAAATGCTCAGGCATTTAGGTCGAATCTCCCATATTGAAATCTGACGGGAGATTGCAATTACGGTGAATTGGTAAAGAAATTACCGAAGGAATATCAGAGAGAACAGAAAAGTTCCTCGTCCGTGGGGAAAAAAGTGCGAATCCTGGTCAGAAATAGGGAGAGTAGTGGACGGTACGGGTGACTGGGACGGCGGTGGAGCTATGCAAAGTTGGCCTAGATGAGTAAAAACTGTAGAAGTGACGGGACGAAATGGGACCGGACTGACAACTGACTAAGCTGTATTTGAGTCACATGCTTTACGCCGCACTCAGCAATATTCCGGCTGTATGGCAGAGGTCTGTAAATAATCGAGTCTGGACCAGACAATCCAGTGATCAACAACATGAGCATCGATCTGCGCAATTGGGAACCGATGACATGTGTCAATCAAGTCAGCGAGCCTGACCACCCGATCCCGTTAGTCCCCTCTGACGACAAGCATGGGTTACTGAAGGCCAATATTTTAACCCGGACCTTCACGGGTCAGTTTTTTGCGTTGTCAGTTGGAACAACTCACGTTGGAAAGACAGACTTTGAAGATGAAATTTCAAGATGTTAAATTGACATTTCAAGATACATTTTAAATTGAAAAACAAATGTTTGTTGATGTTTTCAGTGTTGATGTATTTATTAACTCGAGGATATGTTGTTCAACACGAAACAACAGTTCCAACACAAACACATTCGTCCACCATCTATCGGAAAAAGCTACACCAAATGGACCTGAACAGTTGCCAATCTCAAACAATGTACATGAAACCTTGAAAACGATGTTAGTTGATGTATTCAGTGTTGATGTATTCAGTGTTGATGTATTCAGTGTTGATTTGTTCATTAACACGGGGACATGTTGTTCACCACGAAGCTGTTGTTCCAACACAAGCTCAATTGTCGACCATACCGCCCGGATCCTCTAACATCTGCTTCTCCAGCCAGACAAGAGGCTAAGCCATCTTGTTATACAGCCCTATGTTCACGTATGAGATATTGGCTGTGTTTTCATACAAGTGATCAGCGTCTTCATTTCCGAAACCTTTCTCTTCTCTGCTCTCTTTCCTTCTGCCATCTGCAGGTCTTTGTACATGTGCTGTTGAAAATAAATAACGAAAAGGAATTTAATTTATTGATAAGAACATTATCAAGATTACACTTGTGATCTTTGAGTGACAGGTCAAATTTTAGGTTTGTCTTTAGAATGGGGGGCGGTGGTGTAGCCTAGTGGTTAAAGCGTTCACTCGTCACGCCGAAGACCCGGGTTCGATTCCCGACATGGGTACAATGTCTGAAGCCCATTTCTGGTGTCCCCCGTCGTGATATTGCTAAAAGCGGGGTAAAACCCAATTCACTCACTCACTCTTTAGAACGGTGTTAGGTTTGTTTATTTCTTGTTTAAGGCCGCACCCAGCAATATCCCAGCTATATGTTAGGATATACACCAGTAAATCGCTACTGCTGACATAAGCTGGCGATCTATAGCCCAATTTTATAATGAATTAGCATTTCAAAAAGATCTCAAACTAGTTTTAATTATAATCCGTGATAATCTAGTTGGTATACTATATTTGTATGAAGTTAAGATATATCTATTCTCAGTGTATGACTTTCTGTTGTTACGATATGACTGAAATATTGCCGATGTGACGTAAACTCTGACGTAAAGTTGACCATATTTATTATCTTGCCATTGAGGCACCCTCTATGTGATGTTGCTTCATGTATTGATGCTAATTTTACACACATAATCTACTTCTTTACATGCTTTGTTATCATGTATACATACAGACAGACAGACAGACCCGTCAAGATCCGGGGTAGAATAGGTCTTCAGCAACCCATGCTTGCCACAAAAGGCGACTATGCTTGTAAGAGGCGACTAACGGGATCGGGTGGTCAGACTCGCTGGCTTGGTTGACACATGTCACCGTATCCCAGTTGCGTAGATCGATGCTCATGATGTTGATCACTGAATTATTTACAGACCGCCGCCATATAGCCGGAATATTGCTGAGTGAGGCGTAAAACTCACTTACACACACACACACACACACACACACACACACACACACACACACACACACACACACACACACACACACACACACACACACACACACACACATATATACATACATACAAACAAACCTGATATGTTATCTAAATCAGATTCCAAATATAACTGAAGGTTGTAATCAACATTATCAATATTTAGTGGAATGGCGACGCGCGTCATATTAACCTCAAAAACATATTTGTCTTTGTATTTTTTTAAGATAAAAGGGCATTTGATTATTTCGGTTTCTTTCTATATAAAAAGGCACAGTTATTGTTTGTTTTGCTTTGTTTGTTGTTTAACACCGCACTCAGCAACATTTCAGCTAAATGACGCTAAACAACTGAGCCTGGACCAGACAATCCAGTGGTCAATATCATGAACATCAATGTACGTAAATGGGATACGATGGCATGTGTCAGCCAAGTCCACCCGATCCCGCCAGTTGCCTCTGACGACAATCATGGGTTGCTGAAGACCAATTATCACCTGGATTTTCCCTAGATCTTCACGGATATCATTGTTTGTATGTCAGGTATGTCTTTCTGAACATTTTCTTCTGCAGTTATTTTTTTAACATCACGTAACTCTCGGTAGTTCGTGTCAGGCGATAATGAATCACATAGATTTGTCATTCAAATTTATATTTGAATTTTATAGGACATTTGACAAAATAATTCAATATGGAAAAGTAGTAATTATTGTCTCCATAGGTCAATATTCAAGTCAGTTGCTATTGTTTTGTCTTCAACCGTGATTTCTTTCTACGAGTTTGGAGTGTCTACAGTATCCATGGTTACGAATAATGTATATTTGCAACACAACTTTAACTGTATTTATGCAGATCAATCCTCTTACCTTCAACTGCTTTGACTTTTTCAATTTTCTCAATTATGCTGTTCATGATTGCAGCACCGTCTCCTGTCTCCATAGTGAAAACTCCTTCTCCAGATAACGTATTTCGTCCAGCTTCGAAATGAAACTGGGTGCGAGTCTTTCCGTAGTTTCGAATGCGGGTGTACGGCCATTCATACATGACCCGGTTGGATCTGACATCGCACAGGCACAGGCCTGTGTCCTTCACAGCAACATCGTACATACCTTTAAGATGACATCGCTTGGACGTCTTCTCGTCCCCACTGATGTTGACTCTGAAGAACGTAGAATGATCGTCCATAGTCTAGGTACACACAATGTATACGATACTCGGTTACAATGTGCAGGCAGACTGCCTACTTTCAAATCGTTAATGCGCGTTTACATCACAGTGTTGACAGACTAATCCAAATTGTGTACACACATGTTGTGTCGTGGAAAAATTTAATCATAATCTGAATACATTTCACACAGGCTATAAGGAAATGAAAACTCGAAAATACCGAGTTTGTCCGTTCAGGGCGCTTTTTGAATCCGATATTTACATTGTAATGATCCGATATTTACATTGTATCTGATAGAGATTTGTACTGTGCATAACGCACATAGGACTATATAGCAATATCCCCACACCTCAGGTTAACCTAATTCAAACAAGGTGAGTTTATTCTATCCCCTCTTCTTCCGTAACATTACTCTATTCATAACTTGAGTGCACACAACTTTTTCCTATCGTGTTATCATTTGTAAACATACTTCCTAACGCGTTATCATTTGTAAACATGAACGGGTATGTGTATGTGCGAATACACACAAGCGGCAAAACCCTTCATTCACATGAAGTCTCTGTCAACACCAGTCCATCGTCGGCAGGTTTTAATCTTCCAAATGTTTTCACCTTTTATTGTCTGGATTGTTCTCGTCACGATATGGCTGAGATATTGCCAATGTGACGTTAAATATTAACTCACTCACTCACTCACTCACTCTGTCAACACCAGAGTATAATTTGTATGATTTATGTCATAAATCACTATCAATCAGTGATCATACAAGGTGAGCTCATCCTTCCTCAGCACCGACTCCCGTCATAAACACATGCAGAGGCTGATCAATGTTTCACCTGAAAAACACGGGAACGTTCAAGTCGAAATACAGATTTGCATCGGACATCAGTGTTGTCACTTTTGCGTCAAATTTGTAAATAAAACGTTTTTGAAGCTGTACTGATCATAAGGCCTTGTCTGTCACAACCTTGATCGAACAACTTCTGTGCAAGAGCCGCATGACGATCTGTGCTTAGTATGGTGATCTGGCGATCTGTAGCCCTTTTTATACTGTATTGTCCTAATTTGAAATCCAATTTTAGAGAGAGATGCTAGTTTTATTTCTTGATGCTGTGATATTGTTGTTGGTTTTACTTTCCTTCGTTGACAGATTTGTATAATTTACATGTATTTATAGTGAAATTAAAACTTGTTTTAGTCACGATATGGCTGAAATATTGCCGATGTTACTGTAAATCGTAACTCACTCATGCATGACGATCTTTTTAAGCTTGGAAAATGGAGCTTGCCCTATGTGCCTCGAGTTGTAAGATGTAAACAACAAACACTGGGGCTGTTGGAATGTTGTTCGACATAAAGCTGGCTATTGGAAATTTTCAATCATCCCTCTAATCAAACAGCCTTTTCGGGAGTGTTGTGTCACCTCTCATCTTTATGCGTAGATCTAAATATGAAACACATGAAGATATCTTACGTGTCTCCATTCAGTTTCAGGTCGGTAAATCCGTGGAAGGGACTTGGCTGTTTGGCTGTAACTGAAGAATATCAAATCACCGATGTCCTTGCTTGGAAAAATTAATTCATTTTGATTTTCCTAACTCGAGCAAAAAATTCTGATTCATAGGAATAAAGAAATAGATCCACAAGGAGCTGAGCGCATTTGACTGACTGACTGAATGAGTTTAGTTTTACGCCGCTTTTAGCAATATTCCAGCAATATCACGGCGGGGGACACCAGAATGGGTTTCACACATTACGCCCATGTGGGGAATCGAACCCGGGTCTTCGGCGTGAGGAGCCAACGCTTTAACCACTAGGCTACCCCACCTCCCCTTGAGCGCATTTGATGCCCATAGGGATGCCATCTTCATTTTGCTCTTTTTCCCCAAAGGTTACGTAAATGTTATCAGTGAAGAAGTCCAGCATTTTCTTCAAATGATATTTGCTTCTATTTCTTAATTATCCTGAACGTCTAGAGATTGGTATGCAATCATATCTATGCTCACGGCGTTTAAATGCCGTTTAAAATGCCCCAGGGATCAAGTAATGAAGTTTAGCTGGCATGTTGTTGCATGAGCGTACGTGCATGTTGAATGGGGGAGTGTGTTGGTTTGAACAATTGTCCAGTTATATCATTACGTGTCTGATTACTGTGGCAAGAAAACCCAATTTGGTTGGTCGGTTGGTTTGTTGTTTAATGCCGCACTCAGCTATATGGCGGCGGTCTGTAAATAATCTAGTCTGGACCAGACAATCCAGTGATCAAAAATTCAAAAATTCAAAAATTCAACCGATGACATGTGTCAACCAAGTCAGCGAGCCTGACCACCCGATCCCGTTAGTCGCCTCTTACGTCAAGCATGGGTTGCTGAAGGTCAATTCTAACCCGGATCTTCATGGGTCGGAGGAAAGCCCGACGTGATACAGATCTCAGACGTCCTCTACCACTTTTGGGAAACCCACGAACATCCTGACCAACCTGCCGGTACTCAAACCCACAGTCATAGGTGCCTTCTGTGCCCAAGGGACGCAACTCTGTTTCACCTATATGCCCTGTCATTGGTCAGATTTGAAAGCAAAGACTTTCAAAGGGATGTCAACCAGCTTTCATATTATCAGTCACATCCTGACATCTCTATTGCTGATATATTTAGTGTGCCGTGTGAGATTAACCCTTGTTATCTAAACAAATACGAAAAGAGTACGTTGAAGTCGTGTATGGAGACTCTGTATTGAATAACCGTAAATCCCCCATCCATATTTACCTCACCTGCTTTACAAATTACAATATGTAAATTTATGTTTACAAGACGTTTCTTTGAAAAGCTTTCTAGTTGAGTGTACACAAAGTGTGCCTTCTGTAAAATATTTGTTTTTCCTGTCTTTGTACTACATATGTATCGATTACCTTGTTTCTTTTTCTCCGTTTGTCCTTTTTATCGGTGGTTTTATTTATGCAATGGTGTCTTTAACATGAGCATGTCAGCGTTAAGCTGGGGCGATTTCTTCATCCAGTGTGTAAATAGTACATGTTAAGTTCAGATGGCAGTGCCGGGTGGACGGGCAGCCCACTCGTAAGAAAACGTAATTTCTTACTGTAGACATTTGGCCCTTAGCACGTGTGTTCGAATCCTTGTGAAATTTCTAAAGTGTAGCATGTATTGAACCAAAGCAAGACTAGCGATGTGCATGTTTTAAATTTTACACCTGATCACCATATATGATTGTTCATTATCCCCAACTGATTGTTCAATGGTTGCCCTCTGAGTCCCCAACTGATTGTTCAATGGTTGCCCTGTGAATCAACAAATGATTGTTCAATGGTTGCCGTCTGAGTTTGAAAAGTGATTGTTCAATAGTTTACCATACCCGTATCAAATCCACACTAAAAGCCCATTCCTGGCTTTATTCATGGGCACCGCTGTCCAAGCCATCAAAGACGCCAAAGATTCCCTGTGCAAAGTTGGATCCATTGGGCACGCCAGACAACTATGGCAGCAGTATCACGTCAGGAGACACAAGAAATGGGCTTCACACATGGTACCCATTGTGTGGATCCAAACGATGGTCTTCTTACAACTGGTACTATGAAGAGATTACGATTAAGTGTGCTCATTAATATCATCTTAACACAACAATCACTTTGTGGACGGAGATCTTGAACAGGAAATAGAAGAGTACAGAGAAACCATTCCATCTGTCTCATTCTAGATCAATGCACAGATTCAGATATACAAAAACAAACTCACCACAAGACTTCTTAATATTCATTGAATATATTTGAAGTCACGGTCGGAAGACAGAACTGTGTCTTCTTTATTCTTTAAATGCAAATGTATATAGAAGTTGAAATCCGTAGATTAAGGCTGCCAAATCAAATCAAAACCACGAAAACAATAAATCTCTTTCTTTGAAACAATAATGACATCGTTGTACGTCATATGCCCCGAGGTAAGCGTACTTCCGTGTAATATAAATATAAATATAAATGTATATAATTAACAACATATACAGAATATCATTGATGATTTACATGAATATCGCATGGTACATAAGAGGTCTTGTTCAAAGTAAAAGCAACTCACGCGTTAAGAAAATTATGGACATAAATCATGATAGTCACTGCATCATTAGAAAGGTGCTTTCTTAGTGTGTAATAAACATATGAATAAAGAATTCTCTCACCATAACGTTTACAAATATCGCTTGAATGAACATGCACGCAGTCAAGTTAATTTATATATAGAAACAAGAAACTACATTGTTGCATACAAAGGTTTCTTTATCTTTTCTTTTTTTATGATGTGGTGAAGTGTACATTCAAATAGGGCTGTAAAATTGTCAGTGCGCCCAATGTGTAAATGTTCAATAACAGACATTGTAAGTTGAAATCCAGATAATGTCCCAGCTTTCTTATTACTGATCAGTTTCTTAAATGCCAATCAAACAGATGTCCCTTAAAACAACGGAACACACACGGAAATAAATAATCTGCACAGGTGTTTTTTACCTCTGTCTTTAATATCATAGATTTCTATTGATGATGATGATGATGATGATGATGATGTGTGTGTGTGTGTGTGTGTGTGTGTGTGTGTGTGTGTGTGTGTGTGTGTGTGTGTGTGTGTGTGTGTGTGTGTGTGTGTGTGTGTGTGTGTGTGTTATGTGTTGGGGATTTTCGGGGTTTTTTTGTTTTTGGTTGTGTTTTGTTTGTTTGTTTTTTTCTTTTGTTAAAAGACAAGTTCAGTATTGCCGTTGGATTCCTTTACCTGGGTCACCGAGTGATCGTCCCACATATAGTGGTGTAACATGCTTGCTGCATAACAAGTCAAACTACCAACGAACATTAAACCCTTTATTCTTTAAACGTTATAAGGGCGTATACTAAAACGACAAATTTCAAAGCCCATGGTGTTAGGGCGTAACCGCGATCTAGAAATGAATTCATATGGGTAATGTAGTTTCTGATTGGGAATGTTTTGACAGTAATCGAGGCGTCGTATAAAAGGATTGAATTCAATCGTTGTACAGAGTAGCCCGGGAAACGTCATCAGGTAAGTCGTCAGAAGGTGTTACACCTGTGTCACGTCATATTATGTTTCTTTCAGAATTACTGCGGGCGTTGTAAAAGTCAATACTAGTTAATTGGTCATGAAGTTTAACTTTAGCTTAAGATATATATCGATGGTCTGATATGTTTCAATAACAGTCAAGTCAACGAGTTCCTTCCATGCAGGCACCAAATAAAGGCGACAAGTGAGAGGCTTCATCAGTTTCATATTTAATTCTATGAATACAAATTGTGAGAGTGATAAAACTCTTTGTAACACTGTCTGGCTTCAACTTCCCTACCGAGAACTGTCCACTATGTTGAGTATTATTCCATTAGCTCCAGTATTAGCTATTTACATTTCAAAACACTTGAGCAAGCTTTAAACCACGAACTCCAAAAGCGACACTTTTGTACTCATGCTCAGAAGTTGTTCGAACAAGGTTCGAACATTCTAGATGCCAGTGAAGCTTTCAAAAGGTGTAATGGTTGACACAGAGAAGACATTTTCCCAAACATCTCGCATAAGTGACAAAATGATGTCAGATAGAATCCCCAACATGGATCTGTTGCTCATGGTTTGTCAAACGAAGAATTGACTCGTTTGTATGTGTTTGTGACGGATGCCACCAGGCGAGCATGATACACCTTTTTCACGATTACTTGATATCCTCACAATTAATCATAGTGATTCATGGCATACGCTTATGATATATTCGGGATTGTGCAGCGGACAATATATTTTATTCTTGGGGAAAGAGTGACGTCCTTTTTATCTGACACTATGTGTAAGTATTGTAATGCAAGGCAGTTCATGAATCTATTCCAATACGTATTTTGAGGTTTTAATGTGGCATCTGTAGTATTAGTATCCCCGTTTAGCTGAACTCGGTTGTCTCGAATGTATTGATATCCCTGAAGTTATTCATGTTGCAGAGGAACTTTAACAGATATTCGACAGCTGGTTCCAATCGTTCTGTCTGCTATAGATCTCCAGGGTCGTCATGCTGGGTCTGGTTATAGGTGTGGCGACAGTGACCCTAGTTCTGGGTGGGGAGCCACGTAATGCTGCGGAACTGAGGGCCAAGTACTACATGACAGACAGGGACTGGCTTATCTGTGAGAGTAGGGCGTATGAGCGAATACTCATAGAAGAACAGGAAGCGCGTGACTTTCACAAATCCGGTACAGTATTATGTACACTAGTATTGTATTTTTGTAAATTATAAACGTTCAATTCTGGACTCACTTCAACCAACTTTTGCTCTGTGAATTATGTAATGAAAATATCATGACTTAAAACATTTTATGATTAAAAGGTTTTTTCTTGAATTTTGCACAATGACCTTCCTTGAGTATCATGCAAGAAGCTAGATACCGTTAGATCTCATGATTATCAGCGAGATGACCGGACTTTTTGCTGGTGACTTATGTCCACTGTTTTAAACATATACATAATAACTGTTGTGTTTAAATATGCGTAACAAATTTGCTTTAAATATAAATGTGTATTTTGTATATCATGCAACTGGGTAAATATGTAAAACGTTCGTCGTCACGATGTGACGGAGATAAACGTGTAACTCCTCATATAGTGAGTGAGTGAGTTTAGTTTTACGCCACACTCAGCAATATTTCAGCTATATGGCGGCGGTCTGTAAATAATCGAGTCTGGACCAGACAATCCAGTGATCAACAGCATGAGCATCGATGTGCGCAATTTGGAACCGATGAAATCCTCATATACTTCTGGCAGTCTAAACCAGACCGTGAAGCAGGTATGTCGTTGTATTGCTGCAGGTGTGGATGATGTGGTAGCGGGGTCCACAACGGCGCAGCACCGACAGGTAACTGCTACACTGGACAAAAGTATGAAGATGGCAGACCATCATCGAATTTTCACTCTCTCTGTCGAGGAAGCAGTGAAACAGTAAGTCAAGACGATACTAATAATTAATATTTCATTATATCATTCTCCATTTCTGTTTACAATACATTAGCGGCATTAATGGTAATCTCACACACATAAAAACTAGAACTCTTTGTCGATTTCAATCATGTTTTCTCATCAAACTGAATTTTCACATCTGAATTTGTTAATAACCATAACAGTTCATTATATAACATATAATTCCATATGTTATTAGTTAACATATTTTCCGTCAACTGTTTTAATCAGAGGTGGTCACTGTGATTTGAAACCTCTGATTATAAAGAATGAATTTTATATGTTCCATTGTCTGAGTCTGTCACAAAACTATCACGCTATGTTTCTGTCACGTCCATTGCTTCAGTCAGTCTGTTCCCCACAATGATGTACGTGATCTGCTGCTGAGCGGGTTCGGACCCGACATGGACTGTGGAAACCACTCAGTGTGCTGCGAGGAGACGTATCCATACAGAACCGCTAACGGAAGATGCAACAACCTCGTCAACCCGAACTGGGGCGAATCCTTCATCCCTTTCAGGAGGTTCATGGATCCCCGCTACGGTGATGGTAAGCGCAAATTCTATGCATCATGAGCGGGACAAACCTGCACACACCTGTTGACAGGCATCTTACGGCGGTTTGTCAATATGAATCGCCATTCACTGTATCATTCCAAGTAAGGAAGAAATAATCACGAGTATGTTCTCTAACTCAAAACTCATTCAAACCTGTAGAATTTAAGAATTAAGAATTCATTAGAATATTTGATTGGGATTGATGTTATAAGTAAAGGGTAGCGTCAACTGGAATTCGTCTGGGTTCTCATGATAGAAATTATGCAGATGGGTTAGTTCAAAACTTGAGTTAAATAACAGAGTTATCGCTTATAACGAAATTACGGATCTATCGAATTGTGTTTTAGGTCCCGGTCACTTGATCCATATTCTAACGAACTACGGTTATGACGAGCAAAAAATAGTGGTCCCTTCGAGTTCGTAAAAAACGCATATTTACTGTACTTTAAATATATGTCCAAATATGTAATCCAAATATATCCATCATATGCCCAGAGGTAATACAAATAAAGAAAACATTTAGAATTTGCTATTGAATGCGGACATCAACTGTGAAGACTGGAACGTTGCGAATGTTCATACCATCGACCATTGGTTTGTTTACTCGGATGGGAACAGCAATCATTCACTCACTCTATGTGACCACTTCTAGAGTTTGTATAGCGTTCATTTCAACAGGCATTTCGTCTCCCCGCACGATGTCCACGGACGGCGTTACTGCACTGCCCAGCGCCCGGCTGGTGAGTACCACGATACACGAGGCCTCGGACACATCAACACTCAGCAACACCAACACACACATGCTGATGACCTGGGGGCAGTTCCTGGACCATGACTTCACCCTCACGCCAGTGCAGCAGGGTAAGTGAGGGAAAACACAGGGGGTAGCTGACAACAGCTAACTGAAACAGAGACAAACTGCAAACTCCGTCGTTGTTATTGTTAACTGATATCGAAATTGATTTAGCTAAACTTTTTAATATTTCATACATTTTATACTCACCACCCACCGTGAACATAAATAACTGCACGTCGTCACAGGTCGATGATGCTGGATAAAGAGCCCACGGGATGTGGAGGCAATTGACAATTTTTTTTATAAAAATAAAAATCAATTATTATTTGTTTCGAATATCGATCTGTCGCCTTATGAAATGTTGTAATATACCCGAAACCATTCTAAGGCGGTGGGGTAGCCTCGTGGTTAAAGCGTTCGCTCGTCTCGCCAAAGACCCGGGTTTGATTCCCCACATGGGTATCATGTATGAAGACCATTTCTGGTCTCCCCCGCCGTGATATTGCTGGAATATTGCTAAAAGTAGCGTAAGACTAAACTCACTCACTCACTCACTCGAAACCGATCTCAGAACAAAAAAGGAAATGGAACAAAAGAGTATAAATAAACCTCATCACGTTTAAGTTTATGTATGACTATCAAATTGTAGGGTGTTCCCATACTTTTTGTTTGTAGTAGGTCAACTATTAAACACGTATCAATTAAGTTCCTATCCAGTAACAAATATCATTGTATTACAGGAGCCTATGGTAGCAGTGTCAGTTGTTGTGAATCACCCAAGGTGACGTTTACACAAGCAAGACTGAGCGCAAGGTAAGACGTTATCTTTTTATTTAATTCCGCTAAAAACAATGTTTCAGTTTGGAATGAAAACCCGGAAGTAATGATGTCTTATGGGTTTACCTCTATGGTGAAACAAAATAATCAGGCCGATTCTGGATTTCGAACAACTGTCGTCGGTTTTGTGCATGCCTATGGGTGGTGGGGTAGCCTAGTGGTTAAAGCGTTCGCTTGTCACACCGAAGACCCGGGTTCGATACCCCACATGGGTACAATGATGAAGCCCACATCTGGTTTACCAGGTCGTGATATTGCAGGACACGAATATTGTCACAAAATACGTATAACCATACTCACTAATTCAAGGATTAATGATATACCTTTAAAACATCAGTCCACAATATAACTGCAGTGGTTCTTTACATTCTAACGGTACATTGCTCTCCCTATTTCCCCACCAGGCATCAGTGTTTCCCCATCAGTATTCCCAACGACGACCCGTCATTCAACAACAGCTGCATGGACTTCGCCAGATCTGTTCAAGTGCAAAATGCCAGATGCCAAGCAGGTACATGGGACTTAATGTTGTACCATACACATATCGTCAGACCCGTGAAGTTCTGGGTTAGAATTGGTCTTCAGTATCCCATGCTTGTCGTAAGAGGCGACTAACGGGATCGGGTGGTCAGGCTCCCAATTGCGTTGATCGATGCTCATGATGTTGATCACCGGATTGCCTGGACCAAGTTCGATCATTTATGAAATTTGTTGTTACTTTCGTTGTGTAATTAACATACTTGAAACGCTCATTTTAAATCAATACACAGCCTCTGATAACACAGTCAATGGTATTCATCGTCGTACTGAATTAAAGATCCGGTTTAGAAACAGTCTTCATGCTTGTCTTAATAGAGGACAAAAAGGATCAGGTGGTTCGACAAATGTACTTTTGTTGTACCATCATTATCTTTACGTCAGAACCCCTTCTTCTTCGCAGATATCATTCCACATCCGTATACGTGACAAGACATTCAAATATTTTGTCACACCCTCTTCATCTTTATCACAGCTGCCATTTCACATCGGCACAACGTCATATTATCCCGTATAATGTACTCCACAACGTTCCGTGTGTACCATTTGTCTTTCCCCCTAGCCCCTGTGGAACAGCTCAACCAGCTGACGGCGTATATCGACGCCTCCCAAGTGTACGGCTCCACCCAAGAAGAACAGAACAGTCTCAGGACGTTTCAAGACGGTAAGATCGACACTGTCGCATCATTAACAATATTCATCATTTTCCAGAACACAGTTTGATGCACTGTGTAGACACCTGGTTTCGCCCCTGATATTAAGGAGTCCGAGGTAATGATGTTGTGCTGTTTGTGCGCGCTTGGAGCATGCCCCTTTGTGGTGTGGAGTATTGCGCGGTATAAGTACCCTCATTACTATTATTCACATAATTTCCAAAGCTATTTTGCTCTTTGCGATAAATGGAATCTGTTTCCATGACAATCAAGACTGGTTATTCTGACGTTACATATATTTATTCTGACGTTACATTATATTGACGTTACATATCTAATCAGACCCGTGAACATCCGGGTTAAAATTGGTCTTCAGTAACCCATGCTTGTCGTAAGAGGCGACTAACGGGATCGGGTGCTCAGGCACGCTGACTTGGTTGACAGTCATCGTATCCCAATTGCGTAGCTCGATGCTCATGCCGTCGATCACTGGATCGTCTGGTCCAGACTCGATTATTTACAGAGCGCCGCCATATAGCTGGAATATTCTGAGTGCGGCGTAAAACAAAACTCACTCACTCACATATTTAATCAACACAAAGCTGTAATGCCTGTTTACCAGGTCTGATGAGGACGTACACCTCCAGCACGGGCCGCATCCTCCTGCCCAAACAATCCCCCACAGACGCTGCTAATTGTGTGACCAACTCTGGCAATGCGTTCTGCTTCAAGGCAGGTGAGGAGCACGTTCATGTCCATAATCCATGTTCTCAGTTTCATATTATTGCAGTTGGGCCCGATGCGGCATCTTTGCTTTAACACTAAACATTGGAGATTTCCAATGTGTAATGAGGCGGAAGCTTAATAAAGCGGTCGCCCGTCACACCGAAGATCCCGGGTTCGATTCCCCACAAAGGTATATGTGTTTATGTCATTTCTGGTGTCCCCCGCCGTGATATAGCTGGAATATTGCTAAAAGCGGCGTAAAGACTAAACTCACTCATCAATATGTGTGATTATCTGGTTAAATGTGTGATATCGAGTCGCGTGGATAAGGGGTGGATCGTCCTTTCGACTTTCAAGCTACATTGATATATACTTGGAGTGGCTTTCTTACAAACAGTCTTCTAACGGCCAAACGTTTGATATAGTCTGTTCTAACTACAATCATTGCATGAACAAATATTAACCTTTAATATATATTTCCACTTTAATTGTTTAGCCGGTTCAATTTGTAAAGCAGCGAACTTTCATTTAACATTAAGCTGACGTGTCATGAACTAACTGGAATATTGCCCAAAAGGATTTAACTAACCCCAAAGGATGTCAAACCCATTTAACTAACTCCTTCGTCCACTGACATCCATCACAAAGCTCACAGCACTAAGACCAACATCCACGGTGCATGTTTCAGGGGACGAACGCGTGAACGAGAACCCTGCCCTCACAAGCATGCAGACAGTGTTCATGCGGTTACACAACCGCGTGGCTGCCGATCTCAAGAGGCTCAACTGCCACTGGGGTGACGAGAGACTATTCCAAGAGGCCAGGAGGATTATAGCGGCCACCGTCCAGGTTTCAGTTTGTCTGCTTTCGTTTTGAGGGCAAATTTCGTTTGTCATCTTTCCCGACTTTTTCTTATCTCATTAGAATTCATTAACAGATGTTTCACCCTGTGGATCTGAGGACGTCTTGGTGTAAAGTCGAGTCAGATAAGTCCTGAGGTCTTCAGCTGCCCCATACATATGTCAGTTTTATAAAACAAATAGGCTGCATTTAAAACTGCCTCGGATCGGAAAATTTCATCTTTGCAAACGTAAACCGCTTACAATAAAATTATTAAATGTACATTTCTGCATTCGTTTTGAGAGGAGAGAGTCGTTCACATGGGTCCTCATTTGGTTGTTTAAAGATTTCCAGATGAAGTTAATAGAATGAGTGTCAGAAATACCCGATCTTATATACCGCCAAAAACCGCTGTGTTGAGCATGATTGTTGGTATAGTCTGTTTGCAGTGAAAACTTACCGATGAATATCACTTTAAACAAAGAAGTAAATCAAATAAAGTGAAATTAAGATTGCGAATCCTCATAACGTTACCTTGCCAATTGAACATTAAAATCTCACAATTTTATTCAACTTAGGATAAAAGTTGTTTAACAAACGATCATAGTTTCAAATCGCTATTATTGGTTTGTATTACAAAGGGGTATGCACATTAAATGAAACCCCGAGAACAAGAAGGGTTGGTTTCTACAGTAGTCTAAGTTAACGCTCATCACGCACCGCACGTGCATTTATTTCAGTGTTCCAACTACTGCGCGTACCCCTTGTAGGCTATAGGTGTCCGGTTGTTGTACATCATGATGTGGGTCTTCACGTGTTTGATAACAGTGTTAGCGTCTACACCGAAACGTCCCATCCATTGCAATAAAGAAGTTGTCTATCCCTAAAATCGTTCCTGTTTAACACATAGCTGACTCGCTACTAAAATTTCAGGTCATAACATATACCGAATTCCTTCCAATTCTTCTGGGCCCGACTATAATGACTCAGTACGGTTTGACGTCAACGACGTCGGGCTATGCCAACGTGTACAAACCTACCGTTGACGCCAGCATCCACAACGCCTTCTCCACTGCCGCCTTCAGAGTCGGTCACACCTTGGTCAACGACTTCCTTGGTAATTCCGATACAAGTGGCATGGATACTGGAAATACCGTCCTCAGTACAAGCTTCGGTAATACTGACATCCTCCTGAACCAACCTGGCCGGACCGTGGGCAGCTTCTGCCGTGGCCTTGCACGTGACAGCACCCAGCTGGTTGACCGTTTCATGACCACCCAGTTGACTAACAACTTGTTCCCTGACAACGCCGGGAACAGACTGGACCTGGCGTCCCTGAACATCCAGAGGGGTCGGGACCACGGTCTGGCGGGGTACGGGTACTGGAGGAAGTTCTGTGGGCTGACATACGTCACTAACATCATGGACCTCTCCGAGATACCGTACAACGTGCGTTCCAAACTGGCTTCTATCTACTCGTGAGTAAAAGTATTACAGTCCTCATCAACTGAAACAGAAACACGGGATAGTTTGCTTTCACTTATGTAATGCCGCACATGGAGCTAATATTTCATCAGGGGCGGTGGGGTAGCCTGGTGGTTAAAGCGTTCGCTCGTCACGCCGAAGACCCGGGTTCGATTCCCCACATGGGTGCAATGTGTGAAGCCCATTTCTGGTGTCCCCCGCAGTGATATTGCTGGATGATGGCTAAAAGCAGCGTAAAACCATACTTGCTCACTCACTCATTCACTAATATTTCATCTTCCCAAGGCAACGGAGTTAACCGAGTGTAAACGTGCTGTTTTCAGAGTTATGTTTGGCTGGATTAACGGGTTTATGCACAGTGCAGTCAAAATCGCAAAACGTCATCAACACTCGCTGCGTTTCGTAAACTGCAGATCGACTGTAGGATTTGCAAAGACTGGGTATCGTCATCAGAGCATGTACAGATATTCTCCAAATCCTTTCATGTTTTTTTATCAAGGTGTTCATGTAAGTTGATGCACTTCGCGAGGTAACATCCGTCATTTCAGATTGTGGAACTGATAATCGATCAGATCATCTTGCCCTGTCGCGGCCATTTTGTTTGTAGCAAATGCAAATTCACTCCTACCCAGAGTTCCATGCGGCTAGTGGGGGTATCCTTGTGTTTTTTAGCATTATTCCACCAAATTCACTAGTGGGGACACTAAAAATGGGTCTCACACATTGTACCATGTAGGGAATCGAACCAGGGTCTTCAGCATGACGTGCAGAAGCTTTAACCGCTAGGCTACCCCACCGTCTCAGAAGATAAGTGAGCGTGGATTATTCCTTTCCGGTTTACAGAAGCAAGAATCAATCACAGGGGCTTGTAACGCTAAAAACTGCCATTAAAGTATATACTGTCACTAGCGGGGTCTTAGTACTGTATAAAAGGTATATAGTACTAAAACCCCGTCAGTGACAGTATATACCTTGATGGCGGTTTTTAGTGTTACAAGCCCCTGTGGAATCAATGACATTTAACCATTTGTATTCAGATACAGTGAAACGTGGGACTTTGATGTGTCCAACTTAGGGTTGTTTCTAAGCAAAATCTTCGTCCCTACCTAGTTCTTATCATTTTGGTATTACTGAGTATCATTTTGTGTTTGTGTCGAACCTCGGATAACTCGAAGTATAACTTCGACACAACGGTGTATTGTATTGCAGGTCTCCCGACGACATCGACCTGTTCACAGCAGCTATATCGGAGACCCCTGTGCCAGGTGGGCTGGTGGGACCAACACTTGCCTGTTTACTGGGTCGACAGTTCCAAGCCCTAAAAATTGGAGACAGGTTCTGGTATGAGGAAGACAACGACTTCGTCAGGTTCACCCCAGGTACTGAATTTCTGCTCACCCGCGAAGACGTCGTCTTCAGCAACCCATGCTTGCAAGAGGCTACTAACGGGATCGGGTGGTCAGGCCCGTTGACTTGGTTGACACATGTCATCGTATCCTAAGTGCTTAGATCGATGCTCATGCCGTTGATCACTGGATTGTACGGTCCAGATTCGATTATTTACAGACCGCCGACTTATAGCTGGAATATTGTTGAGTCCGGCGCAAAGGAATTCTGCCAGATCATGCATGTTATAGCAACTATTTGGCGGCACCGCCGCTAACGGTGACAAGTAATATTACTACACTGGTTCTCGAGGATTCATGTAGCGGAATAACATAATAATGTGTACCTTTTCCATATTCATAAAGATATTTGGTAAATGCAGAATCAATGGTACAATTCTGACTATATCATAAGCATGGGTTTTTGAATCGCTCTCAAATACTGACGATGGCGGGTGTTTGAGAACAGGCGAGCGTACCCTGTCAATCGGTGGCTCCGGTACAAACACATGCAAAGGCAGGTCAATAGTTCAGCTGAACAATGAAAGTAACATATGGTACAATTCAAAAGGGAGAATAGCATCCGTCATCATTTTGGTCACTGATTTGACCAATTTGGAACATGGTCTTCTTTTGAGCAGGAGCCTTGAGACGTTGAAACCATCGTAGAAAGAGTAGGCTGGATTGTACCAAGAATGGTGTGCCAGTGAGTTTTTACGCCGCCTTTAGCAATATTCCAGCAATATCATGGCGGGGGACACCATTGGGATTCACACATTGTACCCATGTGGGGATTCGAACTCGGGTCTTCAGCGTGACGGGGTGCCAAGAATGGGAATATAGAAACTTGATATACGAGGATACACAGACTCAACCCATGGTTAGAGGTTAGGAATCATACGGAAGAAGACTATTAGTTGTGCAAAATATGAAGTGAGTCAAGCAGGGTCAGTCTTTCTCTGATGCATAGCGAGTTCTGAACAACCTTTGCCCTGTTTGATTCATGTTGGTTAACCGTTTCAGCCCAACTGGAAGAGATACGGAAGGCCACTCTGTCCCTCGCCATATGTCACGGCACCAACACAGAGCAACTCCAGGTTGAGGCTTTCGTAAAGAGGTACATCCCTGAATGAGACTGAGGGTTTTACGCCCCTTATAGCAATATTCATGCAATACCACGGCGGGGACACCGGAAATGAGCTTCACACTCTGTACCCATGTGGAGAACGCTCACAATTTTTTGTCAAATCGAATTTTCAAGTGTAGACTTTTCCGTCTTAAAGTTCACTTAGTCAGCTCTATGTCAACATGTTATATTTTTGTTCAAGGTGACCTTTGACCATAATGCTCAGGCGAGTTTTCAGAAAACATGCTGCAATTAAAAATGTCACGAGAGGATCTTTTGTCAAATCTTTGAAGGGCATTTAGAAGTGGAATGCATTAGAAAAGCAAGATTTATGGATGTCAACTTCGCTATGGTGAATCACACGGAGAAGGAGCAAGTATACATTCCGAAACGTCGTGTCATTCACAATAAAGAAGTTGACACCACAGGCCCTCGTGTCTTTGCGAAGATTAAAGATTTAAAATAAACAATGTTGAGATGACCCCGACTCGAAATGCTTCACAGGACAATACACTATGACATGTATTGTACTGTGAAGCATTTCGAGTCGGGGGTCATCTAAAACAAATATTTTTTTTAAATCTTTAATCTTCGCAAAGACACGAGGGCTGTGGTTGACACCCATAAATCTTGCTTTTCTTAGGATCTTTATGTACGAAAAGACGTTTTGCCAACATAAGAGTATGATGCAAACTAAAATATCCTGAACTGGATCTAATAACTTGATCGTTGTCCAACTGAACATGTATTTGCTATGTAACATTATATTGTTGCAACAAATATCCTTTTATTAATATCGTACATCCGCAACAATTGTCCTTCCAGTTCAACATTGGTGGACTGCGATAGCATCCCAACCCTTTCCCTGGATCCCTGGCGAGAAGCGAATGGAAGCTGGTCAAGCTGGTCTGAGTGGTCACCGTGCCAGAACAACATACGCACCAAGACCAGGACCTGTTCTCCATGCTATGCAGGATGTGACGGACCGAACGCCGACAGCGAGGCCTGCGGGAACACTTGCAGCTGGAACACATGGGGGACGTGGGGCTCCTGTGTCAATGGTTCTGGAGAAAGAAACAGAACTTGCAAATGTTCTGGTGATGTTTCGCAATGGAGAAAGTGTTCGAAGGTGTCACAGCCCATTGTTTGATACAACGGTTTCAACAATTCTGAGGGTGAGGGTGTTCTAAGTTGTATGACTTGTACCCAGTCCTTTTCACATGAATAAAATGTTTAAAACAAAACAACTCTGACGCATCTGATAACTACGTTCAGCACTCTTTACATTTCAAATGATGATTTTTGTTTTGCTTTGTTTTGTCTATGTGCAATAACATTTACTCAAAACCATGATATGAACGTGTAAAAAATAGATGTCTTAGCTACAAGAAGCTTAAAATGGAAGTATATTTAGAACACAATGCTCTAAATGATAAATGAGAACAATAATTTCAGCATTTTTTTCAGGTAAAGTACAATTTGTTTGCAAAGATTCTCCTAAAGACTGGTTTGTAGAAGAATTTCACTTTATCTGATATCGTATAAAACATACGTTATTTCCAAAAGTTTCTTAAAAATGAACTACTGTGAAGTAAATTTTGTTTAATTATACATGTATATTATATTTTGTATGAGTGTGTAACGACCGGTCGTCGATGTACTAATCCCTGAACCCATGGCAGTACATTTATCAGTGGGGCAGTCTGTAGTCTAGTAATTAAAGCGTTCGATACAATGTTTAAAGCACATTTCTGGTGTCCACCGCGCGTGATAATGCTGGAATATTAAAAAAACCAAAACATGTCAAACCTTATTTAGTCACCCACATAAATCAGATATGGCTTGTGTCTTGTTATGCCGCTCAGATCAGGTCAGAAATATTCCAGTAACAAAACTAATCTTGATATAATCGCATCAAGACCAGACAGTCCAGTGATTGACCTCATGAGCATCCATATAGGTAACTGGGTTTCGATGACAGCTATCACCTAGCGTGACTGACCACCCTATCCCGGTCATCACCTCCTATGACCTAAACAATCAGTTGATGCCGATCTGCAACACTGATAAGAGTGAACTGGGTTTTAGGCCGATCTTATCAAAATTCCAGTATCGAACTCAGGCCTTCCGTCATTCTCTGGAGGCAAGCCTGACCACTACTAGCCCAAAAATCCTAGCGGAAACTATACACTTACCTCGAAAGACTTCCTTCGTGACGATCAAACTACCTATCCTCAATACTACCTCAACATGAAATGAAAACGCCTTTACTCATGTGCTTCACCTCACGTTCTCATAAAAAAATATCTACAGGAACACGTTAACGAAGCATCAGCTACATTCAGTTACTCACTTTCTGGGAATACTTCAGCCTTGTCCCAAGCATAATAAAGAGTGAGTGAGTTTAGCTTTACACCGCACTCAGCAATATTCCAGCTATATGGCAGCGCTCTGTAAATAATGGCGTCTAGACCAGACAATCCAGTGATCAACAGCATGAGTATCGATCTACGCAATTGGAACCGATGACATCTGTCAACCAAGTCAGCGAGCCTGACCACCTGATCCCGTTAGTCACCTCTTACGACAAGCATGGGTTACTGAAGATCACTATTCTAACCCGGACCTTCACAGATACCAAGCGTAATACAAGAGTCTCGGTGATAAATTTATGACAACTTTGAAGATGTGGAACGACGTGAGGATGATGTTATGTAAGCTGTCTTTGCCCATTTCCCAGATGATCCAGTCAGCTGTTGAACTCAATTTTCCACAGTCGCCATTTTGGTTTGAGAACGAAGCAGCCTGAGTCACCTATTGGAGCGAATGTAAGTGGCTGAAATTTAGCATTCCGGTTAGTCTTCTGCAAATGAAACAGGTCCCTAAATCCCAATGTGTTTCTCCTTTAAGCATTTGGGTACCCATTCAATATCTCAAAGGAGTGAGTTTAGTTTTACACCGCACTTAGCAATATTCTAGCTATATGGCAGAGGTCTGTAAATAATCGAGTCTGGACCAGACAGTGATCAACAGCATGAGCATCGATCTGAGCAATTGGGAACCGATAACATGTATCAACAAAGTCAGCGAGCCTGACCACCCGATCCCCTGAGGAGCCTCTTACGACAAGCATGGGTTACTGAAGTTCAAAATTCTAAGCCGGACCTTCACCGGTAATATCTCAAAGGCACACTAACACAAAAATTCAATCAATGCCAATATATTTTATTAAAACACAATGCCAACAATCATCAGTGGAAAAGGAAATGGCCGTTTTTTATTGCATCAATATCAACAAAATCAGTGCAAAACATGCTTCCAAACAAATTACCACTCAACAGTTACGGACATCACTAAAGTTCCAGTTCATGTTCTAGACAAATCACCTTTAAATTTCCAATCCACTACTCCACTTTCGATGAGCATATTCTGAGCATCCATATAGCTGGACCATTGCTGTTCGGGGTTAAACAACAAACTTACATGTGAGCATCCAGAAGAAACTAGATGTGGAGAGAGCTTATTTAAGTTGGATAACTTGTGCCCAATCCGTTTCTTAATTGAATAAAATATGTTTCAATCAATCAACTAGATGTCTGAAGCATGCCATCAGGATGCAATTTGGGCATAATACTGTTCTTGAGCAGCTTAATCCAGACCAATCTATCCCCGCAATGGACTCTCAGAATATTCCAATTGCGTGTGGAGTAGAACAGTATGTTGAAGTCACTTCTACTAATAAATGCCAACAATCGTGTTTCCAGAAGCAACTCTAAACTCTTTAAGAAATCTGTCATCATGTGCAAAAAAGCTATCAAAACAGATTTGGGAAACTGTTTTAGTACCCAAGGATTCACAAATGAAAGTTTCCCAAAAAACAATATCTGAAGCAATTGTATCATCTTGTCATGGAAAGTGTTGTCCTACAAATAATTTCCAGGTATAAATAAAGACATTATAGCATACTGCATGAATGCAACCGAAGCACTTTCCACTGCATTGAAATATCAACTCGAACACCACTTTCCACTCTAATCTATATCACACCAGCATCAAAACATGTACAACAATATATTCCAGTCTCACAGTAAATGCAACAAGTAACACATTCTGAATATATTGAATAGGAATCTGTCAATACAATACTCCAACCATTAACCCATACCTGTAATTGATTAATTATTCAAGTCAATTCATTGGTCTGTTTAGCATCATAATAAACACTTCATTGTACATCATTCGTGAAAAATTATTAAAGAAATTACAGGAATAGCAAATATCTTCATAGTCCCCACTCCTACACAGGACCATCCATTGAATGATGATCTTATGTTAGTGCTCTAATTACATCTTACATTGTTATTGTAACACGAATACTTGGGGACTGAATAAGGACCCTGATATTAATCATGAGGGTGTTTAGTAGTTTAGGGATCCCGTATACATACTGGTCGTGAAGCTTTCATAAAGATGCCGGAGAACCAAGACAACTTTGTTTTAGCCCAATACAAACAAATAAATACTACGTTCATATGTATTTCAGTCTCGCCTTAAAAACTATACTTAAATCGGTGACTTTGGAAACAACTATTCCTAAACTACTTAAGTCTAATTAGTTCAGTTTTGCAAGGAAATACAAATTGCCATGGAAACTTAAAACAAAAACTGTAAAATACATTTATAACTGATGTATGTAACGAACAGGTTTTCTCAACCTGTTCATTTGTTGTATATTTTTGTCGAAATCGTATTTCGAATTACACTTACAACAAACTAAAATTAGCAGTCCATTTGACTTCATATTTTAATGCATTTTGATATGAAAAAAATTGGATTTGTGATAGATTGGGGAACTACATAGTATACAGGCTCATTATTGGCGAACAAAATCATATACAATCATGTATTCATTATCTGGCTGAAGCAACTATAAGAGATAGCTATGTCACAATTTGAAATGTCTTCATTAAGTTGTCAATGCATGATTACCCTGTGATAAAGGCTCCATGATCATTGAGTTGACAGAACAAATGCAAACAAGGCTCATTCATTTTGAAGAATCAGTCCATATATACACTTTCACACCAAACATCTAAAACGTAACTCATACTTAAAATAAATGCTGATAGGTACACTCGCTTTTCAAATCTTGCAGCATCGCATCTTCCGTGAACAATGTGTTTGTAAAGAGCATAAGAGTTAATGCCTTGCATAGAAAGGATTTACATAAGATTTGACAAAGCATATAGGATTTGGCATTAAGCAAGTAAAACATATTCAATAATAGCTCTAAAGCTTTAAGTTGAAAAGGGTACATTACATCTTTCAAAAAGATGGTGTAAATAAAACATTGATGAGTCAGATTTTAAACTCACCATACATGATCATGATGTAATGTTTTATTTTTCACACTTTTAACCAGCAAAATAAAGCTGAAGTGACAAGATTGAGAGCAATGCAATTTGAAAATGGTTTCTAGCTGAGCACTGATCATGCGTACTGGGTTTGGTTCAGCGTGAAGGTACTGTGGCTGTTTTGGTTCTGGTTCTGGTAGTACGCTGGTCGGTAGCCCTTCTGGGTACGCTCGTGCATCATCTTGGAAGCCTTGTGGAGTTTGTCTACAAACTCGGGCACACCTGAAATAATGGGACACTGTATATTAGCAGGATTATTGAAGGGTAATTATTGGTTACCTGTCTTACAAATTAACATGAATGTTAACTAACCTGTTGTAGACTGTAAGATAACTGTTATCTTACGTACTGTAGCCTAACAGACATTGTTACTTTATAAGCTTAAGCTGAGCAAATGTATCATTTCAAATTGTAATTGAGTGAGTTTAGTTTCTGGACCAGACAATCCAGTGATCAAAAGCAAGAACATTGATCTACGCAACTGGGATACGATGACATGTGTCAACCAAGTCAGAGAGTCTGACCACCCCGATCCAATTAGTGGCCTCTTACCACATGAATGGGTTACACTTTATGTTGTTGCCAAACAGATTATGTAATCTATATATGGTGTTGCCTCACAGTTATTGTTATCTTACCTGTTGTAGCCTTACAGAAGTTGTGATTTTATACACTGTTGCCTCACAGATCTAGCATCTTATATATAGAAGCCTAACAGATGATGTCATTTAATACGCTGAAGCCCAGCAGATGCTGTTATATGTAGCAGCTTCACACATTATTGTTGCTTGCTTCAAACATTGCAACAGATGTTGTTCTTACAACACATTATCTTACCTGTGTAGCCTTACAGAAATTCTTTTATACACTGTTGCCTCACAGATCTAGCATTTTATATATAGAAGCCTAACAGATGATGTCATATAATACGCTGAAGCCCAGCAGATGCTGTTATATGTAGCAGCTTCACACATTGTTGTTGCTTGCTTCACACATTGCAACAGATGTTGTCATCTTACATGTTGTAGCCTAGGAGATGATTGTTATCCTACCTGTAAGAGCTAAACAGATGTTTGTCATCATAGCTGAGCTACTATAATACATGTCATATTACCTATCACACCTATGAAATCCCCTTCACCTACCTATTGTAGCCATCAAGTTGTAGCCTAAGAGATGACCTTCACCTACCTGTTGTAGCCATCAAGTTGTAGCCTAAGAGATGACCTTCACCTACCTGTTGTAGCCATCAAGTTGTAGCCTAAGAGATGACCTTCACCTACCTGTTGTAGCCATCAAGTTGTAGCCCTAAGAGATGACCTTCACCTACCTGTTGTAGCCATCAAGTTGTAGCCTAAGAGATGACCTTCACCTACCTGTTGTAGCCATCAAGTTGTAGCCTAAGAGATGACCTTCACCTACCTGTTGTAGCCATCAAGTTGTAGCCTAAGAGATGACCTTCACCTACCTATTGTAGCCATCAAGTTGTAGCCTAAGAGATGACCTTCACCTACCTGTTGTAGCCATCAAGTTGTAGCCTAAGAGATGACCTTCACCTACCTGTTGTAGCCATCAAGTTGTAGCCTAAGAGATGACCTTCACCTACCTGTTGTAGCCATCAAGTTGTAGCCTAAGAGATGACCTTCACCTACCTGTTGTAGCCATCAAGTTGTAGCCTAAGAGATGACCTTCACCTACCTGTTGTAGCCATCAAGTTGTAGCCTAAGAGATGACCTTCACCTACCTGTTGTAGCCATCAAGTTGTAGCCTAAGAGATGACCTTCACCTACCTGTTGTAGCCATCAAGTTGTAGCCTAAGAGATGACCTTCACCTACCTGTTGTAGCTATCCAGTTGTAGCACACCGTAGGGAAGGTTGTCTGAGGATCATCATAGTACGTCAGGACATATTCCAACCCATTCTGTAAACAGACAAAATCACATAGTACATGTTTTACATGTGCTGAGGAAAAGTTGTACTGATCTTGGCACTTTCAGGTTGCACCAGTACAAGTTCTAAATGCTTACATCCAGCCCTGGCACATGGAATACATTGTGTCCTTGAATCTCCATAATGCACAAGAAAACTATCCAAGCAGTAATTTAGATATATAGGCCTAATATAAATGTGGTAGCTTGTATTAGGACTAGAGGAATCCACCCAACTGTCCGAGAGGGCGAAAATGGAGAGATTCACAGGCAGCCTATAATCACGTGGGATGCTGGCCCAGGAAGGGGAGAGGCCCATTTGGGGTGAGCTAATTTTTAACTGTTTATTAGGGAACAATAGGACAGGTTTCCACTGTACCTTGGAAGAAAGGGGAGATAAGCAATAAACGTATGAGTCAGGATAGGGAAAAATTACTAGAATCAACATCTCTGACTCCTCATATTGTCAGATGTCTCACCTCATCAAAGTCGGAATAGGGTTTGATGACAAGAGCTGACTGGAACTCTGTGACTCGTACTATGTTGTCCTGGACTGGGCAGATAGGATGGTTGACCGTCTGACTGTACATTGCCATGATCTTGTTGGAGGTGTCAACCTGGAGGTACAGAAACAATGAGAACACGCTCATGAGACCTACCTATCTGAGCTGTGCCCAAACAGTTTAAGTCTATAATATAGTGATGACAAAACAATCAGTTAAACTTCAAGACAATTTTCAAAAGAATTTTTAATTTGACTTTCCCAATACCTTACATCACCAAGTGTTCAAGTGTACTCAAGTGAGTGAGTGAGTGAGTTTAGTTTTACGCCGCACTCAGCAATATTCCAGCTATATGGTGGCGGTCTGTAAATAATTGAGTCTGGACCAGACAATCCAGTGATCAACAGCACGAGCATCGATCTGCCCAATTGGGAACCGATGACGTGTCAACTAAGTCAGCGAGCCTGACTACCGGATCCCGTTAGTCGCCTGTTCAGACAAGCAAGCATGGGTTGTTGAAGACCTATTCTACCCCGGATCTTCACGGGTCTGTACACAAGAAATAGGACATCTGTATATGAGCGGGACATACAACATGTGTCCAATACTTTGTCCAAACTTACCATATATCTTCTGACATACACATAGTCACGGCTGTACATAGGATACTGGAAACAAACCAACAAATAATTATAACACTACAATAAATACACAACAATTTATGTACTCACCACGACAATCATGTCCTGAAAACACATACTATATTTGGTTTCCCTATCCATGACGGTTACTGAGAAAATCTGTTCCAACTGGGTATAACGTGCAGTAAGTCAAGAAATGCATGACAAGGGCCATAACTCTGTAAAGAATCGTAACACGGTTTCCATTTTCTAACTCCATCAAGGCATTAATGTCATGAAAACATGTACCAAATTTGGTTTCCCTATCTATAACAGTTTCTGAGAAACTGTCCCCTTTGGCGATATTGTGCACAAAGTCAAGAAAAGCACGACAAGGGCCATAACACTGTAACAAATTGTAACACTGTTTCCATTTTCGAACTCCATCAAGGCATTAATGTCCTGAAAACACATACCAACTTTGGTATCCCTATCTATAACATTTTGTGAGAAAATCTGTCCTCATCATCTTGTACAGATGGACGGAAGGACAATAAAGCTCAAACTAATATACCCCCGTGTGTACCTGAAGTGAAAGAACTATAATCATGGTGTTTGTGTAAATTACCGGAAACTCCGATGTCCAGTGGACTACCTCGGAACCACTTTCCTCGTGCTTGTCGATGATCCTGATGTCGAGAGACAACTTGTCCCACTGCTGCCAGAACTCCAGATCAACCTGCAACACAAACATCAATTGAACAAGTGCATAATAAAATATATCCATATCTCAGAGTGAGTGAGTTCAGTTTTATGCCACTCTCTGCAATATTCTAGCTATATGGCGGTGGTCTGTAAATAATCGAGTCTGGAACAGACAATCCAGTGATCAACAGCATGAGTATCGATCTATGCAATTGGGGATAGGATGACATGTGTCAACCAAGTCAGCGAGCCTGACCACCTGATCCCGTTAGTCGCCTCTTACGACAAGCATGGGTTACTGAAGATCAATTCTAACCCAGATCTTTACAGGTTTTCCTTAGAGTGAGTGAGTGACTTGGTTTTACGTCGCTGTTAGCAATATTCCAGCAATATCACGGCAGGGAACACCAGAAATGGACTTCACACATTGTACCATTTTGGAAATAAAAAATCCTGGTCTTTGGCAGTGACGGGCAAACACTTTAACCACTAGGCTACCCCATTGCCCCACCATTCCTCAGAAGATACTGAGATTACTTCAAATGTTTCTGTCAAAATCCATTTATCTTGAGAGTTGTGTCAAAAGGTATCCAAAAACGGAAAGCAAGTTGTAATACAAATAGTATCTGACAGGCTCAAGATCAGTAATGTTTCTTACACACCATAAAAGAACATCATTTCGGCTTCAAATCGATGCATAGTTTGGCTATTCTCATGATCCAGTGGTGCACTGTGATGAGGTGCACTCCTGGCAAATAAATGCCTGTTGATTGTCAAGCTAATGAAAATAAAAAAATGGCCAGGTACTCAGAACTATTTTAACACTCTAAAACCATAAAGTTTTGAGACAGGCATAGCTGAAATCGATGGAGGCATGTCTAACTTGTCAACTCATTACAATCAAGAAAGTAGTCCATCATAATCTGACCTCAGGTCACTACCAAGAATTAGACTTTGACATTTCACCAAATCTTTGAATGGCATTTAGAAGTGATACACATAAGAGAATTTTATGGATGTCAACTTCTTTACTATGATGAACACAAAGTTTCAGAGTATGTACTTACTCCTTCATCAGGTAAATCAATCATCATCATTCATCTGATTAAGGATGTAAGTACATACTCCGAAACTTTGTGCTCCTCATAATAAAGAAGTTGACATCCATAAAATTCTCTTCCTTGATACCTCATACATGTTTGATATAATGTTGCGCTATATTCTGATCATGAACAAATTCACCACGACAGTTGCTTTACGGAAGCAATGCCCTGGGATTGCCCTGACACAGAAATCTGTGTTAAAATGCACAGGTCAATATTGCTGTTGGGTCAAATTTGACACTTGTGATTCATTTTCAAGTTTGAAGATCATAATGCAATGTCACACTCATATGGCTATGATCGATTATTTATTGCTTATGAATCACTGAAATTATTTTCTAACAATTTGAAAAATAAACTAAAATATGGCTACAGTGTTAAATCAAAGTATAAGTAAAGTTACTTTCAGCCCTAGTTTGAGAAATAAGTTACCTGAGTATTGAAGAAGGCTCTTGCAGGAACGTCATCGAACTTCCCATAAACTGGAACAGAAAATATATAATCACACATTTATTAAAATACTTTCACGACACATGCTGCATTGTTTAAGAATTAGTATTTAATGAGAGAGAGTGAGAGAGAGATAAACACCACTTTCAGCAATATTCCAGCGGTATCACAGCAGGGGACACCAGAAATGGGCTTCAAACACTGTACCCATGTGGGACTACCATAGTCTGTCTCCCTGACCCATATTATTTTCTCTACTGGCTAGCCCTCCCTGCAATGCTAAAGCCCTAAATGTAGCAAGTCTAGATTTCCCCAGGAATCTGTGGTCTCCCTAGGGCTCCTTTTCAAATTTAATGGGTTTATTTGTTTCAATCAAAATGATATATAGTCAGAGACTAAGTGTTAGTCTACGCTATAACCACTAGGCTACCCCACTGGCCCGTGACATGGCTGAGGATGAAACCATCTACAGGCCACTCTCCAGGCAGATACCCCATCCTCTCCACCACAGTCAGTTGATAAAAGAATGTTACAAATGGGGTCTGGAAAATATACAGTCCTAAGACAAATCTCCCCTCATCTTCCTCTCACTTGCCAACAACCACAACCTCTCACTTGTATGTTACAACCATAACAAATGACTAGTTACAAATGACTAGTTTCTAGATCTTCAGATATCATTCTTTCCTGAATCTTTTGCTCACTCACACGAACAATCTGGAAACTTCAACACCAAGTGGCTGATTAAAACGTCAAGACTCGATATGATCAATGCAAAGTAGGTCAAATATTCATACCAAGGGGTATGATATCACAAAGATGAAGCTGATTTTAAAGAGATTGTATCTACCATAGTCAGTATGCGAAATAGCCACTGGCCTGCTAACCTGTGGCTAGTAAAATCCAGTCGGGCCATTAAATCTCCACAGTCTCTGACCGACTGGCTAGTGAATTTTCATGGGGTCATTTAGTAGTAGTAACTTTCAGGGATAGCTAGCCAGACTGGCTAGCAAAATTTGGAAACTATTGCAGAGTACAGTAATGAATTACCTTTATATTGGAACAAGCTGGAGTTAAACTCTAGGGGTCTTCTCCACACAATCAGGTGTGGTCTGTCGATGACCTTCTCCCATGGACATGACTCGTCGACAACCTGACTGCGAGTTTTTCGGACCAGTTCCTGGATGTGGACCATGTCATACACAGACCTGAAACATGTCAAAACTGATTAGGAAGGAACACTTATGTTTCCAGGGCCCTGTTCCTGAAAGCGATCGTAGCGCTAAGGTGATCGTAACTCCCATACTTTAACACAGACTTACGACTGTCATAGCGCTACGATCGCTTTGAGGAACGGGGTCCTGGACATGAAACCATGGTCATACAACCAAAACATGTAAAACTGTTTACTAAGAAATGTTTGTGTTTCCTGGATGTGTAACCAAGGTAACAAAACCAAAAAATGTCAAAATTCATTAGGAAGGACGCTTGTGTTTCCTGGAAATGAGACCATGGCAACACATCGAAACATGTCAAAACTGATTAAGAAGGAATGCTTATGTTTCCTGTTTGTGTAACCATAGTAACACACCTCATTCTAGAATGGCAGATCTGATCTATAGAAAACAAACAACTTATTTCAGACATCTAGTAAGAAAATGTCAGTTGATAAACTTTCTAACAATACAGGGATATTCTCAAAATGCATTAAACATGACTAAACATGTTGAACAATGATCATACTTTGAATTTGTTTCCTTGTTACCATAGTTACATGATATACTACACTTTAAATTTGGCACAAAAGCTGCTTATAACGTTTACATATTTGCACGAATCTTCAGACATCCATATTCTTTGAAGGTGAATTAACATTTAGTAAAACAGGAGGAAGATAACATGACAAATATACAAAAAGGCTAAAATGTATTCACTACTAACATCTTGAACACTGCAATGGTATATCTAAACTCATGATCAGACAACAATGAAAAGTTATTAGATTTTCATCCACATCTTCAGCAAGATGGGCGAGTGAATTTACATCGATCGGCAGCAGGGCAATGACTGATTCTCCACAATCATGTAGGGGTGAAACGGTATACCACGGTATTAGTATAACCATGGTATTTTGCCTTTGGTTCAGTATATCATACGGCAATCCAAAAATTTGGTATTTTCGGTTTTTGTACAGTCATTTGTATGTCGTCATAAAATGACAGTTTTGCTTCTTCATAATAACAAAGACTATGGTTATTTTATTTCCATGTTATCAAACAATGTAAGGTTTGGCTCTTGTCAGCTTTCTGCACAATGATCATATCTCATATACCGAACAGAAACAGATAAATTTGTTGAATTCTGATTGGTCAATAGCCAAAGAATACGAAAACATGGTGGCGGATTTGCCGAGGTGTACATACCATACACCCTCGTCAAATCTGTCACGTGACACAGTACACTGGTTGTACAAATGACCTTGACCTTAGATGGAATGTGGCTGCAAAAAAGCTGATCGCTTCGAAGTTGGCGCATATAATTATGAGTATAAACAGAGAAGTATAATTGCTGCCATAATTTCTTATTTGTTTGTGTCAATAGAAATATGAAAAAACAATAAAATGTTCCTGTATTTCACTTGTCGTTTAACAAAACTTCAAATTCGACCATTTTTACTATAAACTAAGCCATCACTAGTTATCTCCATTAATGACAATTGAGGAAAAATCATCTCGAAACGTTTTGCGTCTCATTCTGCCAAAGATTGAATGTTCGTTTTTACAGATACACTAAATTAAGAGATCTTAAGGGCTCTGCCTCAGGAAATATGGAATTTATAAGAGTCTTACAGTCCTGTACTCCCTTTCAAAACACTGTAACTACGGTAATAACATAGCGTACCCTAGTAAGAGCATACCGTTTTACGGAATCACCCTAGAATCATGACTGTTTCAAATGTGGTTTATTTCATTAGCATTATCAAGATACAGACACGCACTATCATAAGCACGGATGTTTACAAACAAGAACATGTGCTGTGCTATTTATAGTTCTTATTCACTGCGTAACTCCATTCATAAAGCCAGATGTTTGGCTTTGGGACGACAGACTAGTGTTGCGTGTGTTGACGCGTGAGTAACCAGTTATAACAAGACTTTGTTTGCATGTATTCTAGCTGCTATGTGATTATTACTGTATTATGTACATGTTAGTATGTCTATTCAGCTTAGTAGGTCCACCTCAGTCCTCGCATTCGGTTTGAAACAGTACACGAGGCGCACTCATAACAAATGACCTATGGAACTTTTCGTACACGCTATGACTGAGTGAGTTTGGTTTTACAGGGTTTTACATAGCTCTTCTAAACTGGGAGTCCTGGGGACCCAGGGCATATTTTTTGGGGAGTCCATTTCCAAAACTGGGAGTCCATCAATCTCATATCTGCATGAAATCAATGACCATGCCGATGCTTCCCATTTGATAATGATTATGTTATAATATAGTTACTTTCAATGTCATTAGAATAATGATTGGAAACAGAATGTTTATATCTGAACAGCACTGACAATAAACATACAGTACCGAAATGTGATGTGGTGTTATCTCTTATTGATTTAAATATGAATGACATTGAACTATAACATAACAAGACAATAGAAACTGACTGTGACAATACTTGAACCCATTCAACACCATAGGCCGGAAAGCCGGCCAAGACATCATGAGTCCCCAGACATCGCAGGGCGGTAAACCGGCCAGGCAGTAGTCGCATCAAAATGATCTATAATTTTAGGAACCTAACTAACATATGATTCTTTTATCAAATCTATCACATTTCACAATGTCTGAAAATACTTATTAAATTTCAAATGACCATATTATCGACAGGATTAGAATTATAAACTATTTTTGCAATGTTATTGAAAAGAAACAATTCTCGGACACATGCTTCGGCAACGGGTCCACACCAAAGTTGTCAAAGAGAAGAGTAACGATGTTTCGAGAAAAATAATCATACAAATTGAATAAACTGATGAATTAAATCAACAACACTACTCATAAAAGCTGTCAAGCGTATATTAGAACTTACTATTTCCATCTTTTTTGAGCGATCGTGAAATGTAATTGAAGTGACATCTCAGCTTTCTTCACCTCGAACTTTACGCTTGGACACGACGTTTAATGCTAAAACATGCATGAAGCATTTTTGTCACAGGTCATAACCGAGCTCGATATGTCCACTAAGTTTCATAATATATGTATTGATGGTGATTGTTTGCGTAACACGTTCTGAATAGAGGGATTTTACCCAAAACTTCCATCTGAACCTATAAGTTTTCGTTTACGAGCACGGTATCCATTGCTGTAATATGATTGGCTGCCTTAGGTCACATGCACAATTGTGACCAGTCACGATCCTTATAGCAAACTCTGGGAAATAAGCGTCATTAGAAACCAACCTTTATCCAATAAAATCGCTTCTTACAACTGCGAAAATACTCTTGGCAAAGGTACAATAATATTGTTTATGTTCAGAACTCTCGAACGATACCCGCCATCAAACGAATTTGCCTCACATGTTATTCATACAAAGCTTCGAAAACTGAGGTATTTCCCGCTGTTGCATCACGTTAGCGAGCGGAAAGCCACTGATATCGGGAAATAGACGACCATACATATTATTTGAGAAATCTTTTTAAAAATAATTTTCAAATATTGCGTCCATAAGGACGCACTGGATTTTCGTTTGGGGGTCCTTCATCAAATTTCTGCGTCCAACACGCAGGAATCCCGCGTCCCGTAAAACCCTGGTTTTACGCTGCTTTTAGCAATATACCAGCTATACCATGGCGGGGGGCACCAGAAATGGGCTTCACACATTGAACCCATGTGGGGAATCGAACCCGGGTCTTCGGCGTGACGAGCGAACGCTTTAACCACTAGGCTACCCCACCTTCCCCGTACACGTTATGAAATTTCGTCCCATATAGATCTGAAGTGGTCTCTGGTATATCGGATATGGGATATTACTTTTGATGCCTGATTACTTTTATCAATGCCAGGTTTTGGAGGTGAGGTGAGGTGAAATTGGGTTTAACGTCGTGCTTGAGAATATTTCGCTCATATGACGACGTGCATGCGTGTGTATGTGTATGTGCGGCTGCTTGTACTAGCCCAGACTAATGCTGATTTTATAGTGCTAGCCCACTGAGATACCATGCCGCAGTGAAGCACGAATACCCCACTCAGACACATTATACTGACTCCGAGCCAACCAGTCCTTGTTGTACCCATTAATGCCGAGCGCCAGGCAGGGACCAACAAGTACCATATTTTAACGTATTTTGGTATGCCGCGGTCGGGGATCGAACCCACGACCTTCCGCTCTCCCCGGGCGGACGCTCTAACCACTACACCACGGAGGCGGTCGCCAGGTTTTGGAAGGAAAGAGGACATCGTCATCTCTTTTCTTTCTTTTTACATTTTTTTATCTTGTAAAGCAAAAATGTTCCATCAGTTTTGCTTGTTAGACACTTCATTTACCTTATTCGCTCCTCAAGCCTCATTATGCCACATTTTAGAATGTCCATTCAATTCCATACTATCATGCCATTTACCAGTATATATTTCTAGCTTAGAGCCTTACTGTTTCTATAACAACATCTCTGTTTGAAATGACCAAGATTAGGAAAACTAAAATGATTTCATCAAATTGCAGAGGTTTAGCTTACAAAAATTAGAGAAAAGAAGTTATTACCGTATCAAGACAAAATACTCAATTATTTGTCTACAAGACATTCATATTTCCCCTGAAACTGTGAATACCGTGCAGTTAAGAATATGGAAAAAAACAAAAGCCCTGGAATTTATGGCTTCCCAATTGATTTTTAAAAAAAAGTTTTGAAGGAACTCAAAATTTGGATTTGTCAATAACACTTCAGAAAAAACCCAAATGTCCATGTATAACTATTAAAAGAGGAGTAGTAACTTGCATACCTAAAGCAAACGGAGACAAGAGTTTGAAAAGTAGTCAAAGTGTTGTGGTGACCTTGAAAATAAGGTCACGGTCACCAAAATCGACTGGTATCTGGGTAATCCCCCAATGTAGGCTATCACCAAATATGAAGAGTGAGTGAGTGAGTTTAGTTTTACGCCGCACTCAGCAATATTCCAGCTATATGGCGGCGGTTTGTAAATAATCCAGTCTGCACCAGACAATCCAGTGATCAACAACATGAGCATCGATCTGCACAATTGGGAACCGATGACATATAGCAACCAAGTCAGCGAGCCTGACCAACCGATCCCATTAGTCGCCTCTTACGACAGGCATAGTCGCCCTGAATACATAGTCCCCCATTCCGCATTGCTGCGGGGAACAACAAAACACTTTTGAAAAATTGGAGACCTAATACTTCATTGAATGCACTTTATAAAATTATTAGCGCTTGTATTTCTAACCGCCTAAAAAAAACCTTATATTCCCTAGTACATGCAAATCAAACATGCTTTATTCCAGGCAGAACTCTCAGTGAAAACACAAGATTACCTTATGACATAAAGTTTGAAACTAACGAAAGAAAAATGCCAGGATTAATTCTCTGAATAGATTTTGAGAAGGCGGTCGATACAGTATCTAAAGATTTTTTAAATATTGTTTTAGATAAATTTGGTTTTGGTCCTGAAATCATTCGTTGGTTAAATATACTGACATATGAAACACCATCCTGTGTCATCTAACATAGTAAATGAACGCGATTGCAGGCAAGGAGATCCTTTATTTTACGTAGATTTATAAAAAAAATTAATTTGAATTTGTATACATTTAAAACTGGATAAATAATAATATGGTAAGCCCTCATTAGGCAAATAGTCCCCTTAATCTAACCGTATGCACTTGATACATAGGTAGCCATAGAAATGGTCTTCATGGCACCAATCAACCATTTCGCAAATCATGGAACGAGTCATTGACAAATAAACAACATATATCAATAGTACTGTCAATAGTCCACGCATCTTATGCCATACAAAATCACTTGTTTAATGTCATGTGTCTTTGAAATAAAATTATATATGATAAAATATATATATATTACAATCCATATTTGTCTTTCAACAGATCAGGTGTTTCACATTTTTGTTATGTCTGAATTGTTCAATTCTGATAGCGCATGTCACATAAAATATATGTCCTTTCAAAATTCCATTGAGTTTGATAACAGTGAACAATCAGTCAACATACTATCCTTTGAACAAAGTATGTTATTAAGAGGCCCAGATAAGCTGTGTATCTGGGTAAAATATGCATAGAAAATTTCCAATTACGCATTGAAAAATAATTGTTGCATACTAATAATTACTAATTACGCATTTAAAATGTTAGATACGCAAAAAGTTTATTATAACAAATACGTACGGAATATATTTATAAAAATCGCTTGCGTAATGAAAAAGACATCGATTGCTATCAAGTTGTACTGTCAGTATAGGATGTTTGGTTTTTTATGAAATCATTTCCATTATATTTAAGTTGGTTTTGATTAGGTATGACATAAGGCAGAACATACCTGCTTAGTAAACATACTCAAAGACGTAATACTTAGGTGAGTAAAATCACTGAAATACCCATATATTTGAAAGCAGTGGGTAAAGTAAAATGAAATACCCACTCAACATTCATAATACCCACTCCAAAAAATACAATGGGTACAGTACCCACATGAGCTAAATCTTATCTGGAGCTGTTATTTTTACATCAGCGCATAGATACCATATGTTATTTTTACATCAGCGCGTAGATACCATGTTATTTTTACATCTGCGCATAGATACCATATGTTATTTTTACATCAGCGCATAGATACCATATGTTATTTTTACATCAGCGCATAGATATGGGGGTATTCTGTCTGCTCTTATAAACCCATGTACATCAACACTCGCTTTTAACCACAGTGATTGGCCATGCAAACCATTAAACATCAACAGCGGATCGTTACATGGATGTGTCTGTCCATCGCCCTTGAGGCAAGGCCACATGCATATTAGACAACCAATACATTCACCACATCACACTGGAATTCATAACCCAATTTAGATTAAATATTTACACAAGACACGACATTTGCCAAATGCCAATCATTAATCGCTATATGCCCTTGACATCATTATAGGCAGGGTGAAGCTGTTCAGTTATTCTGCATAATCCTCGTAATCGGAGTTCTGGCACCCCTAGTTATATTTGTAATAATGTGATTAACCAAGCAAATGACGACAAATACACAGGTCAAGGACTTGTACAATAAAACATGGATGACACGATGGGAGCAGTGGTAATAGTTTTATCATATGTCATTTGCCTGCAAAATAAATGTCTGCTGTTTTGAGTTTAACTGAAATTCCTTTCATTGTATTGTTGCATAATCATGTGTCCCATGTGTACTGGAGTACATACCTGTACACACACATTTACACACACATACACATTTACACACATGCACATTTACACACACACACACACACACACACATTTACACACACATACACACACACACACACACATTTGGAAGGTAAAGGGTTTTTGTAAGCATCTTCTGGAAGTAGTCAGTGAGTGAGGATGGTTTACCTTTTAGTGAGTGAGTGAGTTTAGTTTTTTAATATTCCAGCTATATGACTGCAGTCTGTAAATAATCGAGTCTGGACCAGACAATAAAGTGATCAACTGCATGAGCATCGATCTATGCTTGGAAACCGATGACATGTGTCAACCAAATCAGTGAGCCTGACCACCTGATCCCATTAGTCGCCTCTTACGACAAGCATGGGTTACTGACGATCATTTCTCACCCAGATCTTCACGGGTCAAGGCTGGTCAAGGCCACTGTTAGTCCAGCACTATACTGACTGACTGAGTTTAGTTTTACGCCGCTTTTAGCAACATTCCAGCAATATCACGGCGGGGGACACCAGAAATGGGCTTAACATATTGTGCCCATGTGGGGAATCGAACCCGGGTCTTCGGCGTGACGAGCCAACGCTTTAACCACTAGGCTACCCCACCGCCCCTCCAGCACTATAAGTTATAAGTGGACGGTTTAACTATTAGGCTACACCACTGCACCCTTATGCGAGGATCCCAAGGGATTGTCAAGGAGGTCATCCCGAGCTGGTCCCGATGCTTTAGTGGCCAAATCAAGAAAGTTTCTGTAGCATTCATAATCATATAATAAACTGTACTGGCTACGGAATAGTTATCGCCACGTAACTGTTATTGCCAATAATCAGTATTACACGCGCGCAATTCCGGTCATTTTTCCAATCGGTATTTGACAACAATAAAGGACAGCAAAAGAAAATTATTCACAGTAAGTAACATAAAAGAAAAATTAAAGAAAACTTATGAACCCTATACATTTTTTTGAACTTAATCGGAGGGATGTCACACGATCTATATAATAGCAAGTTCAAGTTCACAAGTCATTTACAGTTCCATTCCCGATCAATTTACTGTAAAAGAAACACTTCAATAGTTTCACAATCAATTAATCGAAATTACTGTAAGATATAAAAATATATATTACTTCACGAATGGCATGAGAAATTCTAAATGGTGGTAACTGTTACAGTTCGTTGTGAGAAAACATCTATTTATACTGCCATGATTCCCTCCCGTCGCGTTATATAAAAACATGATCGGCAGCAATGAACAGGCTGGACACATCGGTGAATAGATAATTAAGTATCATATTTAATTCTGTTTCATTAATTTAACGAACTGATGAGTAATTTTGTAAATACCGCTAAAATATGGTGATAACTGTTGGTAGCCAGTATAGTTATGTTAGCTCATAATGGTACAAACGCTTTGTGGATCTGGCCCTTGATAGGGGAGGTTAGTAAAATGGCACCAGCTATACAACTGTACGCTGGAGTATTGTTTCCCTTTAAAATGTTTATATAATACTTAACAATGATGTTGAACATGCAAATGTCACAGCTTTTCAAATTTAGGTTCAAGGTTCAAGGATTAGCAGGGGAAGTTACAGATGACAATCTTTCCTGTTGTTTTTCCTGTAGTAATTTAACATACGTTTCCGGTATACTGCACTCTTGTCTACAAACCTGTTGAGGGCATCGTCTCCTATTTTGTTCTCTTCCCAGGAGAAGAGTGTTGCTGCCAGCACGCAAAACAAGGATTTCTTGTGAAAGCGACGTAAAAGAGAATTGCCAACTTGATCGATCAACTTTTCTCCATAGAGTCTATTGTAAAATGCCATAATCTGAGTCGCTCTTTTCAATCTCTGAGCAAGTAAGAAACTACATTGTTTCTCAAAACATTCTGCGATCACTGTGAATTTGTGATTACAGTTAGCTGAGAGTTCTTTAAGAACTGTTGACCAATTTTGTCCGAATAACGCCCTTGCACACCCATATCCAAGCCGGTCGGCGGTTTTCTGTACACAGATTTCCTTTCCCTTTGCGTTACTTGAGCGCAAAATGTGTCTCATGATAACCCACAGGTTCTGTAGTTTTAATTCCCTTGCCATTGTGACTATATTCCGTGAAGTTATCTTGGGATCACTCAAACATGCTCTGACACCATGCCCTCCAAACTGTTTCGATGCAGACGCATGGACGAAGTTCTGTTCTCACGGTCGGCAACAGATAAAATCACATCACTATTCTGAAGTATCACAACCACACAATGTAATCTTGATTTGCACTTATGCTATTGAACATTTTAAAACTATTATAAAATGTCGATTTATTACAGTGTTGTTGTCATCGTCCATGTACAACTGTCCAAATAATCGTATTAGGTTTTATCGACTAGAATTTCTCACATGACCTTTGCGACTTCCTCCATTTCTCGCACCCGATATCTCGCGAGAGGTCACAGCCTTGGCAACCACACACTCACAACATGGAGGATTGAGCATCATTTGACGTTGTATACATCTAACATCGTGAACTGAATCTGACATCTTGCATAATGGATCAGTTTGGAACCTTAGAACTCGCGTAAGTATATGTGTCTGAAACGTGTAGGTAATAGTACCAACAAGACCATGTTCGAAAAATGCCAGAAATTCGTTATTAATGAAAAATGCAAAATGTAAACACTGAATTTGTACCGCTCACCTAGTTCCCTACATTGGGCCCGTCACAATTTTCTTCCGTTGATTTAATTTTGTTGATGGTACGGATGTGTTTGCTGTATAATACCGAACCCTAAAAGTACTGCATACTTTGAGAAAGAATACTTCAGTTCATAAAATGAACTGTGGACGATCGAGCACCTGTGATCAATCATCATATTCTCATCAGTTTATCAAGTTGTAAAATAAAATATGAAGGTATCCTTACGCATAATTACGCCTCTTTCCATCCAAACGCCATGTCCATCCGTTTCATTAATGTTTTAAAGATTTAGCAAAGGGTTGTCACGTACAGAAGAACATTCCTCTATGTCATGTCAAGACAAATGGAAATGTCACAGATGGTTGAAGTACTCATCCTGCCAAATTGTCATATTTCTAGAACCAGTGTTCACGAATGGGGTTTCAAAGTAACAGGACAGTGGGTCCTGTAAGTTTCAGGTGTCTGTCTGACCCAGTGAAAATTCACAGGACCCAAAGAATAAAATTAAACACACATTTCATTTTCAGGTTTAACATTTGTTATAATTGGCATTAAATTATTAACAAGTATAAGATTTACAAACAGCAAACAAGTGTCACATATAACAACTTCGGTCAAAGTCGTTGTGAAATATACAGTCAGACACTGGGGCCGGCAGGCCAAGTTGTAGACTTCTATCAGACCTTTTTCAAATCTGCCAGATTTGTCAGAGGGTCAGACGCTATTCGTGAACACTGTAGAACCCAGACTATTAAAATGAAAACCCTTCTATTGTTTAATAAATCTCATTGTCCAACCCCATTATTTACACATTCAGAAAATTGGTGGATACTGTAGAAAAAGTTTGATTTAAAAGACATTTCATGACATGTTATAAAGCTCATTCAGTTTGTTTGTAGATCAAAGGGGTAAATCTCTTAGCCTGTTTAGGTCATTTGATAAAGGCATCTGACTAAAATGGGATGCAAATTTCTATGATTTGAATCTCATGCAGGGGCTACATCTGCACAATATGCATTTCTTTTACTTTGTTCAGGAGAATAAATAGTTCTCTAAGGATGGATATATTAAATTATTGATATATCATTGGATCGTAGGTTGTTGGATGTCATACATTTTCGGATGGCAAAACTCACTCAGGCTGTAATGAAAGGTATAAGCATTGCACAGACATTGTCAATTCTTGAATAACGCCTTGTGTTCAGGATAAAGTTGTCTTTTATTAGTTAGTGACATTTTTTACAATATACCAGTGACAGTCAAAGGATATTCTTAAGTGTCTGAAACCCATATCATGAGCATATTGCAATTGTTTGCACTATGATAGCACTATCTCAAGAGGAATTAAAAAGTGCAAGTAAGATTGTCAATAGCATGCACAGTCAATAGTTTAAGTAGTGGCAATTAGTTATAAAAAAAACAGATTGTTCAAATTTCAGTGTTGCCTGTCTGTTAGTCAGTAATAATTATGACAACTTCAGATTAGATTTATTTCCATTTCTTTTGAGTGGCAACAGGGCAATGTCTGACTTTGATATCGTCAATAGTACTTTATTCACTTCTGTTAGATTGATTTACATGATTACCAAGTCTTATGATACATATCTTGATTCTGAGGTTATGATACGCTACGTATTGTGATACTGCATTTCCGACTCTTTGCGAGTAACAAGCAGCCATTACCTGGATGGCAAGTTGATACCATAGCTCTCCGGTCCACAAGTAACTATTAACAGTTAATCTGAGTCATATCTTTTATCCTTAAAGATTACTAGAGAAAAGATAACATTAGGCCACATAGATTATAAACAGGCTTTTGTAAAAGTTTTTATATGAGACATTAGGGACAGTTCATAATTTATGGCTAGAGGGGGTGATGATGATTTTAAGGGGGCACCCATTTTGTTCTTGGGAGCTGGGGGGTCAGCAATTTTGTACACACGTACTAGGGGGGTCAGAAATTTTGTACATAAAAATATGCTTAAAATCATGCTTAGAAATTATGGGAAGGGGAGGGGGGTTCATTGATTTTGTACATGTGGGTTACTTATTTTGTACCTAAATTTTAGGGGGGGTCATTCACATTGTACATGCTTCTCCATAAAAATCATCATCATCATCCCCCCTAGCCATTAATTATGAATGGTCCCTTAGTGCAACATCAAAATAATAATCAATATAAGTCAAAATATGAATCAATAATGAAACAAATGAATCCTGTATGGTATTGTGCAAAGCTTGCCGGCAATGCACCGATGCATTGTGAATTGTGAAATTACAAATAGCAACAGTGAAAACAGCCTCTGTTACTTAAGTCACCCCTAATGATGAATGTTTGTCATTCCAGCTGGAGTCAAGGATATGGAGGCACGGAGGCTCACTACATCGACAAGGACATCATCTGTTTCCAGTGTGGCAAAAGCATCAAATTCGTGGCTGAAAATGGTTTGGAAACTGTGTTTGCCTTCAAGGGCAATGGCAAGGGCCCGTTTACAGCTCACAAAGTCAACAAGTGTTTTGCAGTTGCAGAACAGTGTCTTAATCCCAAGATATATGTGTTTGTGTATCCAACAATGAGACAGCTTGGTGTCTTGGAAGGTGAGTGTAGTTTACAGAAGTGATAAAAATGATTTGATTGTTTCATAGATAAAAGACAGGTGATGTTTACTGTATATAGCTACTGTTTCTTCTCAGGGTTTGTACCTAACAACTTCTAAAATGCTACTCAAAGAAGTAAAAATAAGTATGTTTCACAGAAGCAGGTTATAAATGAATGTTTATGTGTACTTGTCCACTAAAATATCTCTGTTTCTGTCTTAATTGATGGATAGTAAGCTGTGAAGTTCAAAAGAAATGTCACTACTCAATTTACAAACTCACTCACTTCTTCTCAGGGTTATTATTAGCATAAAGCCGCTAATTTGAGAGCCGTAAATTTCAATTTGAGTAGTACACATAAAAATTAATTTATAACCCTGCTTCTGTGAATCATGTATATTTTTACTTCTTTGTGTAGCATTTTAAAAGTTGGGAGGTAAAATACTGATGACTTTATGGATATCATTTTACTTCTTTTATATATACGTCACACTCACAAAATAAAACAAGTTGTTATCCATAAATTTGCCAGTTTTGTATGTTTTCATATTTCCACTATTTTTCCTAGCAGAATGTATTATTTCACAATCCCATGTCCATGATATGTTCTGCTAATGAACAAGGTCAACGTGAGAAATTGTTAGAGCTATACACTAACAACATTGTCGTCATTCAGTTGTATTGATCATAGTATTCTTATTTTAGGTGGAGCACAATTGGAATTTCAGCAGCTTGTGTTCTCAGCTAGTGAATACCTTCTCAGCCTCTCAGGGTTGCCAGATTTTGAAATGACTCTCTGGTATGTTTCCTAAGCATGCAATAGTTCGTGATTCCAGTCCGGTATAATTTTTATGAAGGCCGGACTATTTCTTTGTTTTATACTCTTTGCAATAAGGACATCTTGTCCTGTTTTGTTCCCTTCCTATAAGAAGAGTGTTGCATGTACTTTCAGCGTTGACATAGTAAGAACATTATGTGAAAACAATCAGGTTGACATTTTCAATGTCATAACACCAGAAATGAAATACTAACTCGGGTGACACTGCTACAAAGAGGCGTACATCAGACCATATTACCCTCGAAAGAAGCATACAACTTATAGTAGAGCTTGTTATCTATTTTATTCCTGTTTTCCAGGAAATATGAGAAGAATATAAAGCTAGCTTCAGTTAAGATCGGGTCCACCCCACCAACAAGTATTTGCTTCAATCCTGGCAATTGGAGACAAATCTGTGTGACAACTGACAAAGCCATCACAGTGTGGCAGACGGAGCAGGCAGACGACAATTACATCTTGCTGCCACAGTAAGTACATTTGTATTTGAAATTGTTTCAAAGTGTATTCCCTTAGGGTGACTTGTAGTAAGAACTTGCAGCATGAAACAATTGCAACTAGTTGCAACATCAGAACATCCAAATCGTAATGGTTTGGAATCACATACAACTTACTAAGTTGCAGCCAAGTTGTAAGTCGTACTAGAAGTCACAGGTCCAATCTGACCAATCAGATTGCCTAGATATATGTCCGCCTTTGAGTGACATCCCTTTGTTTGTGTTTGACATCATGTCGGAGACTTGATTGAAGAAACTTGATTTAAACCAGAGAAGAATATGAGCAGTTGTTTGACCTGAGAATCCAGTTGCGAAACCCTCACTGATTTAGCCTTTCTTTTCTCCTCTTTTTAGTGACTGTGATGTGTCTTTAGCTTGTTCCGCACATGACAGCAAAATTTGATATGGATGAAATATTTTCTTCCAGACATGTCAAACTGCCCCCTGAGGACCCCAACACAGGAGAGGATGAGAAGGAGAGGGACGTGTTGACCCGGGCGTCAACCAGAATGACTCAGTACACAGTTGACGTGCCCAAGGCAGCCATTGCTGGACTGGTGGGAGAGATGGCCGAGAGATTGTCTGAGATTCAAGACGAGACTGTCAGGGTGGCACCGGTGTCCCAGACTTGGACACCTACAGGGGATATCTATGTTGGATGTAAGGGCGGACACCTGTTAAAGGTAGGTAATCCGCCTATAAATCTGTTTTCAAGTGAATCTGCTATTTGTTTGGTCTAAAAACATCTTTCAGGCAACTTTCTGACAGTTAATGTGACATTTGTGTGTCCAGATTGATGGTGAGCTGATGAAGGCCAGGGTGCTGTACTACCCACCCCCTGCAGCTGAGACCCCCAGGTCCCGCGCCACCAGTGCAGGACGCAGCAAGACCAGCATTGGGGACAGTCAGCCAATAGGTGAGGCAGTGTAGATCCCTTGAGGGTAATCAGAGTTGAAAGCTTAATTACGTTCTGTGTGGCCTAGTAAATCAAGCAGGTGCCTAAGAGAGCAGAAGTTTGGTGGTTCAATTTCCTGCTGTGTCATAGAAAACAGTGTTAAAAGATTATACTGGTTGTTGCCCGACCTTGTGTTCTGAATAATGGGATGAAACCGAGGACTCGTCAACTCAGAGTCAATATACTGTATCTAAATGGGGTATGTATGTCAAACTCTGACATTCTATCTCAATGGACACACACATTCTCTGGACCCATTCCCCACTATAGCATTCAATGTGAAGACCATGATGCTATAAATAGTCATCAATTTACCAATGAGCCTTTGAAATTCTATTGTAAATTACTGGCAGTTGGGTAGCCTAGTGGTTAAAGCGTTCGCTCATCACACCAAAGACCCAGGTTCGATTCCCCAATGTGTACAATGTGTGAAGCCCATTTCTGGTGTCCCCTGCCAGGATATTGCTGGAATATTGCTAAAAGTGGCATAAAACTATACTCACTTCCAGAACAAAGCTATGATGGTGAATGGATCCAGGATTACATTAATGAAAATAGAATGGATATATAATACTTTGGAGTGAATGAGTATGGTTTTTACACCACTTTTAGCAATATCACGACGGGGGGATACCAGAAACCACTAGGTTATCCCACCGCCCCTAATGCATTGGATGATGACGGATGACCATGACTCAGAGTCTGGAATTCAAACCCATGGTCACAGGTTTCTGGCATGCCTAAGGGAGGTAACTCTAAACAGTGATTTGCATTGCCCAAGATGACTAGGTCATCTATGCCACAGTGTCCTGATCTCCCTGTCGTTTTGTGAACAAGATTGTTGGTGTTTTTGGTTCAGCTGATGAGCTCAGTGCTATGGTTCTGGAAGGGTCAGTCAACTGTATTGCTTTACACAGAAAAGGTCTCTATGCAGTCGGAACGGTAAGCATCAGTTTATGATAAATTAGCACATTATTATTGAGACATAATTTATTGATAAAATGGAATTATCCCCAAGTATGTTTGAATTCAGAATGTCAGAATTCATTATGTAACATCATTTAAAAAAATACACAAATGTACTTTGATTACACAATGCCATTTAGAAAGGGTAACAAATGTTAACATATGTTTTCGAAAGCCTAAAGCGATTAGCAGTTACGCCAGCTGAGTTCAATAAATCAGAGTCAACATATAGCTATTTAGATTACACTTTTAACAGTACAATGTTATTTTTGAAGTTAGCAATTCATTTGGATTACCTTTCGGACCACTCAGAAGTCAGGTTACAACGCCAGCACACAAAAGTCAGCCGTAGCTGAATGGGTTAGGCTGCTGACTTTGTGTGCCGGGCTTATTAGGTGCCTGACTCTGGAGAGGGTGTGAGTTCGAATCCTCGGATGGGGCTCAACTCAAAAAGTACCAGAATTTGTACTTTACTAAGAAAAGTGTAATCCCAAATATAACATATGTTGCATTTGACCACTTTCTAAATGGCATTGTGTAATCATAGCTTTGGCCGCGGGGAGCCGTGCCAATTAACACTTATCAGAGGGTACACAAAGCCGGCAGTCTAGACTAATAGTTGTCCGACTTCCATTTTGTGGAAGTCATGGGTAGCTGAATGGGTTAGGCGGCTGACTTTGTGTGCTGGCGATTAGGTGCCTGACTCTGAGGGTGTGAGTTCGAATCCGGATGGGGCTCAACTCAAAAAGTACTAGAATTTGTACTTTACTAAGAAAGTGTAATCCCAAATATAACATATGTTGCATTTGACCACTTTCTAAATGGCATTGTGTAATCATAGCTTTCGGCCGGGAGCCGTGCCAATTAACACTTATCAGAGGGGTACACAAAGCCGCAGTCTAGACTACCAGTTGTCCGGACTTCCATTTTGTGGAAGTCGCAGTAGCTGAATGGGTTAGGCGGCTGACTTTGTGTGCTGGCGATTAGGTGCCTGACTCTGAGGGTGTGAGTTCGAATCCCGGATGGGGCTCAACTCAAAAAGTACTAGAATTTGTACTTTACTAAGAAAGTGTAATCCCAAATATAACATATGTTGCATTTGACCACTTTCTAAATGGCATTGTGTAATCATAGCTTTCGGCCGTGGGGAGCCGTGCCAATTAACACTTATCAGAGGGGTACACAAAGCCGGGCAGTCTAGAGAAAGTGTAATCCCAAATATAACATATGTTACAAATGTACTTGTTAAAGCAGGTTTTGCGTTACAGGTCCTGCCTGAAAGTGTTTAGCTCAACTAGAGAATATTTAGAAATCAGATAATAGATTCAATATATACAGAGAAGAACCCTTGTGATAATCTTCTCTTTCATGCTCTCATACAAATAGGAATTTGAATGTACCTTTCTTCATAAGAATAGTCTGATATTTCTGGCTAACCTATCTTAAAAAAGCAGAGAAATGTCAAAAAATGAAAGTGGGACAAATCTTTTCTGGGGACAATCCAAGTATTTTGTGTGCAATATAAACAGCTGGCAGCCATTGTACTGTTAACAGGTGGTCGTGCCACCTTAACCTCATACATTCAGTTATTTCACAAACTGGTGGTCTGCTACTTAATCATTCAACATAGTCCAATGCCTGAGCCTAGTAAAATTCAGTTTGGTTCCAATTATGTCACTATGATGTTTTGAGCACAGAGTGCTCACACAGGTTTTGTCTCCCTTGTATTGGTGTTGTTAATATCTGTCATATGTCAACTTCTGATTGTGTCCAGGATGGTATTTTGAGGAGAATCGAGACAAGCGGTGATGAGTTCAAGGTAGCAGAGCAGTGTAATATTGGAGTACCAATCTCATCTCTGGCCTTCTCTCACAACTTCAGCAGAATGGCCCTGTGCTCTCCCATGGTAAGGCAACCAACAGAATTATGCCTAGATTTGCCTGTAGGAACAGCGTTAATGTTTGGAGACACGATGCCAAGCAGGCAACAACTGATGTTTATTCCTTCGTTTATTCAAGCTATCTTTTAGGGACCATTCATAAGTTATGGCTGGGGTGGGGGGGGGATGATGATTTTAGGGGGTCATACATGATGTGCAGGTGGGTCACCTACTTTGTACATAAATTTTAAGAGGGTCATTCAGATTGTACATGCTTCTCCTCATCATTTGTCTTCACATCCAAGTAACTGGTTGTTATTTATCAAGTTCTGTTGCAACTCAGGCATGAATAAGTCTCAAGCACTCAATAATTGTTGTAAGGGTCAAGGGGATGGTTGTGTTTAGGGGCGTGGTTGATGTCATTGTATCCTATGACAGCTGTTCATAATATCAATCACTGGTTTATCTGGTCCAGATTGAGTTATTTTTACATGATGCTGTATAACTGGAATATTACTGCGTGCATAGTCAGATAACAAATTGTAATTAGCATGAAAATAATTAGGAAATACAGTAAAGATATCAATGGGCTTGCTTCATATCATAATCAGTATGTGGTCATTATGAATATTTAGGTGGATATGCCAATGTGTTATTTCTACTATCTTGATTACGTAAAATCTGCAAGGATATGTGTTCATCTTTTCAACATTTCCAGGGAAGCATTCATCTGTATGATGCTGGCGTCCCTACAAGCTTATACCCTCTTCGAGATTTCCACCACGGACAGTTCATTGCTGTCTCGGCCATGGCAACAGGATCCGAAACATTTGTTGTAAGTAATTTGCTGTCTTGGTTCTTATGATTCCTGAAATACAACGTACATAGCAGCTTGTTCTTTTATATTATGATCAGAGGATTTTATCCTACTGATTTGTATGTTATGTGGAGAGTTATCCATACTGATTGTGTACAAAATAATCAAGTTTGACCCGTGAAGATCTGGGTTAGAATTCATCTTCAGTAACCCATGCTTGTCGTAAGAGGCGATTATCAGGATCGGGTAGTCAGGCTCGCTGACTTGGTTGACACATGTCATCACATGTCACCAATTGCATATATTGATGCTCATGCTGTTGATCACTGGATTGTTTGGTGCAGACTTGATTATTTACAGATCACTGCCCTATAGCTGGAATATTACTGAGTACAGCATAAAACTATACTCACTCACTCATTCCATAATTCATGATCATATACCCAGTGGGGATTCCTGCGTCTTTATTGCTCAGAAACAGTTGCCTGGGTGATAGTGTGTCATTGACTCCGATACCAATGACGTGGATTGTTCTTACAGAAGCAATAATAATTGTGTGGTCCAAACTCAGTTATTTAATGGCAGCCATGTTAGAGATGGACTTTCGCTCGTGCTGAGTGTAAAGAACAAGCAAACTGGAAAAATGGAAAAGTTCTACCCCATTTGTCAAAACATTTGATTATTTATAATTGAACTGAAGTGGATTTCTTTTTTTTTAAATGTTTGCATAATGTTGAGGAAATTTGTCACAACATCAGATTTTATTCATTTTTTTAGAGTATTCGCGAAGATGGGGAAGTGCAAGTATGGAATGTCGCCAGTGGAAAGCTTATGTCTTCTGTCAGCATAGGAGCTCAGGTAACAAACCCATCACAGGAATATGACAGTGTTTGTCTGCATAAAAAGACACAAATTCCAATATACTGAAGCTGAGAATCCTTAGAACATCAGTTCCAGGGATTCCAGGTTTTAGTGCTCATTATATCGATCATCTGGTCCCAATCTGTTGGTTTACAAGCTGCTGTCCTATTGCAAGAATATTGTATCCATGGCTTTAGACAACAGTGGACCAAACAAATGAAGCCTTGCAGCATAGGATAACAAGTTTATGTCAATTATGTAGACATAACTTAGTAAGATCTATCAGGGGAGTTGGATGTGATCCAGCAATAGTGCAGTTGTCTTATGCCCAATGGCTATGTATCAATGGTTTTTTGACATTGTAGCCACACATTTCTATAAATAATTTTGAAAAGCATAAAATGATAAAAATGTTTCCCATTTGTGGGAGTGGATGGATAAGTTCCTTATCGTAGGACAATAAATACAGCTTGGACCAGTTTGATAAAGTATTCATAGTGCAATGACCCCATTTTTCACATTGAATAGTCGAAGGGCAGAGATTGCTGTGTGAACTAGACCTTTGTATGTTTAGAAGAGAGAAGCTATCGCTATGACTGCTGTAACTCTCATTCTTTACAATTGTCGCAGCGTAATAATTGCTTTGTGAAATACCTATTCTTACATTTAGAACTGAATCAATTCAATGCTCCAATTTTATATTTGGAACTGAGGACAGTAGTATCAAATACTCACAAGCCACCGCAAATCTGTAAAAGCAAAATTTATGTTGACATTGTAGTAAAATGCAAAAGCTATCTGTCATTTTTTAAGTAGTCTCTCTCTCTATTGAACTCGCAAAGTTGTGACACAGTGGGTGACATCTGATGTTTCCATGAGAAAGAAATTCATGTGGTTAGCAGGATGTCGAATATAACAATTATATCATTAGTTATCCTGATAAATAATTGTCACACTTAATATGGTTGGAACATGGTATCCAAATATTTTTCCTTATCCTGACTCATGCTTATTGCTTGTCTTCTTGCGAACATAGTGGAACACGTGTATCTCCCAATTGAAGTTCCCTTCAATTAAAAAATCACTAATTAGTACTCACCACGAGTTACCTCCCTTCCACAAGCGCGGGAACGAGGGCGCCACCTGAACCCATGTGCCTCACTTTCTCCTTCTTCGCCCAGTAAGCTGGACGTGAGAGCGCCTGTGTCTCCCAACACACTATATCCTTTATTTATATTTAGTTTAGTACCTCTTATATTCAGTTATAGAGGTGTAACTAGTATCCTTATTCAACTTGCATTGATTATTAGTCGTGTTTCTGCTGTTTTATTCACGGTTCGACGTGTTTGTTCAGCAGTTTACGTTCATGAGAATCTGCACAGGTTGTAAACTACGTTATTCTGCTACCGATCCACATTTAAAATGCCCTGGTTGCATTACTCCATGTTCTATTGTTTCTCGTTGTAAATTATGTATTAATTTACCAATTTCTGCCTTTGATAAATATTTATGTTCCGTTTTGAGACGGAAGGCAGATAAATCATAAAACAATCTTCAGTCATGGCTAATAGATCGGAAATTATTATACCCTGTCAACTGTTGACTGGCGACCCGCCACCGGCTGGTGGCATGCCGGGAGTTTCCCTCGGGGGATAAGCGTGGGGCGCCAGTCCGCTATGTCCAAGAAGCGACCTGCATCTCAAGACATTCCGTCTTCTCAGTCTAAGACTAGGAAGCGTCCACATCATCTCAACGCGACGCCGCGAAGCCCCAGGTCCACAGCTACGTCAAAGGGAAATCTACTTAAAACTACAAATAATTTTGCCTCCTGATATTTCTACCTGTCTCAGAATTATGTTTATATGATGATGACATTCCGATTATCATTCCAGATGTTACGTCCATAAGAAGCGTCCAGTATCTGCTACCGTCACAACAGCGCAGATAAACATGCAACCAGAGATGCCTACGCTGTCGCCTGAGTTTACGATTGAGGGTCCCGTCACTTTCACAGAGAGGCCACCCTCAGCGCAAAGCGCAGACTGTCCCAGACGACCTGGTTAACCAAATCATGAGACTGATGGAGGACCGTTACGGTTTACAGAGGCCCCAGAGCCACGGGCCCCAGAGCCCAACACTTAATAAGTCATACAGGGCCCCAGAGCCCGCCCTTGGCTTCGCGTGAGGGCCCCAGAGCCCACAAACAGCGCCGGAAGGGCAACCCAGCCCGTGAGCGATCACTTTGCTAAGGAAGTCCCAGGCCGCCTCCAGCGAAGGAGCTAGAGCCTCATCCTATGCGAGGGACATCGCGGAGAAGGAGCGCCACCGAGCCCACACCCTGTAGAACACAGAGGTCGCTTCGCTGCAAGCACAAGCTCATATGTCGAGAAGGGACACTGACTGATCCATTACATTCGAAGGTCGCGAAGGCTAAGTGGCTCCATATCTACCTCGCCCAGAAGATTTAGAAGAGCCAGCGAAGTCCCCAGCGTTAAGCCGAGGAGGTCTCCTCCAAGGTCTCCTTACACTAGCCACTCGTCAGTCCGTTCACCACAGTCCTCTCATAGATCTTCCTACAGATCTAGGACTCCGACATATGACCCTACATCAGAGGAAGAAGGTATCATTTTCTCAGATGCTGAGATCAGATACTGGATGGTGAATGAGTTACAACTTGCTTCCCCATCAAGACGAGAATTCAACTCAGACTTACCTGATGAAGGATGATGATGTAGACAATATCACCTTACCTCCTATTGATCCGATTGCAGCGGTACCAGCTAATTTGGATACAGCCTGTTCCAAATCTTCAAAAGTCCAATCTACACATTTCGGTCTTCAATGCCAAGAAATTTGCTGGACACAATATGGACCCTTTTCAAGGCCCAGGATATTGATGACAACTTTAAATTAATAAGCGATGCCAAGTCCAGAAGTTGCAAAGTAGGCGATCGCAAATTGGCCCAACTAGATACCATCGCCAGGAGGATGTTCTTTGGATTGAATAGATCTAGAACGATTAATGAAACTCTCATCACCAAGTTCAAGAATTCTACAGAGGAGGAAGATAGAATGATCTACTCAGCTCTACTCATGCAGAAAAGAGACCACCAATTTCTTACAGAGCACCTATCAGCGCTTACTGAAACTACTACCATGGCTCGTCGGCAAGGCTTACTAGCCTCCTGCTCTTGGGATAAGCAATTTACAGAATCTCTATACACAGCTCCATGGTCATCGCCCTTACTGTTTGGTGGCAAAATAGACAAGGTCTCCAAAGAAGTATCTAAAGACTCAAGAGAGGTTCTTATGATCAGATCCATGGATACCTTAGCGAACGTCATTAAACAGTCAACACAGAGATACTCAGGCAAGTCTAAGTTTTCGGGGCTACAGAAAGCACGGGACAAGAAATTAGCTGCAGCTAAAGATCCCAAGGATTCTTTTCATCGCCCATACAACAAATTTAGGGGAGGATCAGCTAGAGGCAGATCATCCAGAGGTGCCCGTGGATTTAGACGATGAAATTCAGGTTCGGAACGACTGGAGTCTTCCACCCCCAGCCGTTCCAGTACAACCGTCTCAAGTGGGTGGACGCCTTCAGCTACACTGGGAAAACTGGGGAATACTACAAGATCCATATGTATCCAACATCCTACAGCACGGATATCTAATACAACTCAAGGCCAAACTTCCGTTAACAGTCAACCCCCCAGGGTTCAACGTTCATCCGGCACAACTACCTATGTTAAGAGAAGCAGTACTTACTCTACTAAACAAACAGGCCTTAGAAGTTCTGGATCAACAAAACATCGTACCAGGTTCCTACTCCCCAGTTTTCCTAGTGCCGAAGAAAAATTCCAAGGAGAAGTTTCGTCTCATATACAACATGAGCATCTTCAACAGAGAATATCTATGCAAACCTCCGTTTCGCATGATACACTTACCGCAACTTCTGCATTTAATTCGTCCCAAAGATTACATGGCCAGCATAGATTTGCAAGACGCATATCTACACATTCCGATTCATCCCAACTCAAGGAAATATCTAAGATTTATCCTAGACGGGAAACATTACCAATGGAAGGTTCTTCCCTTCGGAATCACATCGGCCCCTTGGGTATTCACAAGAGTGACCAAGCCTATTGTCTCATACCTACATCGTCAAGGTCTTCGCAGCGCTTTTTACCTAGACGACGGTATACAAGTGGATCCAGATCCACAGCGTCTCAGACTACAGCTGAATTTTATAATCAAGCTACTAACACAATTAGGATGGTTAGTAAATCTACTCAAGTCGGACCTAGAACCAACGCAAGATCTGCAATTTCTAGGTATACGATTTCTAACAGCTCAGAATCGTATTGTAGTCCCGGAGGACAGATGGATCAAGATCCAACAACTTATTCCTCAAGCCCTACTCTCTCCGTTACCACTTCGACAGTGGCAGAGCCTATTGGGACTACTCACATCAGCTCAAGACTTGACAGTCAGAGGCAGGCTTCAATTACGTCCATTACAAGTCCTCATCAATGCTCATCTCGAGGACCCTCTACCATTCAGTCTACCAGATTATGTCAAACCACATCTACTCTGGTGGACCAAGAGATTGAATGTTTGCATATGCGTCTCCTTAGTAGAGCCGGAATCGAAAACACATCTCTACGTAGACGCGTCACTACAAGGTTGGGGAGCCCACCTTGCTGGCAGGACAGCGTCAGGCCTATGGAGCAATCAAGAGAGCAAATGTCACATAAATCTGCTAGAGATGCAAGCAGTCATAAACGCCATAAGTCACTGGAGCAACCTACTACAGAACGCTCAGTTGATGGTTTACACAGACAATTCAACAGTGGCGTTTTATGTGAACAAACAAGGTTCAACAAGGTCACAGAACCTACTGACTCGATGTTTCAGACTGTTCGATTTAGTCGACAATCTAAACATACACGTCAGAGCTTGCCACATTCCAGGAGCAAAGAATGTTTTAGCAGACGCTCTCTCTCGGCCACACCAACCGTCGCCGACAGAATGGATGCTCCACACAGAGATATTCAATCAAATAATCATGGAAATAGGATCTCCACTGATAGACCTATTCACCACTCGATTCAACAAGCAACTGACAACATTCGTGTCGCCAGTGCCAGACCCACTAGCATGGGCAACGGACGCTCTAAGCATATCGTGGGAGAGACTCAACGCGTACGCTTTCCCGCCTCCAGCGTTGATCCCACAAGTCTTACAGAAAATCAGTCAAAAGCAGAGCCTCCATCTGATTTTAGTCGCGCCCTACTGGCCAGCAAGAACTTGGTTTCCAGATCTCACTCAAGTAATGGGAAAACCAATTCTTCAGCTCCCACAACGCGCCAATCTATTGATACATCCGCACACCAAACAAGTGCACGAAACACCAGAAGCATTCCAACTTCATGTATGGATTGTATCAAGAGAGGTTATTCTGCCAGAGCGGCTAAAGCGGTCACGCTTGCCCTTCGTAACTCGTAACTTGTACGATGACAAATGGCACAGTTTTGTCAATTGCGCTGCTAAGAAAGGATTTACAGCCAGATATGCTACACATCCTCAAGTGGCAGATTTCTTATGTTATCTACGTCAAACTAAGAATCTAAAAGGCTCAACCTTGTCCACTTATCTTGCAGCCATAAGTTCTGTCATAACTATGCGAACGGGGGTCAAGTTAACAAAAACACCAGAGTTACTCGCTTTGTTACGGCGTTCCGATTGGAGGATCAGAAACGGAAGTTTCACGCTCCAGCCTGGGATCTAAATATAGTGCTCCAATACCTCACTAGTGAGGCTTATGAACCATTGCTATCTACATCGTTTGAATCACTGACCCACAAAACCTTATTCCTGTTAGCACTAGCTACGGCCGCCAGGATGTCAGAGATTCACGCTTTGGATTACGAGAGAATATGCTTTGATGATATTCATAACATCGCTCATCTGGGACTTCGCTGGGATTTTATTTAGATTTAGATTATTTATCCCTATATCTACAGCTACGCAGACGGAAGTCTCATGTACTACGATCTCTATCTGGATCAGAACTGTCATACTACGTGCCTACAAGGCTGCAGGACTCGACCCTCCAAGAGCTTCTAATCCTCACGAAATTAGAGCGCTAGCCTCAACTCTCGCTCTACATGGGAATTGCTCGTTGAATACCATAATGGAGGGATGTTTCTGGAGATCCGATATGGTGTTTGCCAACCACTATCTGAGAGATATCACCACCGAGGACGTCTCAGGTATCCACCATTTCGGTCCCATGGTCCTCGCTCAACAGTTGACAGTTCCACGGAGAAGATAAGTCTATCTTACAGATTTTATACTTATCTGATAACAGTACTAATAGCTACATGCTATCTATATATTTTGCTTAAGTTTAATTTATTATCTTAAGCTCAGTACTATGGTTTTTATATCATACTATATATAAGCTTACAACTCCTAGGAGTTTTGCTACTATATATATATGTTCAGCTTAAGTTTCATCAATCCTGAAGCTCAGTCATATGGTCATATGCATAAATGTATAAGTTAACAAACTCTAAGGATTTGGTTACTATTATACAGCTTAAGTTATAATTATATCTCAAGCACAATACTATACTATTATAGCTTAAATATATGCATATCTTAAGCTTAATACTTTGGTTAATTTATAAAAAGTATCCACTATAAACTCACAGAAGTTTATATTATCACATTGATAGCTTCAGCTTACATTAATGTTGTATATACTTTTATCATATTCTATAAATTGTAATAACCTTTATATGGCAGCTGATAAGTTAAACAGCAGGAATTCATCAGTTCAGTGCCTTTATGAAGTTCCCATAGGGTTATTACAATCATCACAGTTCAAATCACTAATTATTAAAATCCAAAGTATATATATTCCCACCTCCTTTTCCGTCGGATTCTACAAGCAATAAGCATGAGTCAGGATAAGGAAAAATATGAAATTTTTAGAGTAAAATTAATATTTTATACTTATCCTGACTCATGAGGTAAGCCCTCCCATCCTCCCCACTTAACACTTTGGATTTCTTCGGGAAAATAAAGTGTCGGGCTCGAAACTAAAGGAGAGAGTGAGGAACATGGGTTCAGGTGGCGCCCTCGTTCCCGAGCTTGTGGAAGGGAGGTAACTCGTGGTGAGTACTAATTAGTGATTTTTTAATTGAAGGGAACTTCAATTGGGAGATACACATGTTCCACTATGTTCGCAAGAAGAAGAAGACAAGCAATAAGCATGAGTCAGGATAAGTATAAAATATTAATTTTACTCTAAAAATTTCATTTTCACCAAGTTGAATAAGGCATGTTTTTACATTTAGTATTAAATTCATACACAGTGAAAATCAGAGAGATTATAGAATGCTTTTCAAGAAATCAGATTTCAGATCACTCTCCCATTATTATACCCCTGCTACGAAGTAACGGGGGTATATAGCGTTCATTCTGTCCGTCCCGAAACTTTGTCTGGAGCATATCTCTTAAAGTTTACATGCTAGGTTCACCAAACTTCACACACATGTTAATCATTACCCATTGATGTGCCTTTTGCTATTTTAATTTTTTTTACAGAATTTTGTTTTATTGCTGGTTCCATGGAAACACGACTTAGTGGCAAATATGTTTGATGGTTTTGTCCGGAGCATATCTCTTACAGTTTACATGCTAGGTTCACCAACCTTCACACACATGTTAATCATTACCCATTGATGTGCCTTTTGCTATTTTAAAGTCTTTTCAGAATTTGTTTTTTTGTTGTTTCCATTGTAACATGACTTGGTGCAAAATGTGTTTGATGGTTACCTGGCCACAACATATCGAAACTATACATGCTAGGTTCACCAAACTTAATACACAAGTTAATCATGACCCACAGATATGCCATGTGCTAAAAATTTAACAATCTTCATCTACGTCCACTTCATTGTGTGCAACAAGTTCAATTGTATGACAGGTTTCCACGGAAAACACAAAAAAATAATGTTTCCATAAATTATTACTGTAATCAGTACATGGCAAAACTATTATCTAACATGTATATAAAGTTTAGTAGAGTCAAAGAGAAGTCTTGTGAGCTGCTGATCCTTGTCACATTATATATATCAATATCAGTCATTTCCATGTCCCAAAGTGGGAAGCGGGGGTATGAGAGCTGTGCTCACTTCTACACTTATTTTTTCCAGCTTTGTATTGTGTGTACAAACTTATTCATTACAACTATTTGTTCAGGCAACAGCCCTTGCCTGCAGCCCCCTAGCTCACATTGCCCTGGTGGGCACGATGACGGGGCACATCTTCTGTGTGGACCTGACAGATATTGAGAAACTGAGAGTGGTGCACAGGTTCCGGATATATGGTGGTCCAGTCAATCACCTACAGTGAGTCCATCTGCATTATGTAACATTCTGACAGTAACAGTAGAAGTGTTAGAAAGTACAGCAGAGTTGTGTCCCTTAGTTCATTTGTTGTTGGTTTCTGTTTTGGTGCAATATGCGTATCTGGGCTTTTATGTTCGTTCTTGTTGCAAGGTCTGTAGGAGTTATGGTGCAAGAATATTGCCTGAGTGTGAACACTGACAACATTAACTAGTGACAGTCTTTATAGTATTCAAATATAGACTGGGGTATGTCCAGGTTCAGTCTAAGTAAACTTAGGCTCAGTATTATTCGTTACACTTCTATACTGAGTCTAACAAAACCTTGTGGAAGGTCGCGTCAGGTAACCTTTCCAATTGACCAATCAGAACACAGCTTACTAAATCGTGAAAGTGGACAGTCGTACATACCTTTTGAACTTTTACCTCGAAAAGTGTTTACCCGAACGACTCCGAATGCTATTTTCCGTACGTTCAGTGTTGGCGACCAGGGACGAGAACATCCATTCTGTAAGTCCCGCCGAACCCTAAATAGTAGCCGTTGTCTGATTGGTCAAATCCGTTTGGCCATCTCGCCTTTGATTGGACGGTCATAAGTCGCTCAAAGGTTAGCTGACGCGACCTTCCACAAGGTTTTGTTAGACTCAGTATAGCAGTGTAAGTATAATACTGAGCCTAAGTTTACTTAGACTGGTCCAGGCTAATCACATTATTGTGTGGTATGCTAAGTGAAAATAATATGCCAAAACCTAGTGGTACCTCTTGTCATCTTCAGGTTTGATGAGAATGGGAGATATATCCTGACTGCCCCCGAGGGAGACGAGGTGTTTGTAGCAGATGGACGACCATCACAGAAGTTCCAAATGCTGGGGTATACAGGTAAAACCAGGATGTTCTGTCACTTAATAGGGCGTTGAATTCAGTGTGAGTTACTCCTCATACATATACCAGAAATATAGGTCTCGGGTTTAGATCCCAGATTTGCCCAGATTTTGGTTGTGGTTTTGTGGGCACCATATCAAAGTTTTGTGGGCTTACAAAAGTGGCAAACAGGTAAGGAGTATCAAGTTGACAGGCTGTGTTATAACTGAAACTGTTCAAAGCAGTGTTGAAACCAACCAACTCACCTGCTATTTTCACTTGATAGAACCCAAGAATACTTGGGGGCTGTGGGGTAGCCTAGTGGTTAAATACCGAAGACGGTTGAATCCCCACATGGGTACAATGTGTGAAGCCCATTTCTGGTGTCCCCCGCCGTGATGTTGCTGGAATATTGCTAAAAACGGCGTAAAACCAAACTCAGTCAGTCAAGAATACTCAACTGAAATCTGTGTGTAGTTTCTGAAGCAGAATTTGTCTCCTGAAAACTCAGAAAAGGAATCCCTTCGACTTGTCGGGCTCATAATTTCAGTGACTAAGCTACATGATCCAGATTTGTGTTTTTAACAATAATAGACCACTTATATATATTTCCACAGGATACAGGATCATTCCTACTAAGCTTTATGATTACCCTGGTCAATGTATCACAGTGCAATAGATTTCATTCTCAGCTCCCTTGGGAGAATACAATCAAAGTTGCCAGTGAGATGCCTCAAGTTTAACAGTCACATTACCACCTTATCCTACTGGGTACCCATTCACTGCTAAATAAACAAAGGCATATTTTTGAGGAAATCACTTGCCTAAAGTGACACCACATGTTCTACAAGGCGACTAATGGGATTGGGAGGCCTGACTTGGTTGAAACATGCCATTGTGTCCATGTTGCAAGGATCAGTGCTTATGCTGTTGATCAGTGGATTTTATGGTCCAGACTCGGTTATTTACAGACGGCCACCAAATAGCTGGAATATTACTGAGTGTGGCATTAAACAACAAACAAACAAACAAACAAACAAACATATTTGCTACATGTGCTTCAGTGTGGGGAGGACCAAAGCGTTAAAACCTCTCAAGAGTCACCATCCCCTTTAATACTGTCCATGACTAAGTGTGTTGCTTAACTTTCCATGCACTCTATAAACAGTACCTCCTGCTATTGTGCTTATTCATTCCTGTTGTTTTCTCTGCAGTTGTGGACGGTAGCATCAAGTCCATCAGCAACTTCACCAACGGCCAGAATGTGCAGGTCGTCGTGACAACCAACGATAAACATGACAAGGAACAAGGGGCCAACAAACTCACAATCTTCACTCTAACAGACAAGCTGATCAAAGGTAGATACAAATTGTTGAGAACAACATGATTCTTAGGCATCCATCACTTTATTCAGTGTCGATCTCTTCAACATGTCCATTCCAATTCTAATTCTTATTCAAATTTAATTCAAGTTGCCTTTACAGTAGATTAACACTACTTTGTACATTCTTGGGGTAGAAAAGTTGTTGACAGTGAAAGCACATGGCCTCAATGGCATGCCCTGAGGAAGTTACCTCTATTTAGAGGGTTATTGAAAAAGTGGCAAAGGAATTAAAACGGAATAAGAGTAAAATTACACTTGATTAAATAGAATACTAGAAATTTAGCAGAAAATGATTTATAAAAAATAAAGTTTAAGGAAAAAACGTGTCCGTAACACAAATTATTCCCAGGATGTATTCCTATATTGTAAATGTCATCAGAATTGTTTTATCAGAGCATTTTCATATATAAGTAACTGGGGTCTTAACTTTTAGGCTTTCAGGCCTTGGTGTTGTTGTACAAAGCAGTAAGACTGTCACAGGTCTATGTTAAATAATGGGGGGTACAATCACCTAAGCTCTAAGGGACCGTTCATAATTAATAGCTAGGTGGGGTGATGATGATTTTAAGGGGGATCACCCATTTTGTTCTGGGGAGGTAGGGGGTGTCGTCAATTTTGTACACGTCTACTATTGGGGTGTGTGTGTGTGTGTGTGTGTTTGGGTTCCAGCAATTTTGTACATAAATATTATTAATAATTATGCTTAAAAATTATGAAGGGGAAGGGGGACATTGCTTTTGTACATGGCATGCAGGGGGGTCACTTACTGTGTACATACATTGGCGGGGGGGGGGGCATTCACATTGTACATGCTTGTCCATAAAAATCATCATCAAACACCACATTAAACATGCAGTGATACAACAGAAATACAGTTCACACCTGTGATACACCTAAACTCTCTGATTGGGATTATGATTATGATTAATTAGATCTGAAGATCAGCTACAACAGCCTGAAAAGTGACTTCAAGGATGAAGCTATCAACAAGATGCAGTTCCACCTGACAGTGCCGACTGAGTGGGCGGCGTTCGGTGAGAACAACACTCTGTACGCCATCAACCAACACAACAAGAAGATCTACAGTGTTCCAGTACCAGAAACTAAACCCAGGAAGGTAGGCAGCTTGTGATTATTTGTGAGTCTTGTAGTTCCATGAAATGTGTTGTTGGAGTGAGGTTAGTTTTATGCCACTTTTAGCAATATTTCAGCAATATCATGGTGGGGGACAAAAGAAATAGGCTTCACACATTGCACCCAGGTGGGGATTTGAACCCGCTTCTTTGTCGTGACAAGCAAATGCTTTAACCACAAGGCTACCCCACCACCTCATGTGTGTTATGAAAATTATACAAGAAATGTCAAACTCATAAAAGCTTATGTTATGCCCACCCCAGTATACACAGCTATATATGTAATAAAATAGGTCTATTCTAAAAAATATGTAAATGGCTGGACATTTACAACTAGAGAGAATGAAAATTAGTTTATTTAATCAGCTATATTGCAACTGTGTCATAACAGGCTGCCAATAATTGAATCTGGGCCAGACAATCCCGTGATCAATATTGTTAAAAACGGTCCATGCTGTTATGTCGCCAAGCCTCACTAAGCCTGATGGTTGTTCACAACTACAATGTCCCAGCTTTCCTTTCATCTGTTCCGGATGTGTAATTAATTATGTGACCTTTATTTCAGATGACCAGCCCTGAGGCGTACCTGTCAGCAGAGACAGAGTTCATAGGTCACCAGCTGGCTGGAGCGAAGATAATGCTGTCCCCACACAAAAAGTGGCTGGCATCATATGGCACTGATGGCTGCATCATGCTCAGAGCCAAAGGCAGCATGGTCAGTTTTGAAATACACTGTGGGGGTCAAGGTCATGGTCAGTTTCATATATATACTGTGGGGGTCAAGGTCATGGTAGTTTTCATATACACGGTAGAGGTCATGGTCATGGTCAGTTTCATACGTACCAGTGAGGTGAAGCACATGGCCAGTTTTCACATTTACTGTAGGGGTCAAGGTCATGGTCAGTTTTACATTCACTCGTGGGGTCACCTTCATGGTCAGTTTCACATACACTGTGGGAGTCAAGAGCGTGGTCTGTTTCACATACACTGTAGGGTTCATGGTCATGGTCCATTTCACATATGCAGCAGGGGTCAAGGTCATTGTCAGTTTTGCATATACTGTCAGAGCCAAGCTCATATTTTTAGACAGACAGAACATTAATATGTCAGATGAGAAAGGTATTGATGATGACTAGTTACACTCAGACACTGTGTTTCTTCAGGATCGGCATGTCTCCATCATGCCCCACGAGTATCGTCTAGATGGTGTCCACACAGCAGCATTCTCCGAGGACTGTCAGTACCTCCTGTCCTCGGGCTACGATGGAGTCCTCGCCTGTTACAACTGGAAGTGAGTACAAAGTCCTGGCTGCATATTTTACAGCTTGTGTGAAGGCTCATGTCTAGTAATTTTGCTGCCAGACCAGTAATGGGCATGGTATGATAAGGGCCAATGTTGCTTTTTCAAAAATATGCAGTAAATTGTCATGAAGTGTTTGAGAATTAGACTATGGTCATTTCATCTAAATCCTCATGGCAGGCATCATATGCAACTATCACAATATTCCAGGCTGAGGATTCTTGGTTATGTTTCAGTAAGCTGTGCTTTGTTGTGCATTGACTAAATGGCTCAAGTAGTCAGACTCAGTGACTTGCAGTGTTGGTTCATACCTCAAGTTAGTAGGAGATTGCTCTTGACCGGTTTGTCTGGTCCAGATTATGTTTATGTACAGGATGCAGATTTGTAGGTGGAAGGTTTGACTGTATCTTGATTTGAATCTTGTGAGTTTCTTGGGCTTCATCCTGCCATAAACTAAAACACAGGTCATTTGTAATATTTCCTTTGGCTTTGAATGATCCTCGGGGAGCTGAGAATATTCGCGTTCTCACTGATCTGAAGACTTATATAGCACCATGAGCATTCAACAGACTCACCTAGGAGGACTCTCTTCAAAGAATCAGTAACCTCTACAGGATGGTGCAATTATTCTAAAATCTGCAGAAACTATCTCACTATCTTTTTCTTTCAGTTTCACATCAACAGGATTAAGTAAGGCCAAGTCAGCTATAGACATGGTTCGGTCCAGGAAGGCTCGACTGTTTACATCTCAGCAACAAGAAGATGAGTTTGTTCAGGGTCTAACTGACTGGAACATGCCGGAGCCTCCATCTCGTTCTGCATCTACTCTGCAGCAGGAAGACAGGGTAAGCACAAACAAGTCGGCTCATTCATGACAGTCATGGAAAAACTCAGATTTTACAAAAGATCTAAAAATACGAAAGATCTGGATAAAACCAAAAGATCTCAAGCTTGAGGTCACAGACAAGCTTTGATAAGTCTGTAGTCATAGTTGCATGGTCTCTTCATCTTGTGAGTTATCTACCTTTGGTTGAAATTGTTTTGAAAAACAACGCAGTGGTTTGGTCATGGAACTATTGTGTTACTAGGTAACTAGAGGCATGTGTTTAATTATATCTGTTTGCACACTTTCAGATTCAGTGTTTATGTTGTTTCTAATTTGAACATTTAAGATTTTCATGAGTAAATATGCACTTTATAGAAAAATTCATTACATATTTGTTAATTTTGATTTCAAAGGAGCACTTTAGGAAGCTTTGAACCCTATATCTATTACAGGAATAAATGGAAATGGATATGGTTCTGATGATGATCAATTCTTCATGTAAAATTTCATGCTGAAAAATGCTCCTTTGAACAGTCATATTTTTAAGAGAAGGCATGTTTTCAAAACCATCTATGTTTTATCAATACATTTGTGAAAGGTATTATTATTCATATTTTGTTAGTAGTAGATGTATTCCACACTAAATCCAGACACCAGTATCTTCTCAAATGTAGGTTCCAATTTCTCATTCTCAACTCCCTTGGAAGTATACAATCCCAACTGCCTACAGGCACTAAACGGTTTATACATCCACCTCAAATCAGATACACATTCCCATAAAGGCACAGTTTTTCACACTTGTATTTCCAGTCTATTGTTGGGTAGCCTAAAGGTTAAGCGTCCGCTTATCACGCTGAAGACCTGGTTTTGAGTCCCCACATGGGTACAATGTGTGAAGCCCATTTCTGGTGTCCCCGGACGTGATATTTGCTGGAATATTGCTAAAAGCAGCATAAAACCATACTCACTCACTCAGTCCAGTCTGTGTAGGTATACATATTTCCAGCAATTGTATGTTTTTTTAATCTACTTCGGAACAAAATCGCAGTTGCATGAATGCACATGTTGTTATCATTTATAGAGAATTTATTTGATTCAGCCATTGCAAGGCGGTCACTGTTAATGCATGAGTTTGATCACAATTTTGCACACAGGAAAGGACAGAGAGAAAAAAACAGGAGGCAATTGACCAAGATATTATCTACAAAACGCCTACTCCTACGCCTAAGGCGGATGCGACTTGGTTAGAAGAGCGCGAACTCGAGGTTTGAGAATTATATGTGTCTGACAACGCCATGCTGCTTAATCTTGCCTTTGCTTTGCTGGCAAAACATTTTCTGCATATTGAAATGTATTATGTAACTTAATAATTATGTCGTGAAACAAACAGAATTCTCATGGTTTCCGATCTGCTTTGCCCTTCATGTATTTGTTAATGAAAAATTCCTTTTCAGTCCAGAATATGTGATAATAATTAGAAATTTGCTGTATGTATTTTGATTGTCACTTCACTGCGAATATCTGCTGACAAGCTAAAGCGGCTACATCATGTCACGCACCATCAGTATCACTGTTGATTATATTATACTTTTTATTTCTTTACATATCTAATTTGAACATTTAAGATTTTCATGAGTAAATATGCACTTTATAGAAAATTCATTTCATATTTGTTAATTTTGATTTCAAAGGAGCACTTTAGGAAGCTTTGAACCCTATATCTATTACAGGAATAAATGGAAATGGATATGGTTCTGATGATGATCAATTCTTCATGTAAAATATTTCATGCTGAAAAATGCTCCTTTGAACAGTCAATGTGATTGAAAATATCAAAAATTGTTTTGAAAAATATTTTCGTTCTGATAAGTCATCATTAATTTCAATATATGATTGCTATGTTTTGTCTGAACTTTTCACTGAATACTGAACCTACAAAGGCAGGATGTAGTATGATGCTTGTCTCCACTTTGCAGGCTCTTATTGATGAAGATAAACAATATGCAGACACCAAGATACAGCTTCGCACCCAGATCAGAGATGTCCGGAGAACTGTAAGTTTCAGGAACCATAGAAAACATTCAGGATCTCGTGAAAATTAAACGGAAGTCAGTCTTTTGAAATACAATATTTATTATTTGAGCTATATGATGGGCAGCCTGAATTTTCATCAATTCAGGACCAGAAGTCCTGTGATTGATATTATGAACAACCTTCCAAGTGGTTTGTTGATGACATCACCCTATTTATCAGATAATAAGGATACATTATTTTGGAACCGTTCTAACATGGGAGTCCGAACAGGATTTGGGTAAAATATAGGACAAATAGAGAATCTCACCCGAGTGTCTTTTGATATCAAATATATCACCACGAGTTGTTAAAGTTACAAATATTGGATGCTTGCCGAGGATATTTTTACTTTTGTCAACGAGTGTTGATATATTTGATATCAGAAGACACGAGGGTGAGATTCTATTTATCTTCAAAAATCACTCTTCATTAGTTTTAAATGAAAAATGTACATCTCTGAACACAGTACTGCCATTAGATTTGCAGTGCAGCGATGTCATAACATTGTGACATCAACAAGTTCATGACGTCATAGCATTGTCAGGGCATTGTACAAAATCTACTGTCAAAACGATATCTCCTAGGAGATATCGTCTGATATCACACAAGCGATATCTACCGTGGAACACAGTTTTGGATGATAAGTTATTGTTATTTGTACAGAAACCTAATCACTGAGAACATTTATGTGATGGTTGGTATAAGTTTGTAATTAATCTTCATTTCTAACATTTTTTGTCTGTTTTCAAGCACACAATAATTGTGTATTGTGTACTGACTTTTCTCTTTGGCTATAAAGAGGCACGTTTATATATTGTTGATAGTATGTTTTGGTGTCCTTGTTTAGGATCCCTTTGTTGACAGAGATTTGTGTGTGTTGCTACAGATTCAGGAAATGATGAAGGACAATGAAGGTCAGCCTGACATCGAGAAACTAGGACGACACGAGTTTGATCTGGATGTAGATGAACAAAGTAAACTACAGAGTCTTGGAGAAGCTGAGATAGCCAGGGTAGGTATCAAAAGAGTTTATACCAGATTTACAGCATTGTTACTAGATCAACAGGGATGTTACTAAATCAGCAGGGATGTTTCTATTCTCCCCATCAAAAGTTTAGACTCACCAGTGTAAATGTAGCCACTCACTTCACTCAACTGATCTGCATTAGATTTTGCAAAATATTCAATAGAGTTTAAGGGTACTGTTTACACATGAACTAATGTATTGTAAAACGAATTCGAAACGTTGAAAAAATTATTGTCATGAGTTCAATAAATGATGAAACTCAGTGAAAACTGGCAAATTCTAAACAAAACTCTTCACCAAAACGCAGCTGTTCACATGCACGATATTTGCACTTGCTTTTCCGCAATTTGATGCATGATCCTCCTGCAATTCATCTGCATAAGGTTTGCAGTTGGTTCCCCCAAGCTAGTGGAGAAATTCATCTTAGATGTAACTACATATATGTACATAACATCTAGTGAGTGCTTTAAGTGAGTCTAAACTTTTTGATTGGTAGTATATATCAGCAGGGTGGTTACTAGATCAGCAGGGATGGTACTAGATCAGCAGGGATGTTACTAAATCTGCAGGGTGGTTACTAGATCAACTAGATGAACATTGTTACCAGATGAACATTGTCACTAGATCAGCAGAGTGGTTACTAGATCAGCAGGGATGTTACTAGATCAGTAGGGATGTTACTAGATGAACATTGTTACTAGATCAGCAGGGGTGTGACTAGATCAGCAGGGATGTCACTAAATCAGCAGGGATGTTACAAGATCAGCAGGGATGTTACAAGATCAGCAGGGATGTTACTAGATGAACATTGTTACTAGATCAGAAGGGATGTCACTAAATCAGCAGGGATGTTACTAGATCAGCAGGGATGTTACTAAATAAGCAGGGATGTTACTAGATCAGCAGGGATGTTACTAAATCAGCAGGGTGGTTACTAAATCAGCAGGGATGTTACTAGATCAGCAGAGTGGTTACTAAATCAGCAGGGATGTTACTAAATCAGCAGGGATGTTACTAGATCAGCAGGAATGTTACTATATCAGCAGGGATGTTACTAAATCAGCAGGGATGTTACTAGATCAGCAGGAATGTTACTAAATCAGCAGGGATGTTACTAGATCAGCAGGAATGTTACTATATCAGCAGGGATGTTACTAAATCAGCAGGGATGTTACTAAATCAGCAGGGATGTTACTAGATCAGTAGGGATGTTACTAAATCAGCAGGGATGTTACTAGATCAGCAGAGTGGTTACTAAATCAGCAGGGATGTTACTAGATCAGCAGGGATGTTACTAAATCTGCAGGGTGGTTACTAGATCAGCAGGGATGTTACTAAATCAGCAGGGATGTTACTAAATCAGCAGGGATGTTACTAGATCAGCAGGGATGTTACTAAATCGGCAGGGATGTTACTAAATCAGCAGGGATGTTACTAGATCAGCAGGGATGTTACTAGATCAGCAGGTATGTTACTAAATCAGCAGGGATGTTACTAAATCAGCAGGGATGTTACTAGATCAGCAGGGATATTACTAGATCAGCAGAGTGGTTACTAAATCAGCAGGGATGTTACTAAATCAGCAGGGATGTTACTAGATCAGCAGGGATGTTACTAAATCAGCAGGGATGTTACTAAATCAGCAGGGATGTTACTAGATCAGCAGAGTGGTTACTAAATCAGCAGGGATGTTACTAGATCAGCAGGAATGTTACTAAATCAGCAGGGATGTTACTAGATCAGCAGGGATGTTACTAGATCAGCAGTGTGGTAACTAGATCAGCAGAGTGGTTACTAAATCAGCAGGAATGTTACTAGATCAGCAGGAATGTTACTAGATCAGCAGAGTGGTTACTAAATCAGCAGTGTGGTTACTAAATCAGCAGGAATGTTACTAGATCAGCAGGAATGTTACTAGATCAGAAGGAATGTTACTAGATCAGCAGGGTGGTTACTAAATCAGCAGTGTGGTTACTAAATCAGCAGGGATGTTACTAGATCAGCAGGAATGTTACTAAATCAGCAGGAATATTACTAAATCAGCAGGAATGTTACTAGATCAGCAGGGATGTTACTAAATCAGCAGGGATGTTACTAAATCAGCAGGGATGTTACTAGATCAGCAGGAATGTTACTAAATCAGCAGGGATGTTACTAGATCAGCAGGAATGTTACTAGATCAGCAGGGTGGTTACTAAATCAGCAGTGTGGTTACTAAATCAGCAGTGTGGTTACTAAATCAGCAGGGATGTTACTAGATCAGCAGGAATGTTACTAAATCAGCAGGAATGTTACTAGATCAGCAGGGACGTTACTAAATCAGCAGGGACGTTACTAAATCAGCAGAGTGGTTACTAAATCAGCAGGGATGTTACTATATCAGCAGGGATGTTACTAGATCAGCAGAGATGTTACTAAATCAGCAGGGACGTTACTAAATCAGCAGGGACGTTACTAGATCAGCAGGGATGTTACAAAATCAGCAGGGATGTTACTAAATCAGCAGGGATGTTACTAAATCAGCAGGGTGGTTACTAAATCAGCAGGGTGGTTACTATATCAGCAGGGTGGTTACTAGATCAGCAAAATTGTTACTAGATCAGCACTCAAATTTGTTACTTGATCTGCTGGTTTACTGCTAGATGAGCAGAGTTGTTGATGGATCAACATGGTTGTTACTACACCAGTATGATAATTACAAGATAAACATGGCTGTTACTAGATCTATGCTCTAGAATTCTACTGTTACAAGATCAACATTCAATGGTGTTACTGGTTCAGCCGCTTGTCTGTTACTAGATAAACATGGTTATTGATAGATCAGTATCCAGACTGACACATCTGTGTATGTTTGAATGTAATATTCTCCTTGTAATCTATGTTTTATTGATCATTTTAGGAACAGAGACATTATTGTTGAAACTTTATCCCTATTCAGGTGCGAGAAGAGATCGAGTTCGACAATCTGGCCAAAATGTATCTCCGAGATATGATCAAGAAGGAGTGTTGGGATGAAATGAAGGTCAAGGGGAGAGCACTCCAGGTAAGAAGCATCACTAACAGGAAATTTTACATGGGTCATACCAATGGATTGGAAAATGTCAAAAATTGAAATCGGAAACAAATAATTTGTTGAATGTTTTGACAGCTCCATTGTAAATACGGAATCTCTTTCAGGCTTTCAACTCAAACCTTGAGGTGTCCAACTTTCCCATGAAGGAGAGGGCAGAGGCGGTCGTCAATGCTCTGGAAACTGTCACTAAGAGAAGGCAGATAGAGATTGCTGAACTAGCTGTAAGTATGGCAGCTGAGATACTGGAGACATACAAAGAAGGGAATTTATCAATTTGCCTATTTAGCTAAGGCCACATTCTATTTCATTTGCTAGATCATTCTTTTACAGGCAAATACATGTTATATTCTTTCAAATAATCTTTTATTGTTTGAAATAGTAACTCGAAATTCCTGTTCATAAAACAGTTACTTTGACTTTGATAATGTACCTGATATGACAGCTGTGCTGGATCAAGAAAAGGGCTTGTTCCCTCTCTGAAGAGCTTCTTTATGTTAGTGGGGTGGTGGGGTAGCCTAGTGGTTAAAGCGTTGGCTCGTCACGCCAAAGACCCGGGTTCAAATCCCCACATGGGTACAATGTGTGAAGCCCATTTCTGGTGTCCCCTGCCATGATGTTGCTGGAATATTGCTAAAAGTGGTGTAAAACCGAACTCAGTCAGACAGTCTTTATGTCAGTTTGTGATGCAAAATATTGATAGTGGTTCTTTGCTTGGAAATATTGTGCTATATGCTTTCTGCTAATCAGTGTGATATAATAATTATTTCAATAAGTAAAATGATAACTGAGTATTGCAAAATGTTTGTGTAAACATGTCAAGTTATGGTCATTTCATGAGAATTATCCATTTCCTGATGCAGCCAAATTGACATGTGAGTTCTGAACATTAGGACTACACTCTATTGCTGGTATAGCAGTATACTGCCGTATGATTTTAAAACAATACATACAGTCAAATCCTGATGAGTCGAATGCCGGTGTCTCGAATATTATGCATAACTCGAAGTACCTGTCGGTCCCGACCATTTCCTGTTATAGTTGTCATCATTTGAATACCGGTTACACGAAGTCGTCTCATAAATACACACGATGACTCGAGAAGGAAATTTGGTCCCATGAGATTCAAACAACAGCAATCTTGTATACATAAGCCGAAGTCAGTCAATGAGAAGTTGATCGGTGTAGCAAACTGATCCAATTAACAAACCAGCGCGGCTCACACCTTTCCGCCATTGACGGATGAGTTCAAAAGGCAGATTAGTGATTTTACGGAAATCACTGTCTGTGCTAATCAGACTGGAACTGATAAGGTGCCCCTATCAGTGATATGGAAATCATTAGATAAACAAATGCTTAGGCGGAAGAATTAGGACTGGATCATCTTTTTTTCTACCCTCATAGACATACCTATGTCTCGAATACATCGATAAGTCGAATTTATTACTTAGTCCCCAGCGATTCGACTCATCGGGATTTGGCTGTATTGTAATATATATTTTCAGTGTTCCAGTGTAGTGGACAAGTTTTCCATTATTGTTATCCTTTAACCCTAAAGGCACCAATGTCACACATTTTCGACAATCAATTCGAACACATCAATAATCTGTGAGTCTGTGTGTCAGCAAGATACCATAGAATGAAATTATCATTACCATATCTGTTTATAACTTACCATATTTTTGTTTTAAAATTTCAGGCACGAAAGCAAGAAATTGAACAGGGCCAAAAACCTGCATCACACGTATGTACATTTCATGTTCGGATTTCATTTATATTACCATTGTGTCATTAATTTAACAATTCCTAAAGATGAGCTGTGATGGGGTAGCCTAGTGGTTAAAGTGTTTGCTCATTACACCTAAGGTTTGGGTTCTATTCCCATATGGCTATAAATTGGGGAGCTCATTTCTGGTATTCCCTGACATAATATTGATGGAATATTTTTCAATATTCATCTCACTTATGTGATTGTATGGAATCTGTCACATTGTAAATGAAGAACTAGGATAGACTACAGGACACACTGTGTCCATTTCTCCTAAATTACAGCCTGTTTCAAGCTGTCAGCTGTTAACATTGATGTCTTCCAGTCAAAGACTCTTCTAACCTTACCGACTTTACAATCTGAGCGAGAATTTATTGTATTTTTTAATTCATCATGTATATCATTAGTATCATCTACAATCATTAAGTGTATAAGGAATAAAAACATTATTTTATCTGTATCTAATAGAATCGGACAATGATACTGGAAATGTATCACCCTGTTTTTCACGTGTCTTTACTTGTCAATCACCTGTCAATCATCTGTCAATCATCTGTCAATTTTCATCATGAAGCTGAAATACAGACAAAGGCCATATTCCGGAGCTTCAGAGTTTGTGAGTCATTGTTGTGACAACTCTGTTTTGATTATGAGATTATGTTATTTCATTTCCTTTAATTTTACGTTTCTTCACAAGCATGTATCATTTCACCAACTTCAATGTCATTCCTACTAATACTACACACTATTTATCCAGATATAATTTTTCCTGCCTAAAAATAGTGATTTTTACAGATTTATTTTAAAAACTTCTTTCCTTATACACAGTGTTCCATATTAGACTTTGTTACTGTGAAAAAACAAGCATGATAGAAAGTTGCTTAATTGAAGTGTGCAGACTAGTATAATTATGGTTCGATAAGTGCCCACTTTTCTAAATTTTCTAAGCACCTGGGGTGCAATTGGGATCGAATAAGATGTAACTAATGTTATGGTTTTATTTGTTTGTGCCTGAAAAGTGATCACGAAACAGAAAGAGAATATTTATGTTGCACGTTATTGCTTTGAATTCCATGTTCAAACTACAGTGTTTTATTACATTGTTATTATTTTATTTGTTTTGCCAGTTTGGAATCCCAGATAAATACCTGAGTCAAGTTTAAAATTAACATTACGTGTGAGAAGCTAGGCATGTTTCTGTTTTCATATTTACATAGTGTCTGCATGGTTTATTTTATAGATATTTCATCTTTTGGTCATTAGTTTTTTTGGTTTTTAATATTTTTGCAATAATGCTACAGGTTAAACTGTTTATATTCTGTCTTTCACTATTATCGCAGCCAAACCAATCTGGTTATTTCTTTGTCCAAATGGCTGTCTGATGATTAATGAAGAGCTTCTAGGCAATTACGGACTTTGATATTTTATTATAATTCTAAACATTATGTACATATTGATATGATAACGTCAATGGGAAAGACATTTTTTCAAAAAGCCAAACTCTTTTAACCATTTTTAAATTTGATCCATGAAGCAATAAATTCCATTAGAAGGTACAAGCAAATGGACAGAATCTTGAAATTGGTCAATTGTTGTTGTTTTTTCTCAGTTTCACACTTTTGACCCAAGTATCTGACAAATAAATTATCACTATATATAGTTACCATAATACTTTCTACCTCTGAATTTATTACAATTTGTGTACAGTACTTCACAAGTTACCCCTTATAATTTGCAATTACCACCAAAATTTCAGTTAAGGAAGTTGTGTTCAGCATTGGTAAATGGTGTCATGGTTAGCTTCCTTGACACATTGCTTATTTCAAAACTGAAATCCACCACACACCACACACCAAATTTCCAAACCCTTCTTGTCGCGAGTCGGTGGTACTAGTCCAGATGTACATGGACACTTTTTTGGTGTATATTCATTTGGAGCAAAGTTGTAAGTACAGATTTGCTAACTTTAATGTTTTGATATTAACACATTTTGTACTATTTTACTGAAGTTTAAGATGAAAAAAGGTGTTCACAACCCTGTAGTTGGAACATAAGAAGCTCTGAGTTTGTTGACAAGAGCCCAAATGCATGGAGTTATATAGGTTCAAGAAGCTCATTGTGAATTGTTTGTGAAAGGATGACGACCTGGGAGAGGGAGAAGAAGGAGAAGAGGACTCCAAAGAACTTCCTTCCACAACTGGCAGTCTAGGTCAGTACAGCAGAAACTGATGAAGAATATCTGAAGATGTGACCTTATCAATAATAACACTGAAACAGCCATTTTTATGCTTTATATTTTCTGTCACAATTTTGGCATGTTTTTTGACAGGGTTACCAAATATTTGAAGCCATTTCTGACTAAGGTCATTATTTCATGTGAAACTTGTTAAATAATTTAAAACTTGGGTTTTCTGTAAATGCATAACTATGTATGTTCCGCTTTGAAAACAGTACTTCAAGCGAACTCCAGGTTAGATGTTGTGTTGGTTGTAAGAGGAATTTGTAGGCAGCTGTCATGGTGCACCGCTGATATTGCATATATTACGAACGCTGGAGTGTATGGACCAGACTCAGTTAATGACAGGACAGCTGGTAGCAGGATTATTTTCGAGTCTGGCATTAAACAACAAACAGATAATTAACAGATCTCTCTTTCTCTGAAGGTGCACAGTTTGGTGGAGGAAGTGATCTGTTTTATAGCCAGTTTGAACTCCACACTCGAGAACAGAAGACAACTCAGATTATTCTACTGGAGGCAAGTATTTCAGCTTTGTAGAGCTGAGTGTCAATGGTCTTGTATAAATAATGTCAAATCTGAAGCTCATCAATCAAGGATCCTATTCACAAAGCATTATGTCATTCATAAGCCGATGATAAAGTATAGAGTTATGATATGATTGGTCTTAACCCTATGGATATTTTGTGGATCAGGATCCTTGTGTCTATTTTCCAGCTTGTTTTAGACGTTATAATTTGTTCCATTTCCTTTTCAGTATCAACCAATGTCTCTCAGAGTTTTATCATAATGTATTTTTTGTCTTGAAGTGTCCAGACAAATGCAAGTTGTAGATACAGTTCACATATGCGAACCCTCCTCTGTTTTCGGACACTTAGCATTAATGTTAAGGGACTGTTCATTATTAATGGCTAGGGGGGGATGATGATAATGTTTTATGGAGAAGCCTGTACAATATGAATGACCCCCTAAAATTTATGTACAAAGTGAGTGACCCCCTGCATGTAATGTACAAAATCAATTACCCCCCCCCTTCCTATATTTAAAATATTTGTATGTACAAAATTGCTGACTCCCCCTAGAACATGTGTACAAAATTGATGACCCCCCTACCACCCCAGATCAAAATGGGTGACCCCCCGCTTAAAATTATCATCACCCCACCCCACCCAACCCAACCCCAGCCATAAATTATGAACAGTCCCTAATTGCACTCCAGACCAACTCACTTCATGACTTTGAGTATCATGTGCACCCATCCTTTGTCAAAGTCCTAGATCTGTTGCTGAATGCTGTAATTGTATAATAACTTATAGCAGCTGATAACAAAGTAAATGGTAATTTATGATTCCATTCTTTCAGGATGCCATCCATCGTATCAAGAATACTTTCAACAAGGAATTTGATGAAGTCTTTGCCAAGAAAGAACAGGAAATCAGTAAGATCAAGGACAAGAACAAGCGTATCGTAAAGATCATGGAAGACTTGGACTTAACAGAAGAGATTATGGACTATGAGCTTGGTGCCCTGGAGAACCCAGAAATGCTTCTAACAGTTGATGACAGTGAGGTATGGAAGCACCTTGAAGATGTTCCTGCTTGCATACTTTCCAATATATATTACACTTAATGCATAATAGTATCTGTGGGGTAAATACAGGAAACCACTACTTATTTGTTAATAGATAAATCTCCAAAGAATTATCGCAACTGAATTTGGCTGTGTGTAGTATGGCTGCTGTAACCAACATGGCAGCCATGTTTGCTGTGCTTCAAGCTGATGTTTCTGTGGATGCCAAGAACCTGTTTGCTGAGTAATATCCTATTCATTTTGGAATTATATGCAATACCATTTAATCGGATCTGAGCTCTTGTTGTCACTATCTTTCAGAAACTTTGATTGACCTATGAAATGGCTCTATTTAACCAATCAGAAAGCAGCTTTCTTGAGCTATATGGTGCTAGTTTCAAACTCGTGACTTCCATTCAAGGCTACACTTTAGAAAATAATTTTGACAGAATCCTCAATTCAAAATGATTTGTATCACTTTGCTGTCAGGATTCTAAGGTTGTTGAATCAAAACAAGATTTGAGCTGCATGTGAACCGAGACTTGTCAGCACACTGCCCGTGCTTTATCTGTGGAGAATCAAACTTGTGCCTTCAGCTTTTCTATTCTAGAAATTCCACTCTTGTTGGTTTGCTCTTAAACTGTTTTAAATCAAATCCTGTTACAACTGGCTCTGTGACTCACTCACTCACTCTGTCTTCAGGTGAAGGTGGAGAAGTTCCTGACAGCTGAACAACGCAAGAAGTTGGAGGAACAGGAGAAGATAGCGGAAGAACGGCAACGTCTGGAGAAGGGGGATAATGCACGGGAACGTGCCCTGGACATGATGATGGGAGGTGTCCTCGAGATCAAGAAAGAAGATGAGCTCAAGAAGGTTGGTGAAAAAAAATAAATGACTGATTGTTTTAAAATGATGACTCAGCATCTTGTAGGTTGATCTTTTTTGAAAAAATTACATCATTGCGCATAGCTAGCTGTTTATGATTTTACCTTTGTGCATCGTACTCTTGATGTAAGATGCTCTCAGTTGACACATGTAGCTAAGCTATAGATCACTATATCAATAGCGGAACTATTTGATCACTACATGTGGAAGATTGCTTAACAAACAAACAAACAAACAAACAATTGATGGCTGCTAACTGGATCTGTTTGCTTCCATGCAGGATGTTCCCAAGCCACACTTCATGATCAGCAAGGCAGAGGAAGAGTGGTCCGAGGACGAGAAGAAATTGGCTGGTGACTATGAGAAGAAGGTCAAGGATCTGACCGAGGAGAGGGAAAAATACAGGAAGGTAGGTTTTTTCCCAATTGCCTAGTATGTTGGAACTTTGTCTGCTCCAGAAACAAACCCATGAGGGTCAGAGTCAACAAGGAGGTGATCAACATAACCTGATGGTGTGGGTTGTTCCTTATGATATCAGGGGCAGTGGGGTAGCCTAGTGGAAATCATGTTGGCTAGTCAGGCCGAAGACGCAGGTACATGGGTACAATTTGTGCCCAATTCTGGTGTCCCCGCCGGGATATTGCCAGAATATTGCTAAAAGTGACACAAAAACATACTCACTCACTCACTTCATGATATCAATCACTTAATTGTCTGGTCCTCAGTCACTGGATCATCATCATCATCATCATCATCATCAGCATCATCTTTATCACAATTCCATGAATTCGCTGTGCTCTTGTAGTAAATAGAGTACTTTATATATTAGTGACACAACAGTTTGTAAATTCAGTTTTATGTTTTCTTATACAATCTGTAGTAGTAAAAAATAACAAGAAGTGAAATTATTTGTTATCTATTCAAACTCTATCCCCCATGTTTACACCAATAATATACACTGTTAGAGACAGTGTTACAGTTGGATGGTGTATATGCACTGCTCCATGTGTTCCAGCAACTGGAGACGGAGCTGCGGAAGCTGCAGGGAATCATCCAGGACGGGATGTCTGGCTTTGATGAGACACTTAACACGCTGTTCCTCAAGAAGATCAAGGTCATGATGGTCATCTATCAGGTCAGTAGACAATACACTGGCCATTTCACATTTTCATTTCAGGGACTGACCACCCTGGTCTTTGGGACTGTTCATAATTTATGGCTAGGATGATTTGTATGATGAAGCATGTACAATGTGAATGACCTCCCCCTATAGTTTATGTACAAAGTAAGTGACCCCGCCCTGCATGTCATGTACACGTACATGTGAGGATGAAGGATATTGCTGACCCCCCTACCTCCTCAGAACAAAATGAGTGACCCCCCTCCCCCTAAATCATCATCACCCTCACCCTCTCATTTTTTGGAACATGCCTGATAATTTTCTTTCGATTCAAAGCTTTCTGCATTTTTGAAATGTGACATTTCCAGTTGACAATGAGGGCCATTATCCTACCTAGACCTTTCTGAAGTGGTTGTTTTCAGGTTTTAATTATGTCTAACCAAGACCTACTGTAATCTTGTGTTGTGCAGGAGGAGCTGAAGATCCAGCGTCTGCGGTTCGCGCTGCTGAAGGAGGAGGAGCTGGAGGTGAGGGAGAAGGAGCTGGTCCGGCTGCAGCAGCACAAGAAGAAGCTCAAGGTGAGGCAGCAAACTTGACCTGTGATACGATACCTGTCTGAGTGGAGATAACCTGTGAAAATCTAGGTTAGAATTGGTCTTCAGCAACCCATGCTTGTCGTAAGAGGCGACTAACAGGATCAGGCAGACAGGCTCCCTGACTTGGTTGAGACATGTCGTCTTTCCAAATTGCATAGACCGATGCTAATGCTGGTAATCATTAGATTGTGTGGTCCAGACTCGATTATTTACATACCGCCGCCATTTAGCTGATTGCTTAATATTGCTAAGTGCAGTGTTAAACACCAAACCAAAACTGAGATCTGATGACACCTCCCCATTGTCTGATTATTAAACCTGAACATAAGCCATAAGTTCCAAATGTAAATGATTGAGGCCACTCCATTATATCATTGTGGATATTATATACATCATGCAGAATTTCTGCATGACCTTTTCTGTTGAAAGTTTATAAGCTTTACTGATTGATTGATACAATTATTTACGGAAAATAGCCATAAAGGTTAAATTAATGTTTTCATTTACTAAAACAGAGAGACAGAATTGGAATGTACTGAAAATATTCCAAAGTTATGAAAAACACGGTTTTAATGTGAATAATTCATGAACTTTGCACTGATGCAATGCTTTCAGCAACTGTCGAGCGAGGCAGCCTCCGAATCATCAAAGAACCTGGCCAAGTTTAAGGATGAGTACGACATCCTGTTAGCAGAGGACAAAGTTATGGACCGATCCTTCAAGAGGGAGTTTGCTGATGTGTCAGCCATCATGCAAGATCAACTGTATCGTCTGTTCAGGAAGAGACCAAGGTAGGTAATGGCTGAGAGGGAGGGATGATGTTTTAGTTCCATCATCAGCAGGGAGTCTGGGTTAGAGCAGGTCTTCAGCAACCTGTGCTGGAAGGAAGAGGTGGCAAAATCAATGTGGTGGCCACACTTCCTGACTGAACACGTGAAGATCCGGATTAGAATTGATCTTCAGTAGCCCATGCTTGTTGTAAGATGCAACTAACAGGATCTGGTGAGGCTTGCTGACTGGGTTGACACATGTCATCGTATCCCAATTGTGTAAATCGATGCTCATGATGTTGATCAGTGGATTGACTCGATTATTTACAGACTGCTGCCATATAGCTGGAATATTGCTGAGTGTGGTGTTTGCCGACTTGGTTGATTGTATGGCACCGTCCAGTATCAGTCACTGGATTGTCTGGCTATGTTTATATATAGTATTGTTGTGTATGGTATTAAATTACAAAAGACAAACAAATACACTTCTATGAATAGCATAGACAATGGGATAAAGATCCATTTCGTAATTTATATCTTGACGTCCCGCTAAGCAAATTGAATGCTTACAACCATTGTAGCAGCTGCTTCAGTTTGCAACTTTTTGCTGCATAATTTTAAGTGGACTGACCCCGTACCCATCATCTATACTAATTCGGTGTATTTACTGACTGTTCCTGCTATAACTTGTCATGTTTTACCCGTCAAGATCACCGGGTTAGAATTGGTCTTCAGCAACCCATGCTTGTCGTAAGAGGCGACTAATGGGATCGGGTGGTCAGGCTCGCTGACTTGGTTGCTTTTGTCATCGTATCCCAATTGCATAGATGATGCTCATGATGTTGATCACTGGATTGTCTGGTCCAGACATGATTATTTACAGACCTCAGCCATATAGCTGGAATATTGCTGAGTGCAGTGTTAAACCAACCAACCAACTTGTTCTGTTTGTACATTTTTTCTCCCTGTGTGTAGTGTCTTCAGGTGTACATTTCAGGATAAGTTAAAGATTTTGTTGACAAACTTCTGTAGGGCCTTGATGTACTCTCTGCTTTGATTGTAACTACAGCTTGTTCAGCTTGACCTGATCAAGTGAATACTACTGCATTGCGTGACCGTGTCACAACTGGTTGGGTCTATTATTGTGAAGGGGTGCACCTTTGTCAGTTCATTGTCAACATGTCCGAACATCCGAGATAAGTCGCTGTTTGACATGTCAGTGTCAAGAAATCGTCAGGAATGTCCTCACTTTCTTTAAACTTAAAAAAAGAAGCTACATATGGTTTAATGTTTCCGATTCAGGCTTTTAGGCAGCGAGCAGCAACATTGATAACATTCTCTGCTCCCCTATTCAATGAAGTTAACTTGACTTGCCGTTTGTGCCATTTGACCTCCCGGGTCATGCATATGTAGAGTAGCTCAGGTCAAGCTGAACAAGCTGTATATAGACGAAGTTTATGGATAACATCTTCTTTCATTTCGTGAGTGTAAAGTTGTTATGCATAAAGTTTGGCTATATTGTACTTCCTAATTTCTAAAATGCCACTGAAAGAAGTTAGATCATAACCTTTGCCAAAAATATTCCTTCTTTTCAGAGGACAGAAATTCAAGGGAGTAGACACCCCTGTTCTTGATGTGAACTCAGCCAACCCGTTCGCGGCAGAGCGGCCGACGACAGCGAGACAGAACGCAGCTGCCCAGGCCTCCATTGATGCAGCTCTGGAGGAGATGGACCGGGAGAGCAACATGCCGGAGGGTCTGGAGGGTCATGTGTGGAAGAGGATGTGTACGTACAGGAAGGACAAGATTTACAGTGAACAGTTGGTAGGTGTAACGACCATTAGGGGGTAGAGCAGTTCTACTGGAGTTGGGGCGGTGGGGTAGCCTAGTGGTTAAAGCATTGGCTCGTCATGCCGAAGACCAGGGTCTACATTTTTTAAGCTCTCTTAGCGCTAAGATGGTCGTAAGTTACTGTTAATGTATGGCACTTACGACTATCTTAGCGCCAAGAGAGCTTCGAAAATCTAGGCCCTGGGTTGGATTACCCAAATGGGTAATTTACCCAGTCAATTTCTGGTGTCACCCGCGTGATATTGCTGGAATATTGCTAAAAGCAGTATCAAACCATGCTCTCACTCACTCACTCACTCTCACCCACTCACTATACAAGAGTTATCTCCCTTTCATTTTTGCCAAGAATCAAACCCGGGTCTTCTTTGTGAAGAACTGAATGCTTTAACCACAAGGCTGCCTAGTACAATAACAGTTCAAGCAGCCACACACACATGGATGTCTCTAAATAAGTGCAGTAATCTTGAACATGACATTCCATTTCGCTTAACCTAATTGATGGAGCTTGCTGAAGGCTGTATTTCTTCTGACATTGTTGATGACAAGTTTCATCCTGGCTGCAGGTGAAAGTGAAATCCCTGGTGTATGCCGAGATGACCGACTTTGAGCAAAGGAGGAAGAATGAGGATGTGGCGCTGGAGGAAGAGATTCGTGATATAGAGAAACAGATAAAGAGGTGAGTGTTTCACAGTTCTGAGATAATATATTGTATGTGTTTGATTGTTCTCGCATTTTTTAATTGTTTCAATCAAAAAGTGTGTAACATGCTTACTTCGTCAAAATTTGCATAATTGTTGTCGCCTCTAGCAATATGGTCCCATTCTCTTTGTCATCACAACTTGTTTGGCAGAGTCGTGTCCCTTTGTCATGTCAAGCGCCTGATTGTGACTACAAATCCCAAATTCTATGCAGTTTTGATTCTTGGTTGGTCATCATCGTTGCAGTTTGTGCGTTACTGTTTTTAGACCTATAGCTTGAACATGGCCCTAGAATCATTTTTAGAAATGTGTACGTACAGGAATAACAGTGTTATTTTGTGGACTATTACAAGCTGAGCTTATTAATGGAACAGAATGTTACAAGACTCATGACTTGAACTAGTTGCTACATTCACAGACTGTCATTGTATTTGTTGGTTTCTTAAAAGAGATATACATCTGAGTTGCAGCTTGCCCACTGTGACATTACTGATAATACTTTGCAATGCAACATTCAACCATGCTCATTCATTCCTGAACAAATAGAACTCCTTTTACTTATTCATTCATCTAGACAGTGTTAGCCATCTTCCCGTTTGAGTTGAGCATGTTCCAGTATGAAAAATCACCACTATCTCTGTTGTATCCAGTTTGAAGGAGGATCGTCAGCGCTTCACACTCAACCTGGAGGTACAGCTGATGCTGAAGCAGGGGCAGGTGGAGGTAGATGCTGGGTCCTTCGTCCATGACTACACCAACAGCGTCCTGACTCACAGAACTGTGGTTGAGGAGCTTAACAGCACCATCAAGGTAAGCTCCACAGCCTTGTCATCGTATCCCAATTGCGTAGATTGATGCTCATGCTGTTGATAACTGGATTGTCTGGTCCAGACTCGATTATTTACAGACCGCTGCCATGTAGCTGGAATATATCTGTGTGTGGCGTTAAACTAAACTCAATCAATCAATGAAAAAATCAGTTCATATACAATCTGACTGAAATGCTCTTTACTGACAGTCACTCTCTGTTACAGCAACTGGGCGAGAGCAAGATCACCAGCATGGTGGAGAGTAAGGACTTCAGGAAGGGCATCATCCAGCTGGAGTGGTTAGTGCTTTCTTAGGGCACCCCTCTTGCCTTTCACACAAATGCACTACCTACACTTGATTATCAATAAGTTTGTTTCACTGTTCAGGATTCATGTAGGGGAGGGTGGGTAGCCTAGTGGTTAAAGCGTTCGCTCGTCACGCCGAAGACCTGGGTTCGATTCCCACATGGGTACAATGTGTGAAGCCCATTTCTGGTGTCCCCCGCAGTGATATTGCTGGAATATTGCTACAAGTGGCATGAAACCCAACTCACTCACTCTCTCAGGATTCATATCAACATTGATAGAACATCAAAGGTGAAACATGTTTTTACCCCTTAAAAACACATGCTACTTAACTGCACACATTGTCAAAAGCCATTGCTTGAGAACGAAAAGTTTTTATTTTAGCCCACTTACCCACTTTGTTAGGTTAGGACATTTCCAGTTTTCCTAGTTCAGTGATGTCTAATCTGATGAAGGAAGTGACAGCAGGTATGTGAGTGAGGTGAAGTCATGTTAGATGTTGTCTTGCCTTCAAGAAGGATGTTTTGTGTGCAGGGAACACAAGAGGATGCTGATGCAGATGACGGACCTTCAGAACAAGATGAAGGACATTCAGTTCATCAAGGTCACCAGGGAAATACAGGCTGTGAGTATCATAGATGGAGGTGCATCTCACTTCATTGTTACAGATCACTGTCTGTCCATCATTCAAACCACAGAATATAGATTAAAATTTATGGATAACAACATCGACGTTTTGATACAGAATCTTGTACTGTTGCCAAGCAGGAATTCCATACAGTACAAGAATCTGTATCAAAAGTCGCCACTCAAAGAAGTTACAAATCACAGTATATACAGGCTATACAACATACAACCCACAGACTATCGATGTACAATATACAAGTCAGATCACACAATAGACAAGTCAAGTCTCACTATATTCAAGTCAGATCACATGCTGTACAACATGCAGATCTCCATCCTTATGCAAGTCAGGTGACGCTACAGTTAGTTGACACTACAGTTAGTTGACACTACAGTTAGTTGACATTATATACAAATCAATCAAATTATATACAAACCAGGTCACACTATATTCAAGTCGGATCACTCTCTTGTTTCTGTTTCAGTTCCTGAATGAAGCCGATTATGATGCCAAAAAGCAGCAAGAAATTGCCATTCTTGAGCAGACCATATTATTACAGAAGAAAGTAGGTTTTCCAATCACTATTTTCTTATTTTACCAGCGTTAACACAGTTCTGTAGTAAATGTCCAGAAAATTGAAAATATTGGTTAAGAAACTGTAAATTTATGTAAAGTTGATGTTATTTACTATCATGAATTTTTTCAAGGAATAGTGGGGCTGTAATCGGTCAGCTGCTTCAAGATCATATATATCTGTCCCTGATATATACTTCCTAGTGGGAAGTCAATGGTGAAGATTAGGAAACATTGATCAGAATATATTCTTCTTATTCAGCACCATGACAAGAACATGAGGGAGAAGAAGCGAACATTTAATGAATTACAGCACACAATACAGTCTAAGGACAAGGAGAACTCAGGACTTGACATCGAGCTCAAGGAAGTCAATGTGTGTGTCAATGAGAGGGATCACATCGATCAAGTCAATGGTGAGTTATGTTTGTGTGTCAATGAGAGGGATCACATCGATCAAGTCAATGGTGAGTTATGTTTGTGTGTCAGTGAGAGAGGATCACATCGATCAAGTCAATGGTGAGTTATGTTTGTGTGTCAGTGAGAGGGATCACATCGATCAAGTCCATGGTGAGTTATGTTTGTGTGTCGGTGAGAGGGATCACATCGATCAAGTCAATGGTGAGTTATGTTTGTGTGTCAGTGAGAGGGATCACATCGATCAAGTCAATGGTGAGATGTTTGTGTGTCAGTGAGAGGGATCACATCGATGAAGTCAATGGTGAGTTATGTTTGTGTGTCAGTGACAGTTATCACATCGATGAAGTCAATGGTGAGTTATGTTTGTGTGTCAGTGAGAGGGATCACATCGATCAAGTCAATGGTGAGTTATGTTTGTGTGTCAGTGAGAGGGATCACATCGATCAAGTCAATGGTGAGTTATGTTTGTGTGTCAGTGAGAGGGATCACATCGATCAAGTCAATGGTGGGTTATGTTTGTGTGTCAGTGAGAGAGATCCCATCGATCAAGTCAAGTGGTGAGTTATGTTTGTGTGTCAATGAGAGGGATCACATCGATCAAGTCAATGGTGAGTTATGTTTGTGTGTCAGTGAGAGGATCACATCGATCAAGTCAATGGTGAGTTATGTTTGTGTGTCAGTGAGAGAGATCACATCGATCAAGTCAATGGTGAGTTATGTTTGTGTGTCAGTGAGAGGGATCACATCGATCAAGTCAATGGTGAGTTATGTTTGTGTGTCAGTGAGAGAGATTACATCGATCAAGCCAATGGTGAGTTATGTATGTGTGTCAGGAATCAGTTCAATCCCGTCAGTGGGGAGCTGTGTGTGTCAGCTGTGAGTTAATGAGAGGGATCACATCGATCAAGTCACTGTGTTAGTAACATGTGTTGATGTCAATACAAGGATACACCAAGATCAAATCAAGACAAAAATAATCCAAATGTCTTGACATCATCAGTGACACAGATGCTTGTTTGTTTCAGCTGACCGTCGGATGGACACCGGGGCAGAAAGACGATACCAGGAGATTGTACAGAGGCGGAAGCTTGTTGACCTTGCCAAAGCACAAGCACAGGAGGTTGCAGTGTTACGGGCGGAGGTTGAGAGACTCAGGATGAGGACGTTCCCTGCTCTTGTGCAAGTGGAACACTGATTCATGAACAAATGCATGGGACAGACAGACTTTTTCATGAAAGAACTGAAGTAAATCCTTGGAACACAAACGCAGGAGAGAATTGTGCTCAATTGGTCAGATGTTAGGACGAAATATTTATGAAAAACTGATGCTACAATTTGTCATTCAGTCTGGCATTTTTCAAGTTGGAAGGCCATTGATTGGCCCATTTTATTATAATTTATAGTAAGAAGTGAAATATAAGTCTTGAAAGGGAGTTGATATGAATGTTTATCATCTTTTCCGTCCAATTGTTCAATGCATTTTGGGAACTAGAGAAATGGAACTACATACAATATGGATCATTTCTTTCATCAATCAGCTTTGAATTTAACATTGAAGTGAATTTTAAGATTCTATATGTAAACTAGAAAAAATATCAACTTATTTTCCCATCAACTATGATATGACTGTTCACAGTATTACGTCTAGCTATGTTAGAGTTGCATACCATTGCTTTACATACATGTCTGTTTGTTATATTTGAGTTGCAAGACATGGATGTCTGGTTTGTAACTGACCTTCCGTCCGACTCTGGAAGTAGCATTACTTGCATGTGCTTTTGCACCATGTTTTGATGACTTTACATCTTCAAAGTTTTATGACCAAAACTGTGATGTCTGATGCCATTCCAAACCAATGTTATTTAATGTTGTTAATGTATTGCTTGGTTTGTTCATATTTAAATTGAAGTTACAATGAAGATCAATAAACTGTATTATACATGTATCAGATTTAGTTTGTATTTTTCATTCATATACAGTATTGTGTGCAGTGGTGTTGAGTGTCGTTCTCCAAGAGGAAATAATTGACCTGCACAGCTTTATCCTTATAATTGTCCAAAATAATTCGACCTGCACAGTTTTATCCTCATAATTATGCAAAATAATTCAACCTACACAGCTTTATCCTTATAATTGTCCAAAATAATTCGACCTGCATGGCTTTATCCTTGTGATTGTGCAAAATAATTCGACCTGCACAGCTTTATCCTTATGATTGTGCAAAATATTTCAACCTGCACAGTTTTATCCTTATGATTGTGGTCAATACTTTTGAACTGCATAGGCTTTATTGTCATGATTGTGCAAAATATTGAACTGCATGGCTTTATCGTCATGATTGTTTTATCCTTTATGATATTGTGCAAAAGAACTCGACTTGCACTGCAGCTTTATCCTTATGATTGTGCAAAATAATTTCAACCTGCATGCACCTTTATCCTTATGATTGTGCAATAATAATTGACCTGCATGGCTTTATCCTTATGATTGTGCAAAAAAGACCTGCATGGCTTTATTCTTATGATTGTTTGCTTTATCCTTGCACAGCTTTATCCTTTTGATTGTCCAAAACAATTCAACCATGCACAGCTTTATCCTTGTGATTGTGCAAAAAATTCGACTTGCACAGCTTTATCCTTATGATTGTGCAAAATGATTCAACCATGCACAGCTTTATTCAACCTGCACAGCTTTATCCTTATGATTGTGCAAAATATTTCAACCTTGGACACATCCTTATGATGGTGCAAAATGACTGCATGGCTTTATCGTCATGATTGTTTATCATGATTCTGTGCAAAATGATTCATGACAAACAAATGGGATCAAATCTCAAATCATGATATGGGTATATTTACAAGGTCTCAAATACCTGAGGGCCTCTTCTCACCCCATATCTTGTACCCATTAACAACACAATAAATCAACTCACGTAGTGAAAGGAAATGATGTAGGTATGAAATGAGGGCATGACAAATATGGTAACCGTTAATGCAGACAAAGTAGACGAGCAACGAACCATGTACAATCTGACATTTTCTTTACATTCTGTCTTTATGGAAACAAAATTTGTTTATTGTAGAGTGTGTGCATTTCCATCTAATACTATGTTCGAAATAAATACTAAATTAAATTTCAATTCCCCACATGGGTACAATGTGTGAAGCCCATTTCTGGTGTCCCCCATCGTGATATTGCTGGAATATTGCTAAATAGCGGCGTAAAACCACACTCACTCACTCAATCACTCACTCATATCACGAAGTCTGTATACGAACCCAGCACTTGACACCCATGTTAACATCACCCGATCAATATGTTTCTTAAAAAAAAGAACATAATTTGTTCCAGAAATACCATTTTTCTGGAAAAGTCTGTTTGAGTCACAGCAGTTGTTCGTTGGATAGTTGGTTATATATTGATCAAAATAAAAGTATTCTTTAACGGGTATTTTTATGAACGCCCAGGATTTTGTTATTTGTGTACAATGTGTGAAGCCCATTTTTGGTGTCCCCCGCCGTGATATTGCTGGAATATTGCTAAAGCGGAGTACAACTAAACTCATTCACTCACTCACTTTGTTTTTCGTATTGTCTATCAGTGAGTGAGTTGTATGTTTTCCCAATATTCCAGCCTCATTGCGATATGAATGTATGAATGTTAAGTCGGGGGAGACCAGAAATCGCCCCACAACATTAGAAGTAATTTATTAGCTTGGAGTGTTTGTTTGGGTTTCCTTACTCATTCCATGGGAACAGTAAAGGGCACACAAGTTTGTGGCATGTCGCTAAGATCTATTCAGTGAGTGAGTGAGTTTAGTTTTACGCCGCTTTTAGCAATATTCCAGCTATATCACGGTCGGGGACACCAGAAATGGGCTCCACATATTGTACCCAGTAGGGAATCGAACCCGGGTCTTCGGAGTGACGAACGAACGCTTTAACCACTAGGCCACCCTACCGCCCCAAGATCTATTCAGCACACTGATAGTTAATATAAATGTACATGGACTGATCGGAAATGGATATCTCGTCTTCAAATGACATGATAACGGTGAAGGCAAAATCTTTGGATGACAAACTCTAAAACTGATTTTTCTACTTATAGTCTGTTTGTAGTGAAAACGTACCGATGAATTTCACTTTAAACAAAAAAAATACATCAAATAGAGCGAAATTAAGATTGAGAATCCTCATAATTGTACTTTGCCAATTGAACATTTAAATCTCAGAATTTTACTCATCTTAGGATAAAAGTTGTTTAACAAACGATCATACATTCAAATCGCTATTATTGGTTTGTATTACAAGGGGGTAAGCGCAGTAGTTGGAACAGTGAAACAAATGCACGTGCGGTTCGTGATGAGCGTTAACTTAGACCAACTCAACTTGTTCTCACTCACTCTATATCAGAAATCTAGTTATGCCAAGTAGGTAGATTTTAAAGATCGCATTTACAGATTAACTAACGCTGCCCCACGAATAAAATGAACTGTGCTTCCAGTCGTTTGGGGGCAAAAAGATAAAAAGACAATGACTCGTGGCATGTCAAGGAGATGATGTTATCTCTTGACCTTGACAACAGTTATCGCGTGTTCAAACAACATGGCCGCTGTACCAAACATACAGCTCAATACGGGCTATCCTTTCCCAGTGTTAGGATTCGGGACGTTTGCAAACAGGAAGGTAACAATCTATTATATGAATCATAGGTGGATTCAGGGAGGGTGGGGGTGGTGTTTGCAGGGTGCGCATCCCCCTTTTGTGCTGTAAAGTATGTTAAATGACCATTAAAACTCGGGTGAAAATGAAGTGTGCCCCTCCTTTTTCTCAATAGTGTGTCTCTCTCCCCTTTTTTTTTTTTCAAAAGCTGTATCAGCTCCTGTGATATTTTAAAATAAAAGTCACATGTCAACCGTTATTTCACAATGTCATTGTATACCAACTGAGATAATGAGTAGAGTGCGTGGTGTGCGAGTAACTATATTAAGACGCTTTGGGGCCAAGGGTGATCCTGGAGCTTCTAGAACAACACAGTACAGAAATTTCAGGAGTGAGTGAGTTTGTTATTGTCTTACTATAACCTTTGTGGGGCAGGATAATTAGTTTTCTGATATAGAGTGAGTGAGTGAATGAGTTAAGTTTTACTCCGCTTTTAGCAATATTCCAGCAATATCACGACGGGGACACCATAAATGGACTTTACACATTGTACCCGTGTGGGAAATCGAACCCGGGTCTTCGGCATGACGAGCGAATGCTTTAACCGCTAGGCTATCCCACCGCCCTGAAATTTCAGGAAGACTTTTAAGACTATATAAGGGATCAGGGGCTTAGGTTTGGGATTATACATTACATCAATACCATTGACTGCCATTGCAATTATTTGTATTGACTTATAAACATATCCATTTTATAATACAATTGTTAATTGTATAACATTCTGCTGCTTGTTGGTTTCACATCAGATTCTTTTCCGGAAATAAGAGTTAACAAAATTGTTGAAAGTTGGAAATCAAGAAGTAAAAATAATATATTATACAACATGCACACGAGTGAGTGAGTGAGTTGGTCTTTGCGCCGCTTAGCAATATTCCAGCAATATTACGGAGGGGAACACGAGAAATGGTTAGGGAATCCAGGTTTCACCTGAGGCCCACTATAGACTTAAGTCTATAATTTAACAGATTCTCAGCGTTATTATTGAGGGGTCATACGGATAAGATATACAATTTTGCATTTTTAGCTTCAAAGAGTGCAGTTCAATTGCATGTGGAATTTGCCTCCTTAAAATGCCAACGCAGACTTCCCTTGTCCTGATTTTCACCTGCACGGACCAAAGCACTGGTTGCCTTTAGGATAGCTTTAAATAGCCATCACCTTCAGCCCTGCAGTTATTGGACCTGTGAAGACCCTGCTTTCAGCCAGTTTTACTGAAGGACCATATCGCGGCTTTCGGCTTGTTTTGACTGTAGAACCCCATTATTGCTTTCGGCTAGTTTTGATGATAGGACCCCATCATGGCTTTTGGTTAGTTTTGACTGTAGGAACTCATCATGGCTTTTGGCTAGTTGTGACTGGAGGACCCATTACAGCTTTCGGCTAGTTTTGACTGTAGCACCATATCGCGGCTTTCGGCTGTAGGACCCCATCACAGCTTTCGGTTAGCTTTGACTGTAGGACCCCATCACAGCTTTCGGCTAGTTTTGACTGTAGGACCATATCGCGACCTTTGGCTAGTTTTGAATGTAGGACCCCATCGTGGCTTTCGGCTAGTTTTGACTGTAGGACCATATCGCGACTTTTGGCTAGTTTTGAATGTAGGACCATGTCGTGGCTTTCGGCTAGTTTTGACTGTAGGACCCTATCGCGGCTTTCGGCTAGTTTTGACAGCAGGACAATATCGTGGTTTTCGGCTAGTTTTGAGAGTAGGACCATATCGTGTTTTTTGGCTAGTTTTGACTGTGGGTCCCCGACGCGGCTTTCGGCTAGTTTTGACTGAAGGACCCCATCGCGACTTTCAGCTGCAGTAGGGCCAGAATCACAGCTCTCTGTCAGTTTTGACGTCAGGAACACAATCTTGGCTTTCCGTTAACTGAGTGGCTGCAATTAACTGACTGACTGACTGAGTTTGGTTTTACTCCGCTTTTAGCAATATTCCAGCAACATCACGGCGGGGAACACCAGAAATGGGCTTCACACATTGTACCCTTGTGGGGATTCGAACCCGGGTCTTCGGCGTGACGAGCCAACGCTTTAACCACTAGGCTACCCCACCACCCCGGCTGCAATTAACGATGTTACAAACGACATTACATACCAGTTTGTGTCTACAGGAAGGTGTGATGTTGCCCGCTGTTAAAGCGGCTATATCGTCAGGATATCGTCACATCGACACAGCGTGGTACTATACAACGGAACCGGAAGTAGGTGGCGCCATTAAAGAGAAGTTGGCGGACGGTACAGTAACGAGGGATGAGCTCTTTGTGACATCGAAAGTAGGTCAATTGTAAACAGGGTCTTCAGTAACTCATGCTTGTCGTGAGAGGCGACTAACGGGATCGGGTGGTTAGACTCTATGACTTGGTTGACACATGTCATCGTATCCCAGTTGCGTAGATCGATGCTCATGATGTTGATCACTGGTTTGTCTGGTCCAGACTCGATTATTTACAGACCGCCGCCACATAGCTGGAATATTGCTAAGTGCGGCGTAAAACAACAAACCAAGCCAAAACCAACCACACGTATTTGCAATCCATGGAGCACTGTTGTAATATTTCGTCCTTAAAACAACATATTGCCTATTTCGTGTTCAAGCCGCATATATTTCTAACATTATAGATCTTGAAATCACGACGAAGTGATAAATTCGTTCATATTGGTTTTAACGTTGAATTAGCTGAGTGTTATAGATGTCTGTTGCAGTTATGGAATACATTTCATGAGCCCTTTAAAGTTGGGCGGATGTGCAGAGATTCACTACGTGACCTTCAACTTGACTACCTTGACCTTTACCTCATGCACTGGCCCATGGGTCATGAAGTAAGTTGACGACCGTCTTGCTGATGTTTGTAGGTAGGAGTGGATGGTGGAGGGGTTCAGCTTCTCTATTCCAAGGAAAATAATGCATGTTATGAAACGGTGATCAAATGGTTTGGAAGCAGTGGCCGAAATGGTAAATATTGAAACAGAGACTGAAATGGTTGATATTTGAAGCAGTGACCGAAATGGTAAATATTGAAGCAGCGACCTAAATGGTAGATACTGAAGCAGTGACTGAAATGGTTGATATTTGAAGCAGTGACCGAAATGGTAAATATTGAAGCAGAGATTGAAATGGTTGATATTTGAAGCAGTGACAGAAATGGTAAATATTGAAGCAGCGATTGAAATGGTTGATATTTGAAGCAGTGGCCGAAATGGTAAATATTGAAGCAGAGATTGAAATGGTTGATATTTGAGTGACAGAAATGGTAAATATTGCAGCAGAGACTGAAATGGTTGAAGCAGTGGCCGAAATGGTAAATATTGGCCGAAATGGTAAATGGAAGAAGAGACTGCAGAAATGGTAAATAGCAGAGATTGAAATGGTTGATAAATGGTGAAATGGTTGAAGAAGAGACTGCAAATGGTTGATATTTGAAGCAGTGACAGAAATGGTAAATATTGAAGCAGCGACCTAAATGGTAGATACTGAAGCAGTGACTGAAATGGTTGATATTTGAAGCAGTGACAGAAATGGTAAATATTGAAGCAGCGACTGAAATGGTTGATATTTGAAGCAGTGACAGAAATGGTAAATACTGAAGTAGTAACAGAAATGGTAAATATTGAAGCAGCGACTGAAATGGTTGATATTTGAAGCAGTGACAAAATGGTTTTATTGAGCTGTTTTGATGAATGCATACTTTTTTTCACCAGGATAATGAATCTTCAAGGGGACATTTTACTCAAGCTACGTTTGTCCCGAATGACGTGGACTACCTGGAGACATGGCAGGTGAGATCCGTTTTAAGACAATTATAACTCGAATGATAACAATTTCATCATGTAGCATTCTTAATTAAATAATGGCTATTTATAAAGCGCCTGTTTCAAGGCAATTGTACATGTTCAAAGCGCTAACATTACCCCAGATAACCCAATCTGCCTGTGAGGCGCTAGAAGGTTAACAGTCATATGACTTATCCCACCGGGTACCCATGGGTGAACAGAGGCAATTCATGAACAAACTCACTTGCCTAAGGTGAGACCACTATGTGTCAAGTGTGCTTCGTTGTGGGGCAGGACTGATGTCCTAGAAACTCTCAGGAGTCAAACTGCAAAACACGGTGATCCATCCAAAGACAGTCCGCGTCGGACATTGCTTAACTTCAACTGATTTGTCGACACTGATTGTCGGTATCTCTTAGAATGATATTTCTACTACTTCATATTGCATTGATTGGTTTAGTTAAACTGTTGTTTAACGCCGCACTCGGCAATATTCCAACTATATGGCGGCGGTCTGTAAATAATCGAGTCTGGACCAGACAATCCAGTGATCAACAGTATGAGCATCGATCTACGCAATTGGGATACGATGCCATGTGCCAACCATGTCAGCGAGCCTGACCACCCGATCCCGTCAGTCGCCTCTTACGACAAGCATGGGTTACTGAAGATCAATTCTAACCCGGATTCATATTACATTGATATTAATTTCTCACTTAACATTACAGGCAATGGAAGATTTGATTGATGGAGGTCTGGTAAGGTCTATTGGGGTTGCCAATTTCAACCTGGGACAGTTGAAGCGCCTTCTGAACATACCCAACATTCGTTATAAACCGGCTGTACTGCAGGTTCGTAGATTTGTTTGTATGTTCGTTGTCTTTTAACTTCGCCTATATTCCATCTATATGATGGCGATCGGTAAATAATCGAGGCTGGACCAGACAATCCAGTAATCAATTGCATGAGCATCGATCTACGCAATTGGAATACGATGACATGTGTCAACCAAGTCGCGAGTCTGACCATGTCAGTAATATTCCAGCTAGAAATAAACGCTAATAATCGAGTCTGGACCAGAGGTCCAGTGATTAATGTCATGAGCATCTATGTGACATACGATGACATGCATCAAAGAAGTCAGCGAGCCCAACCTCCCGATAACCCGATCTTACGCCAAGCATGGATTGTGAGTGAGTGAGTTTAGTTTTAAGCCATTTTTTAAGCAATATTCCAGCAATGGCCAAAGCAGAAATGGTCTTCACACATTGAACCCATGTGGGAATCGAACCCGGGTCGTGACGTGAAGAGCGAACGCTTGAACCAACAGGCACAGGCACACACACACACACACACACACACACACACACACACACACACACACACACAACATGGATTGCTGATGACAGGATGCTTGTACGACAAAGAGCAAATTGACCTGACCTGGGTAAACAAAGCAATAAGGGTCCAAAACTTGCATATAGATGGGGATAGTTTTCGAACATAATGAGGGGCGGTGGGGTAGCCTAGTGGTTAAAGCTTTCGCTCGTCACGCCGAAGACACGGGTTCGATTCCCTACATGGCCACAATGTGTGAAGCCCATATGTGGTGTCCCCCGCCGTAATATTGCTGAAATATTGCTAAAAGCGGCGTAAAACCATCACTCACTCACTCGAACATAATGAACTACTGCCTAAACGGTCATAATTCCAACCGTCAAGAGTAAATCACTGTGGACATATCCTACTGTTCGTCCATGCAAACATTGAGAAACTGAAGGCGTATTTTTTTTCAGATCGAAATGACGCCATATCTTACCAACGTAGAACTCTTGGAATTCTGCAATTCTCACGGAATTGCAGTAACGGGATATTCCCCGCTTGGCGGTCCGAATATGATATAGTACGTTATCTAAGTACGTCTCTCATTCCCATTATATATACTACTCAAAAGTTAAGGGTCAAAGGAAGATTTCAGCATGACATTTTAATGCATAGCAAACATATAAAACAGAATTTCCAAGCATGGGTATGGTTAGAATTGGTTTGTGTGGCCTAAAGCTGAGCACTGTGTGGAACGCATGTGATCTATGCAAACACAATGATTGTAAGCATCCTTTGAAAATTAATTGATTCCGGAAATAATGGGTATGTCAATAACGGGTGCTCATCTCTAAACAAGCATGCATGGCCCCTTATGTTCATGTCTCTAAACCAGCATACATGCCCGTTTATTCAGGTCTCTATGCAGGTTTCTACACCAGTGCACATGGCTTACACTGCATGTGTATGCACTATACACCGACGTGCTTTATATCAGCTTTTGGAAACCATCATACCATTCATACCTACATTCGAGAAACAGACAATTTTAGACATACTCATTTGTAGGGCTGGGACGATTCACCGATTCATCGATGCATCGCGATACATTTAAGTTTGATACAGCTATCGTATCGTGGACTGGTGTAACGATACAAAACGATACACAACTTTTTTTCAAAACAGTATTATCTTAAACGTGTTAAGTACTTATTAAGAGAAAAATACGCAAGTATAATGGAGTTACTTGTTTGTTTATTACAATAGTGTTATTGTTAAACACAAATACCTTGAAATAAATCATTTTAAATCTTGATACCGTGTCATTCTTTCAAGGTGTATGTATCGTGATACGTATCGTATCACAGGTAAAATATCGCGATATGTATCGTATCGTGACATAGTGTATCGTCCCAGCCCTACTCATTTGTCATGTATTGATATATGATGTGATTCACGTCATTATCATCGTTCGTCAACCGTTTATATTCCACACTTTTGTGATGTATTTTGGCGTCAAGTGCACCACCGAATGCGCCAAATTTAATGGAAAACCCGACGATTGTGGAGACTGCCAAGAAATTCGACAAAACACCTGCTCAGGTAAGGACTTCCATTTGCTCCAATTTGTTTCCTTCTACACTGGATGTTCCGCTTAATTCAGATATCACGTGACAAAGACAGGTTGAAGGACAAAATGGATAGTGTCAAATACATCACCAAAAGGCATAAAATAAAAATATTCCTTTCCGTATCACGGCCAAATATCGATAAGAAGTCTACAATCTTGGTTACTAGGTGTTGCTCACAAAGAGTGTAAGCCGTTTTGTCTGCTTCCGTTTTGTGGGAATGGCGTGTGTCACGTGATTAGCAACAGCTAAAATCGCGCAAGATCTCGCGGGAAACTTACTCGAAACAATGAAAAGTAGAATATCTAGGACGTTGTTTGAGTAACGTCTAAAATCACATAACGATATACATGTATACGGTCACATTAATGTTTGGTATTTTAGCATGTTTGGCAGTGAAACTCTTACCGAGTTCTCATATTTTATTCCATGAGTATACCAATAACCTGAGGGGCGGTGTGGTAGCCTCGTGGTTAAAGCGTTCGCTGGTCACGCGGAAGCCCCGAGTTCGATTCTCCATGTGGGTACAATGTGTGAAGCCCAAACCTTACTCACTCACTAATTCCTTGCAGGTTCTCCTGAGATGGGGGATACAGCGTGGATATGCCGTCATACCAAGCAGTGTCATACCACAATACATCACAGAGAATATTGAGGTGGGTGAGGCCGTGCAAGCTTTTCTAATTTTTTGACTGTTAGTGTTCATAAGTTGTTAGGAGTATAGCATCGTTAGCGTTTGATACCCGTGAAGATCCGGATTAGAACTGGTATTCAGCAACCAGCGTTTGTCGTAAGAGGCGACTAATTTGACCTTAGATCGATGATTAGGTTGAACATTGATCACTGGACTGTCTCGTCCAGACTCGATTATTTACAGACCACCGCCAAATAGCTGGAATATTGCCGAGTGCGGTGTTAAAGAAACCAACATACCTACTCCACGTCATGCATGAGAGTGGGTATGTTGTAACTGGTGAGTGAGTGAGTGAGTTTAGTTTTACGCCGCACTCAGCAATATCCCAGCTATATGGCGGCGGTCTGTAAATAATCGAGTCTGGACCAGACAATCCAGTGATCAACATCATGAGCATCGATCTGCGCAATTGGAAACCGATGACATGTGTCAACCAAGTCAGCGAAACTGACAACCCGATCCCGTTAGTCGCCTCTTACGACAAGCATAGTCGCCTTTTATGGCAATTGTAACTGGTATGTCGACCTTGAAGGTGAACATGGTTGCTACATTTGAAATTATATTTTATTTTTTTATCTTATTTCAGATATTCGACTTTGCTCTCAGTGATGAGGATATGAAGAAAATTACTTCTCTCAACCGCAATTACAGATTCAACCCAACCTCCCAGTCAGTATACTACCGTGTTGAGATGAGGGGCGGTGGGGTAGCCTAGTGGTTAGAGTATTTGGGTCACTGTTCGAACCTCACAGGTACAATGTGTGAAGCCCATTTCTGGTGTCCCTGTCGCGATATTGCTGGTATAGTGAGCGAATGAGTGGTTTTACACCGCTTGATATTATATTCCATCAATATCACAGCAGGGGGACACCAGAAATGGACCTCGCACATTGTAACCATGTGGGAGAATCGAACCCGGGTCTTCAGCGTGAAGGGTGAACGCTTTAACCACTATAGTCTGTTTGCAGTGAAAACGTACCGATGAATGTCACTTTAAACCAAAAAGTAAAACAAATAAAGTGAAATTAAGACTGCGAATCCTCATGATTTTACCTTGCCAACTGAACATTTAAATCTCAGAATTTTAGTCGACTTAGGATAAAAGTTGTTTAACAAACGATCATAGTTTCACATGGCTAATATTGGTTTGTATTACAAGGGGTATGCACATCAAATGAAACACCGAAAACGACAAGGGTTGTTATAAGTTAAGGCTCTTCACGTACCGCACGTGCATTTGTTTCACTGTTCCAACTGCGCTTACCCCCTTGTAATACAAACCAGTAAGAGCGATTTGAATCTATGATCGTTTGTTAAACAACTTTTATACTAATTTGAATAAAATTTTGAGATTTAAATGTTCAATTGGCAAGGTAAAATTATGAAGATTCGCAATCTTAATTTCACTTTATTTGATTTACTTTTTGCTTAAAGTGAAATTCATCGGTACGATTTCACTGCAAACAGACTATAGCTATATGATTCCCCACCGCCCTTTAAGGCATTGATACAGTCGTCGAATAAAATAAGGGAACTTGTTTAGAGTTACCACTGCCCATGCCTCGTGAGAACTCGATTGAATGAGTGAGTTTAGTTTTACACCACAATATTCCAGGTATATGGCGGTGGTCTGTAAATAATCGAGTCTGGACCAGACAAACCAGGGATCAACAGCATGAACATCGATCTACGCAATTGGGATACGATGACATGTGTCCAACCAGTCAACCCAGTCAGCGAGCCTGACCACCCGATCCTGTTAGTCGCCTCTTACAAGCATGGGTTACTGAAGATCAATTCTAACCCGGATCTTCACGGGTCGAACTCTTTATTGAAGTCCATAGCCTGTTCTGTTTGCAATGCTTTAATCTGGCTGATACTTGCTACGGTCCTTCTTTTGCAAAAGTCCTTTATAGGTTTTGACATTGTTTGACTTTCATTTTATGCTGTTGTGGTTGGATCACTTGAAATTTTCCATTGTACAGGTTCAAAGATCACCCTCATTATCCTTTCAAATGAGACTGATCATCACCTCGAGGTTCGCCTTCTGTGGGTTACTGGCCGAGGCCTACAAGGAATGGCTTATAATGAACAAAAAGTAAGGTCATGTCTTTTTGAAGAAACTTTACTTTGTACTGTATATAAAATATCTCTAACGGTTACTGTCTTTGTTGAATATATACATATATGTTCAGAGTTATAGCACGATAGATGCTCTTTAAAACACAGATGAACACTATCGTGTCGGCCAGAATGTACCCTATTTACACGTCTAAATTCTGACGAAAGATATTCAGATCAATTCATGTCTGATTAAAACCATTGACTTGTTCCGAACAGTTAATTCATATCAAATCAGCTTGACGTGGGAGATATTGTATTCGACCTTTGCACTGGCGGCAGGAGCCACGCACGTCGATGTCGTTTAGCGCCTCCGTTGAAATATGTACAAGCCAAATCAAGTGATTCTGGAGTAAGTGAGTATGCTTTAACGGCGCTTTTAGCAATATCACGGCGGGGCGTCTAGTGGCTAAAGCGTTCGCTCGTCACGCCGAAGACCCAGGTTCGATTCCCCACATGGGTTCAATGTGTGGAGTCCATTTGTGGTGTCCCCCGCCGTGATATTGCTGGATATTGCTGGAATATTGCTAAAAACTGCGTAAAGCCAAACTCACTCACTGTGATGATCTCAGTTGAAGGTGAAGTTTGGAACCCATGCCAAGAGTAACCCGCGAGTCTGGTGTTCAGACTCGTTGGCTTGACCGAGACAATTTCTTTGACAGATCCTCATATCAATCGCTAGATGGTCCGTACAATACCACTGTCACTGGAATACTGCTGATTGTGGCGTTAAACATCCACACTAAACCTTATCCTCGAGTCAAACCACCCATTTATGAGCTTCATCCTGGGCGTCCCTTCATTTGTCATCCTTGTTTACATGTTTCATCAGTACTCGATAGATTACTTGATAAAGATCTAGACGTCGCAATGAGAGAATAAAGGAGTTGGTAATCCAACTGGATTCACAGCGAACCATGTCTAAGCCTTGACGAAAGCTCAGTGAAACGTTTAACAAGGTCATGCATTATGTGTTTCAAAAAGTTTTTATTTCTGGCTACACCCACAGTTTTGAAAGTCTTCGTGATTTCCGAGGGCGGCTTCGACCTGATAATGTACGTTTACGCCGTGTGTCAACTTGATACAGTTTCGTCTCCATCATGCCAATTTGTCCAGCACCAGTCGCTACATCTACGAGGAAGAAATGTTGAGATAAGACTTTAACAACGGGTTTTTTGACAATCAAATTACCATTTCCAACGGCATTGTTTGTGCAGCTGTGAAAAGCCGCCATCAGAAATGTCCCAGCTATATGATGGCGGTCTGTAATTTATCTAATCTGGACCAGACAATCCACTGATCAGCACTATGAGCATTGATCTAAGCGACCGAGATATGAGCCCGATCACCCGATCCCGTTAAAAGCCTCTTACGAGGTGAGGTGAAATTGGGTTTTACGTCGTGCTTGAGAATATTTCGCTCATATGATGACGTGCATGCGTGTGTATGTGTATGTGCGGCTGCTTGTACTAGCCCAGACTTAAGCTGGCTTTATAGTGCTATCCCACCGAGATACGATGCCGCAGTGAAGCATGAATACCCCACTCAGACACATTATACTGACTCCGAGCCGACCAGTCCTTGTTGTACCCATTAATGCCGAGCGCCAGACAGGGACCAACAAGTACCATATTTTAACGTCTTTTGGTATGACGCGGTCGGGGATCGAACCCGCGACCTTCCGCTCTCCGGGCGGACGCTCTAACCACTACACCACGGAAGCATTGGTTGCTGAAGACCAATTCTAAAAGGCCATTGCCACGGTGAGAGAGAGATCCTAACTATCTAACCGCCACCACTAAAACATACGCATCGTTTTGTTTAAAATAGATACTGACAAGTGTGACAAATCTTGAACACAGTGTGACATCAATCGAAAACACTTCATAGGAAACCCATTTTAAACTAATGTCCAAAAGAAACGATACCAAACATTTTTCATTTTTTTTAAGTATTCCTTTTTGTATGAAAACATATTTGAGCGTTTCCCATGTTCTAAACCAAAAGTTTCGATGTAAAAATTCGGGAACATTTGTTCCAATTGAGAGAAAAATGCGCACTTTGCCAAAATGATGTTACGTAACGTAGCACGAAACGCACGAGCAGTTCAACTGTATAAAACTGCGGACTCGACACGTTGGGATTACAGCAACAAAAAGCACACAAAAGAAATGCCACCCTTGATACCGAGTGAGTGAGTTAGGTTTACGCTGCACTCAGCAATATTCCAGCTATATGGCGGCGGTCTGTAAATAATCGAGTCTGGACCAAACAATCCAGTGATCAACAACATGAGCATCGATCTGCGCAATTGGGAACCGATGACATGTGTCAACCAATCCAGCGAGCCTGAACACCTGATCCCATTAGTCGCCTCTAACAAGCATGGGTTACTGAAGGTTCATTCTAACCCCTGACCTTCACGGGTTGATAGCGATTGAGACAGAGAGAGAGAGTCGTCGGAATGGTCCAATAGGGAGTAACGCAAAACGACGTCGCCAGAAAGTTAGGATGAGCGCGCATAACAGTCATCAAGTTAATGCAGCGGTTGCGTCAAACAGGTTGGACAAGAGACAGACCGAGAAGCGGGAGACAACGGGTGACCACGCCAACTGATGACCGTCACATCCGGGTACTTCATCTGCTGAACCGCTTCTGACTGAGTTTGGTTTTACGCCGCTTTTAGCAATATTCCAGCAACATGACGGCGGGGGACACCAGAAATGGGCTTCACACATAGTACCCATGTGGGGATTCGAACCCGGGTCTTCGGCGTGACGAGCCAACGCTTTAACCACTAGGCTACCCCACCGCCCCTTAACGGCAAGGACGGCAATGGGACACGGGACACGGGACACTGGACACGTGGATAAACCGTGCACAGGAGACTGCAGGCTCATGGTATCCGCGCACGTCGCCCCTACCGCTGAGGGTTCCTGACACCTCAACAGCCAGCCAACAGACTGGGCACGGGTCATGTTTTCTGACGAGAGCAGATTTCACATCTTCAGGAACGATGGTCGACAGTATGTGTACCGACGAGTTGGTGAACGTTGGGCACAGATTGCATTCATCAAATCCGGCCATGAGGTTTAATGGTTTGGGGTGGAATCTCCAGTGACACCAAAACGAGGCCTGTCGTTGTTCGAGGAAACCTGTATGCACAGCGTTATCGAGATGAAATTTTACAAACAGTTGTGGAGCCATTCATCCAACAACAGCCTCGTGGAACCATTTTCCAGCACGATAATGCGAGGTCACATACAGCAAGGCTGACTCAGAACTTCCTCGCCAACGCCAACATTCAGGTTTTAGCATTGGCTGCATATTCACCGGATATGAACCCTATCGAACACTGATGGGACCATCTCGATCGCCAACTCAGAAATCGCCCTATGCCTCCAGTCAGCATCCGGGTGTACTGGCGTGTTTTGACGCTCACAGTGGACATACCCGGTACTAACGTGACTTTCAAACGTCTGTTGTGACATTTTCCACACTTGCAATTGCCTCGTCATGTGTGTTCGAATTATATTTTCATTTTGGACCCCTTACGTCTTTACAGGCCTGTCCTGATTGTAAAGGGTTGATTGAAATGAATTATTGTACACGTGTTACTGAATAAATTCTCAATTGAAATATACCAATCTAAAATTTCTGTATCGTTATGTTGTTCTTTAATGTCCTTCCAAACACGTGGTGTCGTTTCTTTTGGGCATTAGTTTATAGTTCATTTTATATCATACCTTCTTGTGCATCTCTGCGTCTTCGGGTTGAATCACAGGAACTCTAAAGAATTTAATACAAAACATGTAGCTTTTCCAGATAAACGGCAATACACGTATACAGCCCGTTTGTCTCAAATGAGATGGATGAATTGCAAATGCCTCAAAATAGCGAATAGTCCAGTAAATGTCAATATGGTAAATGGCATTGAATACCCTGTACCCAACACTGACTGCTGTTTAGGATCTTTGTACCCATTACTTCAAAACGTTGTTAATGAAACTGTCATCCTATGTATGGTGGCACCTAAAATGGAGGGCATCTAACTGTAGGAGGAACAGAACAGACAGGTACTGCACGTGCTACACAACTGTAGGAAGAACAGAACAAACAGGTACTGCACGTGCTACACAACTGTAGGAAGAACAGAACAAACAGGTACTGCACGTGCTACACAACTGTAGGAGGAACAGAACAAACAGGTACTGCACGTGCTACACAACTGTAGGAGGAACAGAGCAAACAGGTACTGCACGTGCTACACAACTGTAGGAGGAACAGAACAAACAGGTACTGCACGTGCTACACAACTGTAGGAGGAACAGAACAAACAGGTACTGCACGTGCTACACAACTGTAGGAGGAACAGAGATAACAGGTACTGCACGTGCTCAACAACGGTACAATGAATGATAGCCGAATCGGCGTGCCCCTTCAAATATGTTGAATGTCGAACTCGCGACGCGGGGTTGAATGTCGAACTCGCGACGCGGGGTTGAATGTCGAACTCGCGACGCGGGGTTGAATGTCGAACTCGCGACGCGGGGTTGAATGTCGAACTCGCGACGCGGGGTTGAATGTCGAACTCGCGACGCGGGGCTATGGTTACTCGTTGCGATATCGCTCCCGACAGCATGGCGCTTTCATGTCATCATCCAGTTTTAGGTGGTCAAACTTAATTACATCCAAGCCACAGTGATATATGGTACTCAAAAGTGAAGGACCACCCGATTCTTTCGTATTACTAAAGTATATCAAGTAATGGTATATAGGAGTGAGTGAGTTTAGTTTTACGCCGCACTCAGCAATATTCCAGCTATATGGCGGGGGTCTGTAAATAATCGAGTCTGGACCAGACAATCCAGTAATCAACAGCATGAGTATCGACATGCGCAATGGGGAACCGATGACATGTGTCAACCAAGTCAGCGAGCCAGACCACCCGATCCCGTTAGTCGCCTCTTACGACAAGCATGGGTTACTGAAGGTTCATTCTAACCCGGACCTTCACGGGAATGGCATATAGGATGGGTCTTAAGGTCTCATGGGTAGTATTGGTGGACTAGTGGATATGGCTTTGTCTAAATCTTTCTTCAACTTACCCCATCACACGGCTGAGTACACACGGTGAAGTTGCACTCGAATTTGACGTTTGTGCTGCCAGCTATACTCAACGCTTTAAAATACGGACTTATCGCTTCTAGGCCGAATGTATAAAAACCTGTGTTCTTCGGAAATACAATTCCGTCTCCGCACCTGTAGAGAATGCATTTCCATCTCCTGATAATTTAGTAAACTGCATATATCACACAAGCATCTCTAAAGAGTTCAGTTATATTAAGTTATGCGAATGAAAAATAATTTGAAATACCATAACAAACTTGAAAATATACTTTATGGAAGTTTTTTTTTTACTTTAACAGTGTGCATTTGTCTAGATACAATGAACCTAGGAATCACGGCAAACGTACGAATACAAGTTATCAGAATTGAGCTCAAATCTCAGCTGAGTTTATATGTATATCCTTACCCTCCTCGGAGAATAGAGTATCGTGTACCAGGTTTGGAGCCGAGAACATCACAAGACGTTGGATGGAAACCCGGTTCATTCATACCACCTGAAAAGAAACATTCATTCACACAAAAACAATACGTAAATAGGTGAGGTGAGGTGAGGTGAGGTGAGGTGAAATTGGGTTTTACGTCGTGCTTGAGAATATTTCGCTCATATGACAGACGTGCATGCGTGTGTATGTGTATGTGCGGCTGCTTGTACTAGCCCAGACTAATGCTGGTTTAATAGTGCTAGCCCACTGAGATACCATGCCGCAGTGAAGCATGAATACCCCACTCAGACACATTATACTGACTCCGAGCCGACCAGTCCTTGTTGTACCCACTAATGCCGAGCACCAGGCAGGGGCCAACAAGTACCATATTTTAACGTCTTTTGGTATGACGCGGTCGGGGATGGAACCCGCGACCTTCCGCTCTCCGGGCGGACGCTCTAACCACTTCACCACGGAGGCGGTCAAATACGTAAATATAATGAGTTAATGTTTACGTATGTTATAGTCGGCTTGATGTGAAATGAAAGCCATGTGAAATTTAATTTTAAGACGTTTACAACTTTCGTGAAACCAATAAGCACGGGAATGGAACTAAAAAACAAACAAGTGTACAAATCAGGTTTAATCTGGGATTCAAACCCACGAGCATCGGATCCTTGCACAAGAAAAGGAGGCAACTCTTCCACGATTCCGTCCCCTTTGTCCCATCAATAATGTAATGATAAAAGTTAGTCTGGAGTGTGAGTGAGTGAGTTTAGTTTTACGCCGCACTCAGCAATATTCAAGCTATATGGCGGCGGTCTGTAAATAATCGAGTCTGGACCAGACAATCCAGTGATCAACAGCATGAGCATCGATCTGCGCAATTGGGAACCGATGACATGTGTCAACCAAGTCAGCGGAACTGACCACCCGATCCCGTTAGTCGCCTCTTACGACAAGCATAGTCGCCTTTTTATGGCAAGCACATGGGTTTGCTTAAGACCTATTCTACCCCGGATCTTCACGGGTCAGTTAGTCTGGAAGCTACAGGACACCAGAAATGGCGAGCAAACGCTTTAACCACTAGGCTACCCAATCGCCCCGGGAATTCTATGAATTGACCATCATAAATACAAACCGTTGCTTGTTGCATACAACTGTACAACCCGACCAAGGCTGACTGGGTCTCTGACTGGCCTGCCAACAAGATCGGTCAAGAAGATAGCAAATGTTGACTTCGTCGCTTCTACACCCTTGTTCTGTTGCAGAACTGTAGGTGCAATCAGGCTGTAACAGAACAAATCAACAGAGCTTATGATGAACGTTAGTGAGTTTAGTTTTTCTTCGCCACACTCAGCAATACTCATCATGTATAAGCCAAATGACGGCGGTCTGTAGATAATCGAGTCTGGACCAGACAATCCAGTGATCAACAGCATAAGCATCGATCTACGCAATTGGCATACGATGACATGTGTCAACAAAGTCAGCGAGCTAGACCACCCGATTCCGTTAGTCCTCTGTTACTATGATGAGTGAGTGAGTATGGTTTTATGCCGCTTTTTAGCAATATTCCAGCAATATCACGGCGGGGGACACCAGAAATGGGTTTCACACATTGTACCCATGTTGGGAATCGAACCCGGGTCTTCGGTGTGACGAGCAAACACTTTAACCACTAGGCTACCCCACCGCCCTACGTTAGCCAAGGTCAGGTGAATGAGTGAGTGAGTATGGTGTTACACTGCTTTTAGCAATATCATGGATACATCCAAAATGGGTTTTACACATTGGTGGGGAACCAAACCCGGGTCTACCGAGTGACGGGCAAACGCTTAGTCCACTAAGCTACTCCACCGCCTTGGTGAGGCAAAATATATTTAGGAGTGAGTGAGTGAGGTTTTAGCAATATTCCAGCAATATCATGTCGGGGGCCACCAGAAATGGGCTTCACACATTGTACCCATGTGGGGAATCGAACCCGGGTCGTGACGTGAAGAGCGAACGCTTTAACCACTAGGCTACCCGCCGCCCCTGTTCAGGAAGTAGCGCTCATGAAGATATTACTCTTAAATGGACGTGTAGCTGCTTGTTCGGTTATAACGAAATGGCGCCTATGACGAACTGTTCTTCTGGTCTAAGATATAACGAATTCGTACCACTAATGTTAGTTCTTGTAACCGTAGATCGGTATACGTATTTCGACTAAATTATGCAGCAAGTGGCCTCGACCAAAGAATCAGTTGGTTATATCCGTCATTTTGTTATAGACGTGGTCGCTATAAGCGGGGTTTACTGCAGTTCGGTTTCATCATGCAAAATCCAACATGTTCATGATGTAACGCCATCTTTCGGCAATATTCCAGCAATGTCAGTGCAGGGAATCCGAAGGGAATCGAACCCCGAGTTTTGGCGTGACGAACGAAGGCTTTTACCACCAGGCTCGTCCTCCGCCGCAACCATTTTTGGTACAAACAAACCATAATGCTTTCAGTGATTTCGGTAACAAAATATCTTTATAATCCATTTATCCTTCTTCCTTTCAGGGTTGGAATCACCACTCGGTCGATTTAAGATGGTGACGAACAATCTAACACGATATATTTGCTATAGTACTGATTCTTGTGCTTGTCAGAGGGGTACCAAAATTACACTGTCTAGACTACCAGATCTTACCAGTTCCACCCACTCTGAGTGATTGAGTATAGTTTAACGTCGCTTTTAACAATAATTTAACTATATTTCAGCAACATCACCATGGGCTTCATACATTGTACCCATGTGAGGAATTGAACCCCGGTCTTCAGCGTGACGAGCGAACGCTTTAACCACTAGCCCAACCCCGCCCGGAACCACACTGGCAGCTTGCAATTGCACGTTCTGCCTTGATTAGACAAACCTTTCTGCCACTTTCTGGGAAGGGCTTTTGCTTTTGCCTTTGGAGTCAAACGTGCAGGTGAAAGTGACTTCTTCAGTGCTTTGGTGTACAACGTTGTTCGGCTCCCCGTACGACATCACGACGTCGACCGAATACACTTTGGCACCAGGACGTTGCTGAAGTAGAAATACTTGTTTAGAGCTTGTATCATTCGGCATCATCACGTTTTGTTTTTAATGCCTCATCCAGCAATTGTCCTGCTATATGATGCAACCTTTAAATATAGGAGTCTGGAACAGACAATCCAATGATTGACATGCGTATCGATCTACGCAGCTAGGATACTAAGGCATGCATAAGCCAAACCACCCGATGACGTTATTCGCCTGGTACAAGCATGGGTTGCTAAAACAATTCTTACCCGGATAATCAAATGACATTTCGAGTTTTTAATAAGTGTATAGGTGAGGTGAAATTGGGTTTAACGTCGTGCTTGAGAATATTTCGCTCATATGACGACGTGCATGCGTGTGTATGTGTATGTGTGGCTGCTTGTACTAGCCCAGACTGAAGCTGGTTTTATAGTGCTAGCCCACTGAGATACCATGCCGCAGTGAAGCATGAATACCCCACTCAGACACATTATACTGACTCCGAGCCGACCAGTCCTTGTTGTACCCATTAATGCTGAGCGCCAGGCAGGGACCAACAAGTACCATATTTTAACGTCTTTTGGTATGACGCGGTCTAATAAGTGTATAACCATGAATATATCCTAAAGTCGGAGTTCATTGTAAATCGCAACTATGCGAATGCGGACATTCGCAAATACACATATCGGCAAGTTTAGACGGAGCCCAGTTAGTCATTTTGCGTCGACATTCAGCTTGTCTGAATGGCACCGAATTGTCGGCAATATTCCCTGTGAAATAACTAGGGGTTGGGTATTGCAGAGAATTTTCATATTGCGATGCGGAAGCATATATTGCGATATGAATTGCAATATATTGCAAGGATTATATTTTAACAAAACTACTTATAATCGAGTTAATGCTTGATTATAAAGCAAAAACACAACAAAATCACTATGATTGATTAACCTTTTATAAAAACTTTTAATCATGAAAAATGAAAATGTAAGTAACATTTGGCACTAATGAAACAGCGAAAAGAACAATGAAAAAACGGAAATATCCGAAGATTTCCGAGTGTTACGAAGTTTTCCGAATGCATGTCAAAATACCGGTTTTCGATCAGCGTATCGCAATACGTATTGTTTTCATGTCTGAACCGGTAAATACCGGTAAACCGGTTATATCGCGCAGCCCTAGAAATAACGGTGTCGTGATAGGGTATGAACGTCATCTCGCGTCGGAAATCGAAGAAGATACGGAAGAACGGCCCTGATTAGACAATGGGGAGGAGATCTAGTTAGAGTCTGGGCCACATCAGATCAACATAGATACGATGACATGTGTCAAGCAAGTCAGCGAGCCTGACCCCCCGATCCCTTTATCGCCTCTTACAAGCATGGGTTGCTGAAGATCAATTCTAACCCGGATGTTCACGGGTCATTGCTGTAGTGAATCTTATGACATCGTAAGTGCAATGATTTCATAATAAAGAATGCCGTACCTTAAAGACACATTTTGATGATCCTCGACCTGGGTATGACACAGAAAGCTGAAGATTGGCAAAGTCAAGGTATTGGAAGTCCACCAGTCCGCCGGCGCACTTCGCCTTGGCCTTCACCTCCAAGTCCGAGGTCACGGTTATTGTTGCATCAGAAACACCGTCAGGGCCACAGGCTGGCTTTGCTGAAATCATTAACTTATTTAGACGTGAAATATTAATCAAATTCATTTATTACGTAGTCTAATACATGCTTAAATCTGCAGGAAATATCTAAATAATGTCATTTTGGCTTCCGATACCATCCGCGACTTCAGAGGGTCGCGAGTACCAGATCCAGTCAAGATGTAAGGATGTGGGGGCTACTTGAGTTCAAGGACGCTTGGAACAATGTTTCAGTTGTATCATGGCGAGTCCGTGTATATAACAGACAAACCTAGAAACCATAAGATTTAAGGTCCCAGAGACAAATGCATGGATGTTGGGGATTATTACTATGGAATATTCAGTCAACAATCACATTTTCGTCCCACATATTTCGTATTTGAGACTCCAACATGAGACAAAACATCAACCTACCTTTCAAAATGTAGCCTTTGGGAATGGCGGCCCAGACGGTTGACTGAAATGGTGAAACCTACACTGAATGTTCATCAGCCAAGATTAAATGAGCGAGTTGGATTTAACACGACTTTGAAGAGTGTTCAAATCATATCACGGCCTGTTAGCTATATGTGAGTGAGAAGCCAATTTTTTCTCAGCCGTTTACGTTTTTGAAACCCTAAATACGGTGACGGTACGAGTCCCTCCCGTTCCCCCATTCCAAATATTATGTATAAATATTCTAGAATTATAAACAAAACTTAACACAACAATTACTAGAGAACTCACAAAATGATTAAAAGTCCAAAATTTAAGTTAGGGCTAGGTTTAGGGTTAGGTTTACAGTTAGAGTTGGGGGAACGGAAGGAACTCTTTCCACGGTGACTGAGTGAGTTTAGTTTTACGTCGCTTTAAGCAATATTCCAGGAATATTAGGGCCTCTTACGACAAGCATGGGTTACTGAAGACTAATTCTAAGCCGGATCTTCACGGGTCTACCTGGGTAGGTGTCACGGGTATTTCTGGTGTCTCCCGTGATATTGCTGGAACATTGCCAAAAGGGGCGAGAAACAACTCATTCATTCTTGTCTAACCAGATAATCAAACATGTATCATTAACGATTTGTAGAGGCCGATTAAATTTCCAAGATGATTCCGGTCCTCATCCCGGGGCGCACAATGTCAAAGGACCTGAGGTAAAACATACGTCAAGTAGTGAGTGAGTATGGTTGTACACCGCCTTTAGCAATATTCCAGCATTTATCGCGGCGGGCGACACCAGAAATGGGCTTCACACATTGTACCCACGTTGGGAATAGAACCCGGGCCTTCGGCGTGATGAGCGAACGCTTTAACTAATCGGCTACCCCACCCACCCCCATATGCCGAGTAAATAACCATGACTGTACATCCACTCACCGCGCAGAGAAAAGTGAGCAGGGCGTCCGCCACAACCATGCCTGACCTGAAACACAGAATGGAGGAGGTTCATGGTATTGGTATAGAGTCGAATACTTATAGACCGCCGCCATATAGCTACAATATTGTTGAGTGCGGCGTTAAACAGTCAACAAAGAAACATCGGATTACTGTAATCAGCATCAGATTAACCTTCACAGAGTAATTTCCCGCCCACAGAACTTTAAAATACAAAGTGACCTCACCTCAACACCACCAACGCCACTCCCAATACACCAACACAACACCCACCCAAGTCTTCCCATATGCCTAAAACGATACCTCCCAATGTCCCTACTCTGCAGAGCTAATTGCGGCGCCTCAGAGGCCTGCGCCCTCTCTTAAGGCCATTGATTTGAAACACCGGAAGCAAATATTTTGTCTCCCGTTCATCACATGATCAGTAAGGACAGTCATTTTTAGGGAACCCACTGAAAATTTAATACTATAGTATTTTAAATTGAAGTAATTGAATAGTAGCGAAATCTCAATGCAAACAGCATTGAGGGAGGCGAGTCAGATTACTGTATGATGAAAGGCATAAGGTAACACGGTCACTATTTTCGTGCAACCCATGAGGCTGGTGAACACAGAGAATTGAGGCGAATCTTGGATTCGAACCACGATCACGCAAACTGCCGCATCTTTGTGACGTGCCACAGCACATTTTGAACACAGATATTTTATACTCGTTTGTTTACAAACTGACGAATTGCTGGGCGTTAAGCGACAAAGAAGCACTTCAGTATTTATTCAAATTGCGTGTACATTGCTGGTGCTACCGGAAGAGCAGGACATACTTCACCTTCTCGTAAACAACTGTAGTCATGATTACTTTTAAGTGATCCATTCACATAATTTTCCATCAATATTGCACTTTTTATTAATATTGTATGTAGCCTATAATTTATTTGTGTCCAATGGTATCTATTGAGCTATATAATCGTTTCAATGTTTGTGCATGATCCAGAACATGTGCCCCGAGATTCAAATACGACGCTATGTGTGAAAAATGTGCATTTAAAAAGAACCATCTGTTTGTTTAAAGCGGTCTGTAAATAATCAAGTCAGAATTAAACAGAACCAAGTGATACGTACAGTCGACACGGGGGGGAATATTTCCGCCCGTAAACCATGCTTCACATTTTTACCTTACCAAATGTAATTGAATTTGTTAACACTTCAAGTCATATAGAATATTTCAAAGAAACATCATGGCGGGCGGAAGTTCAACTAGTATGCAGTGATCATTACTTTTATCACTAAGTTTCAGGTCGAATGTATGCTGAACTTACTGGCGCTAACGCCAATACATTTGAACAAATTCTTCTAAAATATACACGAACATATTGTATTTCAATGACCATGTTGACACAGAAAACATACCGAATGACTTGCTTCGAAGTAAACCAGCTGCACAACAGCACACGTCGGGAAGGTAAACGAACTGTCAACTGCACGTGCGTCTGTTGCGAAAGGCCCGGATGTGCCAACTGAAGGCTCTTCGCACTGTCCCTGGAGTCGCCGGATGAGGTGTCATCAACAAATGCTGGACACGCAATCACGCAAAGAGTGAGTTTTAGTGGGTGAGTTTAGTTTTACGTCGCTTTTAGCAATATTCCAGCAATATCACAGCGGGGGGTACTAGAAATGGGCTCACACATTGTACCCTTGTAGGGAATTGAACCCGGCGTGACGAGCGAACGCTTTAACCTCAAGGCTACCCACCACCCCAAATCACACAAAGAGGCAGACAGGCGGTTGGGTCATTTGAGATAATTTGGAAGTATCATTTTAATTTCAAATAAACCAAATAGGATAATTTGTTTCAGCCTCAGAAAATTCAAATCTGTTCATAACGTTTGTTTCGGATTTGGTTCCGACCATCCACTAATATAGAAGGTGGAATTGTGTATGTAGACTAGTTATCTTTTCAGCTACAATTACAAAGCTATAACATATAGTATATATAATTTCATTAAAACTGTGAGCCTCAATTAACATAACATTACGCATGAATGTATTTTACATTTTTCAATTGTTCGCAAACTTGGGATTCAGTTTGAAAAGGCTTCGTTCAGAATTTCTTACCAGTAATGTTGGGAATTCACGATCTTGGGGGTGGGGATGGGGGGTGAGGTAGCCCAGTGATTAAGGCGTCCGCTCGTCACGCCGAAGACCCGGGTTCGATTCCCCACATGGGTACATTGCGTGAAGCCCATTTCTGGTGTCCCCCCGCCGTGATATTGCCGGAATATTGCTAAAAGCGGCATAAAACCATACTCACTCACTCACGATCTTAGGGTCTTGAAATTTCTTTGATAGAATGCTCCCTCTGTACTGCCAACAAGCAGAAATAAAAACAGCACTGGCCATAAAAAAACGCGCAAAATAGATATGGACACAATCTGAAAGGAATAGAAGATGTCGTAGAAGGCCTTACTGGCTCCAACTTGACTTCAAAGGTTAAGTTGCAATAATTCCCTTTGTGACATAGTGGCATAAACATTGATTTCAGCCGTATGGGATTTATGGATTGATATATACGTATTCAACAATGACTTGCGTAAATTCGTGTTCTTTGAATAGTCAGTCATATTATAGGGTATTTAAGGAATTGAAAAGGATGATTATGTTTGTTGTTTTACGCCGCACTCAGCAATATTCCAGATATACGGCGGCGGTCTGTAAATAATCGAATCTGGACCACGCAGCGAGCCTGACCACCCGATCCCAATATAGTCGCCTCTTACGTACAAGCATGTGTTGCCGAAAACCAATCTTCGGAACTCGGATCTTCTCGGGTACATCCGTCAGAGACACATTTGTAAATGACGAATTATGTGATTTGACATTTTCGTGTCATCAGGTTTATTGGAATTATTGTTGGTTGTGGCTGTTGTATGTGGCTGAACATGTAATAAGATTTTCGTGCGAAACGTTTGACCATTAACGCTACGCTCGGAAATATTTTAGCAATATAACGGCAGCCTTTAAATCATGAAAGTACCAACGTCGTCAAAGTGGAATTACACCACAGGGATTTGTAGCAAAGATAAACTAGTCAAAGGTAAGTACGACGTTAAACTCCATTTCACCTCACCTCACCTCACCTGAATGACACAGCTGTTCTTATTTCCCTTTAATAATCTCATATATCATACATAGTATATCAGTGGTCATTGTTACCTTGACTCGTCATGCTGCCTCATGACAGAAGTACCGATAAAAAACTTTGGGTCATATGATATCGCGTTTTTTGTTTGTTTTGCGACGTCCTCTGAGTAACGCGTGTGGGCGGTGATAATCGCCGGGTCGACATAAATTTCTGGAAAATAGTTTGTAAATTAATTTTGATTTGAATACATAATGTTTTCCAATCTTTATTCAGAACTGAAGGCCACAAGCCCACAGTACAAGTACCGGTATATCAAGTTCAACAGCAGAATGGATTTCTCTTCAAAATATCATGATAGGTAAACAAAGCAATATTTTCAATAAATATACGGTTAGCAGTTGACAATGGTTGATAAATTTATGTTTTGACCGTCAAATGTATTCAAGTAGAGAATGAAACTTAAAACAAAGGCTCACCTCGCTTTCTATATATATTGGCCTAATTGTGAAGGTTTTCAAAAATACATAAGGCGGTCTGTAAAACAATCAGATATTTTACTACCCCGATCAATGGTTTAGTCTGTGATCTATTTTCATTCTCAACTCCCTAGGAAGTAGACTACTCTTGCTGTCTTTTCGGCGCCAGCAGGTTCACAGTCGGATTGCTATTTCATCCTTCCGGGTACCCTTTCACTGCTGAGTCAAACATGTGCTTCTTTGTTGGGCGGAGCGGAAGCCGAAGCCATACAAACTCTCAGAAGTCAATAATCAGTTATGATCATTATCTGGGATTCGAACCTGAGATACTGAGATTCTAGTTGCCCACAGCATGCATCACACTGGACCGATAGATTAGCTTTGTTTTTTTGCATATGGTCATCGTTCACATTTTCTCAAGTCTTTTCTGATTCAGTCTGGAGCTTTCACCTAGATTTTATGTCCTCTTCCATAACTGTTTCAAAGCTAGATATTGTAACTGTGCATTTGTTGTTATGCAATTTTTATTGTTATGCAAAAAGATAATAAAATGATTTGTGGTGAATACACAATTCCTTTTAGAACGTGATCAAATGTGACTTTTGTTAAATACACAAATAACTTAATTAAGCATCCCTGTATTTTTGCAATGATAGGCTAACAACATGGCCATAAAACTTCTCGTGGTGACCACGATTTTTTTACCCGTATGATCCTTTGACTCATAAAAAACGACAAAATGATTGGAGTCCATGTTGATTTTATGATGATAATTGCTCACTTAAAAAAAACCACTCTGATTTTCATACAAAACCATGTCTGTACAAGTATGGCCTTGGAAGGTTTAATGTTGAATTTATTGGTGAATGTGAACATTCAAAATGTCATGTTGCGTGTCTTACACGATTCAAGGTCAATACCGAGTGTAACCTCCATGTGACTGTATGGCAGTCAGCACACTCCTCCTCATACCCCTGTCAGCCTCCTGATCCTCTGAAGGGGCAGTTTACGCCACTCCTCGTGTAAAGCGGCTTCCAACTGGGCCAGGTTCTGTACAGTTGCCCTTTGGTACTTACACACGACGACCAATCATGCCCCAGTTATGCTCCAAAGGAATAAGATCGGGGTTCAATCGTGAGATATGTCAGGGGTGCTTAACTAAGTTCTTTGTGTATATTTGGGATTACACTTTCTTAGTGAAGTACAGATTCTAGTACTTTTGTTGGGTTGAGTCCCATCCGGTATTCGAACCCACATCCTCAGAGTCAGGCACCTAATCGCCAGCACACAAGTTAAAGTGCTCTGAGCTGTCTGAACCAACGCTTGTCCCAATTCAGCTAACCTCATTGGCTGATTCTGGGCTTGACGTAAACGTCACTCCATTTCATCCCAAGCGTGCACGTTCGGGGAGTACCGGGATGTTCTGCTGTCTCAGGAAAACCGTCACAACACGAGCGACATGTGGACGGGCATTATCTTGATGAACCGTGAAGTTACGTCTCTGTCCTTGAATGAACGGCTGCACATGAGGCCATACGATCTCATGCCTGTATCGCAAACCTGTCAGATTGCCATTGACAATAACAAGTTGTGTCCGACCATGAGATGTGATGACTTCCCATACCATGACGGTACCTCCACCAAACTGTCGACATTAAACAACACACACGCGTCAGCATACCGTTCACCTCTCCGTCTGTACACCCTCGCTCTGCCCTCTGAGTTGTCCAGATGAAACGTCCACACGTCAATGAACACAACACCATCCCAATATTATCTCCTGTACCGTAGATACTGTGTACACCAGGCAAGACGTGCCTGTCGGTGAAGTTGGAGGAACATTGAACGTATTGCAGACCGTCGGGGCCGGATGCTGTGCTGCCTCAGTCGGTTCCGTACAGTCCTGGAACTGATTGGACGTAAGCCAGGAATGGTCCGAGCAGTCAAACTGGAAGTCCTGGAAACAATTCCTTAGATGGGTCAGCCGAATGTGGTTGTTTTGTTGACATAACGTCACGCATGGACCGCCGATCCGAGGCAAATCTCTCGTCTCCAGCATACCCATGGCGCGGAGACGCTGATGTTCTGTAAGCCGTGTCATGACGTACGCGCAGTTTAGGTTCACCTTACACAACATTCATAGGCTAGAGAAGAATCAACCGTTCTTCAATCTTCAGTATAAGGTGTGTGACCGTCAGATGTCAAAAAGCATGCAAAAGGTGAGATAGCGGTACTACGTGTTTAATTTTGTTTATGTTGGGTTTTTTTGTAACTTTTCAAACTTTTATTTTATGCAAATTTATGTTATGCACAGTTACATGTTTCCGTTAGCATACAATAAAGCCTTATGATCTTTTCAGACAAAACTATTTCTTAGGTCCAAACACGTTTGATGTTATCGGAGTAAAACGTGTATCATAAAAAGTTATGGAAGAGAACATAAATTGAAGGTTACGTCTCCGGACAGAGCCAGAAAATACTTGAGAAAACTTGGATTATGATCAAACACCAAATCTAATCTATACTGAACCGCAAAAGAAATGCCACACCGATAGAGGTTTCATAAAGCACGCACTTTAATTCGCCCTAATTAACAATCAAAACGGAGGATTGAGTTCAAACTTGACAATTATGGTTAGCACATTTTGCAGGAATCACATGTAGAGTTCACACAAACAAAATCACCAAAAGTGGTACCATTAGGATATCTCAAAAGTCAGTATCGTGAATGGCCCCCATGGGCATCGATGACGGCGTTTGCATCGTCTGTACATGGAATGAATTAGCCGGTTGATGAAGGTCACAGGCACTTGTGTTCATACTCTGCGAAATGCCTGATCGAGTCCAGCAGATGTCAGCCTTGGTTGGAAGTCATTCAGGCTTCTTTGAATCTCGTCCTAAAGGAGTTCTTTTGGAATTAAATCCGGACTGAGTGCAGGC